ACGACAGAGCCTTGAAGTAGTCATTGAAGCGGAGGGCCTTAAAGACTGCCAGGAGCTGGAGTGCCGTGTATCCACCTGCCTCCTTCGCAGGGAGAAGTCGAAATTCTGGGCAATGCTCTCGGCGTTCGCATTTCCAATTGACCGTCCATTCGGGAGGCTTGCATTGGAACGTCGCACAATACGCCTCGAGGGTGCGCTTGAGTCCACCATAGTCTTGACCGGTCGGAAGGAGCAGCTGAGCGGTCAGACCCCTGATGTCGAAAATATGCCGTTGCATGTGCTGAGGCCAAGCAGGCTTCACTGCGCGATCTGCCTTCATGAACGTCATGACGATCTCTCTGTACCACCGACTAGCCAGCTCGAGTCGTTTCTCATTTTCACAAGGGAGTCTTGGACAGGGGTTAGTAACGCCATTGGAAGCCCGCAGGATACACCAGACACATACCGGAATCCAAGAACGAACCGCTCCTCGTGAGGGACCATAGTCGCTTTCAAGCGGACCAAGGATGTCAAGCCAAAGACTACAGTATTGATTTCGATATCCTGGGGTGCTTTGTACACGGAAGTCCTGGCAACTCGTACAAGATAGCACTTGTTCTGGCCGAGAAGCAAGTAATATGATGATCCGTCACGAGACTTTCTGGCATTCTCAATGTTCTCGGCTTTAGTACTGAGGAGGGTGGTGCGTTGAACGACTGGAAAGATATCCAATGGGCAGCCTCGGCACGCGGGCTCTTGTGTAGCAACGATGTTGTGAATAGCGGACTCGACGTTGGGGGCGATGAGCCCCTTGGGCACAACGGCTGAGCCCACAGACTCACGAATAGCGTGGCGAATCTCTGACATCCACTCGTCTCGCTCAGTAGGCATTCCAAAGAACAACTTTGTGCAAGCCCAAGATACCATTGGTGAAGTCTCGGACCACCAAACATCCAGTCCAAAGTGAGGGCTTACACCCTCTTCGTTAAAAATGTTGACGATCCTACTCAGGGGAATTTCGACCCGACCATCAGAGTGTGACCCATCCTGACTCAAAGTGGAAGACGTCGAAGACCTCTTCAGGCGCTGGGCCGGCGGGGCAAGCTCAGCAAAGTTCGCCCTTGCTGACTCGACACTGCTGAATTTGATGAGATGCCCATCGGTTAAGACAACATATTCGGCTCGCGATTTCCACAGACGGCTGTCAGTCTTCAAGGCTCCGTGCTTGAGAATCTTGATAGGAGCCGGCGCAGGCGGCTGAGGGCTGAGATAGTTGGGAGTCTCCTCCGACATGTGCGAGCTCGCGGAAGAGTCCTTGGAAGCACGTCGGTTGAGGCGGTAGAAAATAGAAGACGAATTCGAGCCGCCGGACCCGTTGTTCTTGTGAAGAACCCGTTTACTCTTCATCTGGAGGCCGCTCGAGGCCTCCTCAGACATGGAAGCAAGGTCGGTCGAAGAGGAGCTGCTGCTGACCTTCCTGAAGGTCTTTGCTAAGAAACTACGCCTCTTGCCGCCCAAAGCTGGTGTCGAGACACTCCGAAGCTCTGCGGCCGAGCTCTTACTTGTGGCGTGCGGCTCTTCATGATGTGTCGTCTGAATGGTGGGCAGCATTGACCGTCGGTTCGCGGCAGCGTCCATGGTCGACAGAAATGACGTGCAGTAATCGGGGGTCCTAGCCCAGCCTATTCCGTCGTCGTGGGAATGCCTCGGCCAAATCGGGCCTTTGAGGCCGTCAAGGTCGAGTAATCGATTATTGGGCCATGTAACGTTATCCAAAGGCAAGTCGTCGAGATGAGTTCAATACTGTGGCGATTGCGCTGTTTACACTCGGCGGGGAAAAGGTGAGAGGGGAGTTGGGCGGGAAGAGAGAGAGAAGGCGATGTACCTCCGTCGACGAGCTAACGAAGCGAAGATTGAGGGTTCGAGATAGTAGAGAAATTGAGGATGTCAGAAGTTGGGAGTAGGTATCAGAAGAAGAGGGGATCAAAAAGCGTGTGCACAAGAAGATGGACGGCGGAGGGGTGTTAATAAGTGACGGTCCTTATCCTCTGGTTAGAGAGGGAGAGGTGCGTCTAGGTTCTGAGAGCAGGGAATAGCTGTTTGAAGAAAGGACCGGAGTGCAGCAAGCCTCCGGCAAGAACCAGGAACCTTGCTGGGAAAGGTAAGGGAAGACTGGAGGCAGCGGCGGCGGTACTTGGTAGGCTAGGTATCCTTACGGTCTGCGGATAGCGTGGTAGCAACGAGCGAGGGGTGAAATTCGGACGATGAGGGTGAGTGGATGCGGATGGATGTCCCGAGTCTTGGAAGAAGAGGACCTGACCCTGGCCGCTGGGAGAGACAAGGCAGCACGAGTCGGGCAAGGTGCGGTCAGATCAGGGACTCCGTTGGGCAAGGGGAGGATAAGATGGGATGAGATATGAAGAGTCGGGCGAGTAAGCACGTGTACATTGGCCGGATTCAAGGCGAATGTGAGGTGAGTGAGTGGTGAGGAGGATAGGTAGCGCCGGGTTTGTGAGGCAGGTATGGGAATGATGGATCTGGCTTAAGATGTTGGAGAACAAACACGACCTCAGAGACCAAGAAAGATGGTGTTCACGACACGCCTCGCAAGAGAGACACAGCGAACAAGAAGAAGCGGAATTTGGGGGAGCATGGAGGGGGGTGGGAGGTGGGGGGTGTGTGGATACGAAAAGGTACTTGTTCATTCAACTAGGAGGTTTGGAGACGCGAAAGGAAGAGATGAGTCTACGCAGTAATGAAAAGAAAGAGTGAGAGTGAGAGCGAGAGAGGCCAGTGCTGAGTGCCATGCCATGTACGTGTATCCATAGGGGAAAGGCGAAAGACAGCGAAGCTTGATGCAGCTATGATGTTATCGATGCACATCCTGTTTTTGGCCCCCGGAAGCGTCGCCCAATGAGACCGGCGCGGGGTTCCTCTGTTGCTGCCATTGTATGTAGTGTTTAAAAAAAAAAAAAAAAAAAAAGGTCGATGGGAAAGAGAGAGGCAGAGAGACATCCAAGAGAGGCAGGCAGGAGCACGGGCACGTCACCAATGGGAGGGCGTTTCTCGCGGCGGGAAGCCTTGGCCCTGCAGTGGGGTTTCTGCTGTGTGCGGCCCTTTTCCCCCTGCAACCTACATGAAGGTACCGAGAGTCTGTGTATCCTTACTTTGTACAATCTTGTATGCATTTCCTCCAATACCTGCGAAAACACAGTCTACTACCATCGCCTGTGTGTTGTTCACAATTCTCCTCTGCCTCGACATGGGTACGTTGTTCTGCCCACTCCTGGCAGCTGAAAACAAAGTTGATGGAGCTCACTCAGCCGCTGTTTGATGTACAGACAAAACGCACAAAACACAACACTAGACGAAGAGGAGAACTCTGAGCGAAAGATCGAGAAACGAACCTTCAGAGGCCAGAGGCCAGCTTCATCATATCCACGAGCATCCACGCGCGAGCAGCGAAACATACGCCAAAGCCCACTCTTACCCACTCCATTATGCACGTTTTACGTGGATCATGGTGCCATGGGTCTGTGGCTCGCTCTGTGGCTCCCAGCTTGCCAAGGGGAGGGGTGGGCCATGGCCCATACCTAAGGTATCTTTCTCTGGCGTCTTCGGAGACTGCACCTTGTCGGTACCACTACAATTCGACTGACGAGCCTGCAAGGCCACCGGAAACTGCGTGCATCTCGTCACTCTCATGCATTTTTTTTTATTTTTTTTTACCATGGAATTACGGCACGCATGGCGCATCCGTACGGCACTCCTCGGCACTCCTCCTCCCCTCACTCGCTGGCCCTGCTGCGTACCAGTCCTCCAGTGCCACCCTGTTGCTGTGCCTCCTTGCCTCAGTTACATGCCGTGAGGCCGGCGATGGCAGATGCAGCTTGCGGCGCCCCGTCTCCGACCATGTACCACTTCCAAGTCCTTACACGCCTGAATCCACACGAGAAAATGGGTTCTGCATCCACCAAAGCCCGCCGCGCGCAACCAGTGACCAGCACCCTGGGATGCTGTTGCTACGCTGCCGGTATGTCGACAGCGGCTGCGTACGCAGCAGAATGGCGGTGCAACTCCAGCACGTCAACGTTTACCAAGTTTACTGTTCTGCATAGTATAAACTGTACAGCCCATCCCGTCATCTCCAATACTTGCTCAGCTACGGTGGGCTATCGCGAGTAGTGGCTCCCGGCATCTCGGGACTTACGTCTCATAGCGTGATGTGCTATCCGGGTGTCCTCGTCGTCGCACTCACAGATATCTATCCTTTTACTGCAGAACACGACCGCCGATTTCACTACTGCGGTAGCCGCAGATGCCGGACGCCGTAGATGCCGCGCATTCTACAAAGTTCACTGCCATCCCAGAGTCACCTAAGCCCAAGACGATGGATGCGGGTTGACTTTCAGTCACTCTGAATGGCTCTGTTGGCATGCTCAATTCGCCCACGCCCATGGCCAAGCCATGCCTGTCTTCTTGCCTCTGAGACCCGGTTATCCAGGGTCCTATGGTAGGGTTCTCTAATCGTGATCATCGATTGATTTTCCTGATGCCTCACTAGCCGCGATTTCCTCCTCTCTCTCTCTCCCTTTTTTTTTTTCTCTCCCAACTAAACTTTCTTCTGCAGCATGAATGATGAGGCTCCTCTCCTTCGCCGTGGAGACGGCGCTAGAGCCGGTCAGGCCGAGAGTAAGGGTCGTCTCAAGCCACTTTCAATATTCAGCTTAATGGGGGCGTCCCGGCGACTTGAAATATCTCAAGATTGCTTCAAATTTCCCCTCCCCTTCGTTACGCTTCGGCCGCCTCACCCCTGGCTGCGGCATCCTTCCACGCCGAAATGATTTGTTCAGGGCGCTCTTCTCTTGGCCTCTGGAGACTGGAGGGGTCTTGACACTCTTGTGCGCGTAAAGCTGCATCACAGAGCAAGGGGAAACCCTTTCTCGTGTTCTCTGAATAGATGAATAGACTTTTGTGTTTCTAGAAGGAGTCAGGCAAGATAAATGAACCGAAAGGATTTTGACTGTCAATCCCTTGGCCATGTCAGCCCCGTTTTATACGGATACGAGGGGGAGGTGGTCTAAGGACCCTTCGTTTTGTGACTTTGGCCCACGGCTGTGTAGGTGCACTACGAAGATCCGTACATGTTCGTACGTGTGTGCTGAGCGTCTTCCTTCACCCAAGCCTCCTTCCGGAAAATGGCAAAGGTTCAAGCGTCTTGTCACCTTGCCGAGAGCGAGCACGAACTTCAAAGGGGGGAACGGAACCAGTCGGCACGCGAAGACACCATTGCGGCGGTTTGGCAGATAATGTTGGTTATCAAGAAATTTGGGGGTGAAGTAAAGTTATTGGACCGCCTGCGTCAAGCTCAGGAAAGGTGCCATCGTCCCATGCGGCCGGTTTCAGATGAAGTAGAGACGATGTTGAGGAACGATTTAAAGGTGTTAAAGAACGCCCGGGTACGCCCCCTTGAAAGATTAGAGAAAAGCCCATCCCAAGATGAATTTCCCAGGAATGAGACGCTAGGCGGGCCAACGCGATCGTCTGAACGACCCGGCCGAACACCTTTTTTGCAGTTTGCACGCTTTTCACCACGGATGCGAAGAATTGTGAAACCAAACCGCGCCGGCCAAATTTGGGGGGCACGGGGGGCACATCCAAGGAACAACCGGGCTTTGAAGCGGGCGGGGGGCCAACTTGTCAAGGACTCAAGATTGCGACTTGTCTCTGATCGCCGTCAGGACAGGGGCGGTCCTTATGTGATTGTGCATCCGTACGGATTTATATACAAATGTGTGAAGAAGGGGAGATACACATCGGAAAGCCACTGCCGCACAACTTGTGCGCCACTCGCGAAGCGTCAATCTCATTCTCATCATCATCATCATCATCATCAAACCGCAAAATCCATCAAGGGTCTTGAGCCAAATAAAATCAAATGAGGCGGAAATAAAGGTATCCGTATTTCCTGGAAAGGAGCCGGACTTGTGCAGGACTGCAGGTAAACAGTTGCCCTGGACACGGGCCGGGGCCCGTATAACACTGTAATCCAAAGTTTCTCCATTTACCTAGTATATATCCTTGCTTTCGGCCGCAATTTCGATATCGTTGCGGGTGAAATGGCCCTCTCGGATGTTTTTTTTACCACGCGACACTCCTTGCTCGGTCAGTCCAACTGCCTATCCAAAATTTCAACGAGCGAGTCGTGCGTGACACAAGCGTGATACCGCAACACGGAGGGCACGTTTTCTTCCTTGTCTGTCGCGTCTCCTTTAATTCTTGAACTACCTGGCACGGACCTCCCGCATCCAGTCCGACGGGTGCCTGGGGACGATGGACCTGACTTTGGTGTGTCAAAAGCGGGGAACGGCCGGCAACCCGTTCGACAGTCCGGCCCGTCTCACTCTTTCCAACCACCGCGATCGGCCCAAGTACCCATTCCATCCTCTGTGTGCTTCCGTAGGACGCTACCACGCCCAGAGAGAAGATGAATTGGTGGAATGGTGTGAGGACTACGAAATCGATATTCCCGCATCCAGGGATCCGTCGAGAAGAAAAATCGATTGCGTCTGGGGAAGGGACGCGTTATCATAGTTGCGTACGACGAGGCGAAAAAATTCCACTTCCCGACACTTTTGCGCCAGATGTTTAGGATGTTGGGAGTTTGCTTCCGGTTGATCAGTGAATCGTTCCCCCGGAATTTCCCCTCACCAGACCTGGACGGTCGTGACGCTTTAGAGACAGCATTCCAGATTGGTTCCCAGTCGCCCGGGGGTATGTATCCGTACACGGCCGTTCAGAGGAGAGACCTGCGATACGGATCCATATCTTGTCAATTCCGCTAGTACTTCATTCCAACAATCCTTCGTCTCACTGCCACGCTGCGGCCAGTCTGTAGTGATGTCATGCTTTCAACCGATGCCTTGCCATTTTACTCGATCTGTCATATTCAGCGCACCTTAGCAAGCTTAGGTAGTCGTGCGCGCTGTCAGGACGACTAGCAAACTGACGGACTGCTCATTTTCCTTCATGGCAAGGTAGGAATAGCTAGTCATATTGTTGGAACAGGCCGGATCGTCGCAAACCAAAAGGCGCATTGAACCTTTGGACCGAAACTAGTACCTAGCTATCACCTAGCTGTGCAAGCTCCCGTGTATGGTGGCTGCTCAAGAACTGTTCCTGCTATTCTCCCACCCCCCTCCTTTGTTAAATTGATTTTTTTGGTGGCTTGTCGGTGACCTCTTCCCGAAGTTGCCGAAGCCCTCCCTGGTAAGCGTTACCACACGAACCATGCGAGGAATGTCTCTTATCATCCAACGGCAGTTGGGACTTTTCATTGACCATGCCTATGGCTGTCGGTCGATGGAAAAGCGAGAATGATGCCGGCCATTTGGCCGTGGGTAATGACGTTGCAAAAGTTGTTTCCTGGTTCGAACAAGATGAAGCGAAAAGTGACTGCGGTTGATCGTAATCATCTGTGCCCAGATTGTCACTGACCTTCAGTCCTGCACCAATGTTTTGGAGCAATCATGTCTCAGATACACAGACCTCAGATGCAAGTGCACTAAAGCAAAAGAGCTCCTGCAGCTCAGCTCTGTCAGCTGGTTGATCAACATGTTGATCTTTGGCAAGAGGCGCATCTTCAACCTCTTGTGGCGTTGTGGCTGGAGACTTGGAGTCAAGTCTCAGCCACATGCACCGCCATATGATATTCAAGCCACATAAGGTAGGAAGTTGTAGAACCGACATTCCGACCGACCAACCGACCACCTCACGCATCAAACCTGAATCCCCCTACGCAAACCGAGCCCGAGGTCGGGACCTTGCTGCATCTGCCGTCGGATTATTTTGCCGAATCTGGCTCGCTTTCACGTATCCCGCCCCCCCGGCCTCCGCATACCGACGCATTTCGCAACCGCAAAGCTGCACTTGACCGCTCGCCGTTCGAGGGCTGGCAGAAACTCGGCAACCCAACTCAACAGAAAATTGGAGGGGCTGTCCCACTTTCGCGATCTTACGATATCTGGTTGCACGCTCGCCTTTCCAGCTTCGACATCGTCACCAATTGACTGCGGCAGTTTTCTCAATCACCCCAGCTTCGCGGTTGTCTAGTGAGTAGCACGTGTTTTCCATACTTCCCATGACATCGACTGACCTATTGTCTTTTTTGACAAATTTTACAGATTTCTCCAGACCCGTAACGAAAGAGCTAGTAAGCTCCCAGCTACACGTCCTATCCCGCTTTCTGTGGAGAAAAAGAGTCCTCGGACACCATCTTCAAAATGTCCGATTTGACTACCCGCAAATACTTTGACAACATCTACATTCCCGCTGGTCTGATCGTCTTCGGATGCTTCATCACCAAGCGCGAATGGACGCCGTACGCCGTTGCCCTGGCGCTCGCGCTGGCAGCCTACAAGTTCAACGCCATGCGTGAGTTCGGCCCCTCTCGGAATACCTCGGAATTGCCTACTGACGAACCCCTCATGCAGAGATCAAGAAGGTCCTGAAGCCTGATACCTTCCAGGACTTTGAACTCAAGGAGAAGACCATCATCTCGCACAATGTCGCCATGTAAGTCGTATTTCCAAGCTTCAAAAGCTGAAATCTCCAGCTAACAGGCGTCCGAAGCTACCGCTTCAACCTCCCCAGCGAGAAGGCCATCCTCGGCCTCCCCATCGGCCAGCACATCTCTATTGGTGCCAACTGCCCCCAGCCTGATGGCACTACCAAGGAGATTGTGCGCTCCTACACTCCCATTTCTGGCGACCACCAGCCTGGCTACTTCGACCTCCTGATCAAGTCCTACCCCACCGGTAACATCTCGAAGTACATGGCGTCGATGAAGGTCGGACAGACGCTTAAGGTCAGGGGCCCCAAGGGCGCCTTCGTCTACACCCCGAACATGGTCCGTCACTTTGGTATGATTGCTGGCGGCACTGGTATCACTCCCATGCTCCAAATCGTCCGCGCTGTCATTCGTGGCCGCCCCACCGGTGACAAGACCGAGATTGACCTCATCTTCGCCAACGTTACCCCTCAGGATATCCTGTTGAAGGAGGACCTGGACGCCCTTGCCAAGGAAGACTCTGGCTTCCGTGTGCACTATGTTCTTGACAAGCCTCCTGCGGACTGGACCGGCGGTGTCGGTTACGTCACGGGCGACATGATTACCGTAAGGCGTCCCAGTGGATCTCGTACTCTGTGTGCAGAACTGACATGTATTACAGAAGCTTCTCCCCAAGGCCGCCGACGACGTCAAGCTTCTGCTTTGCGGTCCCCCACCCATGGTCAGCGGACTGAAGAAGACGGCCGAGACCCTTGGCTTCAAGAAGGCCCGCCCCGTGAGCAAGCTCGAGGACCAAATCTTCGCTTTCTAAGCTTGCCAAAGCTTGAGAGAACTCGGCCTAAACGAATGAAAAAATAACATTGTGTGGGAGGAAACGGCGTTTTGCATGCTGACGGGCACCAGAGGAAGTCGATATAGGTGCATTTCTAGATTTCAGGGTGCTATTGGGTTCCGTACATAAGAGCTTCTACATTGGGATAGCTATGTTGCGACTCAGCTGCCGTGTAGACAGTGTGCCCCACCTTACATAATGCCACTACATCCAATCCCTGCCAGTTGACGTCGCAAAGTGAACCGACCACTGCTTTCTGTGAACCAACGTGCCAGGCTACAACCACCAAATTTCTCCTTCTTTCAAAGCATTTCACAACACACGCCCGTCGACTGCCAGCGCCATGTCAGACGGCCCCAAAGCTCCGAGGATAGCGATCAGCTTCGGCGGCTCCTCGAGCTCAAAAAATAACAAGAAACCTTCGCGCCCAGACCCACCATCATCACTTGGCAAACGGTCAAGAACGAATGCGCTGAACAACTTTGACTCGGACTCGGACGGCGAGCGCGATCATGGCCGCGGACGGCACGAAGCGATTACAGAATTCGGCGGGGATTCTGATAGGAAACGAGAAAAGAAGCCCCGCGAGCTGGTGATTGAGAAGCAAAGCAACCGCGACTGGAAGGCGGAGTTGCGCGGGCGCAGGGGAGGCAAGAATCTGCTGCCTGCCGAGGTGCAGGCACAGCGAGAGCAAGAACGGAACGGCGCGCGGCAAGAGGCAGAGAGAGAACCCGCCGATGCGGAGAAGCAGATACAATGGGGCTTGACCGTCAAGAAGCGCAAGACGAGCGAAGAGGATACCACACCCACAGATCAGGGTGAAACGGCAGCAGACGACGACAACGACGGCCAGGGCGGCGATCGATCACCAAAGGAGAAACGGGCACCTCGCACAGCGGACGAAGACGCCATGGACGCCTTGCTCGGGAACAAGCGACAGGAGGAAGAAGACATTGTCATCCAGGCCACGGAGCAGGACGCCTACCTCTCCGACATCAAGCACGTGGGCGAGGACGCGACGCTCGCCGACTACGACGCGATACCGGACGGCGAGTTCGGCGCCGCGCTGCTGCGCGGCATGGGCTGGGACGGCAAGATGCGCGGGCCCAAGAAGAAGCAGCCGACAGAGAGGCGGCAGAACCAGCTCGGCTTGGGCGCCAAGAAGCTCGAGGGCGCCGAGGACCTGGGGCAGTGGAATCACGGCGGGAAGAAGAAGAGCGGACGTCCGAGGCTGGACGAGTACCGTCGCGAGGAGGAGAAGAGGCGCAGCGAGCGCAAGGAGCGGAGGGGCGAGAGCTATAGGGATGAGAGGGATCGCGAGCGGGAGAGGGACCGGGATCGGGATAGGCATGGGGGTGGGCACCGTGATAGGGAGAGAGAGAGGGATAGGGATAGAGATCGGGACTATCACAGCTCGAGACATCGGGGCGGTGATTCAAGACGATGAAGAATCTGTAGCGGGTTTGGCGAGAGGCTGTTCCCTGTTTCAGGTCGTGGCAGAGTTGAATAGTTTGTCCACGGATAAATAGACCAACCAGACAAATTATTCATGATACTCCCAAAAAGAAATCTGTCAGGTAGCGTTGTTACCTGTGGCATCGGTTTCGCTCATCAACATTGGGATATTGGGTTCCAGTCACTATCATGACTTCGGAACACAATGCAAGAGCGTGACCGGACCGATTGTACATAATAGGATACCTTGAAAGCTGCATTCTACTCGGGTTATCTCTCATGTCCAATAAGGCCGAAGACCCGCCGTGACTATACAGCATTAATTGATGTCGGCGCTGCCTCCGCATTACCTACTCGATGTACTTCAACCTGACCGCCGGTCCATTGTGGGGAGGTGGAAACGCCCAATATTTCCATAGTATGGTACGCAGGTCTTTAGTCAAGTAAAAACCACGGAGGCCGAAGAAGCCGTGATGAAAAGACTCTGAATCCCTACACGAAGTCCTGTTTTGGATTTCCTCGATCACAATGTACTAAGAACCCCATGGGGCTTCGCCGCATTCGTCTAGGGATTCCCCTTCGGCGCATGATACACGAAGCCACGCAACCCTGAGGATTGGTTGAAGATATCCAGGTTTTAATGTATGTGGCGCCTTCTCGTGAGCACCAATGACCACTATCTCCCTGATTAGAGTTTGTCATACCAATGGCTCCCCCACGAAGGCTTCCTTCTGTCGTATCATTGAGAAGGAGCTTTCGTGTCATGGACCACTTCGACCTCAGAGGGCAGTGACCACTGTGGGTTATGAACATCTGCAGTTCGTTGCATCCATCTGCTTTTTCTATCCTTTTCCTCCTTCGCCATCCTACGCATATCTTCTCGGCCTTTTCCTTCTCCCCAGATAACGTTGCTTCGTTCAGCACGTTCTGGATCCAACATTTCTTCTGCTCCATGTTTACAAATCAGATTCATCAGTACTCCATCGATTCCCCATTTCATCATGTCGTCGATACACGAAAAGCCCAAATCCTCTGTACAGGAAGTACAAGATAAGGAGATACCCGATACGATTGCCTCCAACCCGGAGGCCAAGGCTGCCAGAGACTACGAGGAGCATCACAACTACATGCAGACCGTCTCAAAGTACTTCCCCGCGATCAAATGGTCCATCTTCTTCGCCATGACCATTGTCGGCGAGGGTTACGACCTCGCTCTTATGGGCAACTTTTTCTCCTTGGATCAGTTCCAGAACCTCTTCGGTTACGCTCCGCAAGGGGCCGCTGTCAAGGAGATCCCAACGCTCTGGCAGTCCTTGATCCTTACTTCAAGCCAGGCCGGTCAAGTTACGGCCATGTACTTCGCTGGTCTGTCCATGGACAGGTTCGGCTACCGAAAGACAATGATATTTTCTCTCGGATCTATCATGGTACTCCTTCTCGTCAACTTCTTCGCGCCGGCGGTCTTGCCCACGGGAGGCTATAAGGCTGGTCTCGGCATGATCTTCGCCGGCGAGTTCCTCTTGGGACTTCCTTGGGGAGCTTTCCAGGCTTGCGTTCTACCCTATGCTTCCGACATCTCGCCCCTCAAGCTTCGTCCGACTCTCACCACTTTCGTCTCCATGTGCTGGATTTTCGGCCAGCTCTTCTCGACGGCGGCAATCAAGGGTGTTGCGAACATCGAATCCAACGATCTCATGGCATACCGCATTCCCGTCGGCATCCAATGGATATGGCCCCTTCCCGTTCTCCTCTGCGTCTTCCTTGCTCCCGAATCGCCTTGGTGGCTCATGCGCCAGTCTCGTTCCGACCTCGCACGCAACTCCCTTGCAAGACTCAACAAAGATCCGACGTATCCAGTTGACGGTCAGGTCAAGGTCCTCGAGCTCACCAACGAGCAGGAGAAGAACAGCCAGGAAGATTCCAATATCACGTACCTGGAGTGCTTCCGCGGCACCAACCTTCGCCGTACCATGATTGTCATCACCATGAACTTGACGCAACAGCTCTGCGGTTCGGCCCTCATGTTTTACTCGGCCAAGCTATACCAGAAGGCTGGCATGAGCAGTTCCAAATCATACGACTTTACGCTGATTCAGTACGCAATCGGCATCATCGGTATCGTCTCTTCTTGGCCTCTGATGAACTACGTTGGACGCAGAACCATCTGGCTCTGGGGATTGATGGGCTCCATCATTCTCATGACAGGTGTCGGCGTGCTAGGTTTCCACAGCGATGCGCACCCGGCAGTTCCTTGGGTCATCGCAGTCATGCTCGTGATCTTCACAGGAGTTTACAATCTTTCAATCGGACCTCTCGTGTACGCTATTAACCCCGAGATTCCATCGACCCGACAAAAAGCCAAGACGCTTGTCATCGGCCGAGTAGCCTATCTCATCGCAGGACAATTCAACATGTGGCTTTTGCCAAGGATGCTGGAGAACGCTCCGAACGGATGGGGCCTTGGACCTCGCACAGCGCTGGTGTATGCTGTTATCAACGCCGCCTTCTACGTCTGGGCCTACTTTTGTCTGCCGGAGGTCCGGGACAGAACTCAGGCCGAGATGGATGAGCTTTTCAAGCTGAATATACCTGCTCGAAAGTTTCGTAGTACCGAGCTGACGGCTGAATAAGGTGGCCGTGTGTATGTCGGCTGTTGCTCAAGCAGCTGTCCAATCTCGACTGTTGGAAGACATTGAAGGGAGACGTCTCCGCTTCTTTTGTATCAGGCCCAGTATTCAGTTTCGCGTGGCTTTGGAGTTCAGTACTGGGATAACGCATTATATGATAAGTAGTAAAAGTAAAAGTTTCGAAAATGCATCTCCCTAATCGTTTTGTCTGAGTAGCAGAAGCTACCTCCAAGAAGCATGTCTCGGCACTGCTCTGTTATGTGTGCAACATCGGTGATGACATACCCGTCCCAATCCAAGCTCTGTTAGTGGCCCAGGGGTTACCGGCACCAAAAGGTGCAGGATCCTTGGCCCCTGAGTCGCGTTCGTCTGCCCCACCAAAGCTGCCGCTGCGGCTGCTGCCGGAACTTGGTGGACTTCCCAATTTTGAGCTCCTTTCGCCAGTTCGAAACCATCTCTCCTACATGCTGCGATCTGCAAAGCAGCCACAGTACACGAACACGACTCTAAAGCAGGGGCTTGACAGCTTCCTTTAACCCAATGGCCATCGAGTGCCAGCCTTGATATTTCATATCTTTCCTTTTCTTCTTCTTTTTTTGAACCACTCTATCAGCCAAGACAAGCCACAATGCCTCAGAAATCCCCCAAACCGAAGGGTCCGCCGCCCGCCGACTACAAAGCCATCGCCGAGCAATTCGCCAAATTGAAGCGCCAAAGGGAGATTGAGGAGGCTAGCAGGCCCCCCGAGGAGATTAAGGCGGAAAAAGAACGAGCACTCCTTCGCGAGAAGCAGCGCGAGGTGTTTGAAAGCCGGCGCAAGAATGCCTACGAGCGTAGGTGGTGGTGGACTGTTGCGTTCTGGGCGTGGATGCTGTGTCTGCATGCTATTGGCATCGCCTTCTTCACCAGCGGCTTCCTTCTGACGCGACTTGTCCTCGACGAGAAGTCCAACTGTACGGCGCCCCCGCTCGAGCTCGCGTCGAGCTGGAAGGGCCAAGGCACGGTCCAGGGCGGTTGCTGGCACCCAAAGTCGTTTGACAAGGCCGTGGTTGTCATCGTCGATGCGCTGCGGTACGACTTTACGGTTCCCGTGGAGGATCAGGCTCCTTTCCACAACGCGTTTCCCTTCTTGCACGAGACTGCCGTCAGGTCCCCGGAACACGCTTTCCTGCGCCCCTTTATCGCCGATCCGCCGACTACTACTCTCCAGAGGCTGAAGGGCCTGACTACTGGTACCCTGCCCACGTTCATTGATGCCGGTAGCAACTTTGCTGGTACCGCTATTGAGGAGGACAACCTCCTCATGCAGCTGAAGGACGCTGGGAAGCGCATTGCACACCTGGGGGACGATACTTGGATGTCTTTGTTCCCCGGCTATTTCGAGGCCAACGTGAGCAGAGCGTACGATAGCTTCAACGTCTGGGACCTGCACACAGTCGACAATGGTGTCATTGATCACATCTTTCCTCTCCTCAAGCAGGAGCAGAAGGGCAAGTGGGATGTTCTCATCGGTCACCTCCTTGGCGTCGACCACGCCGGCCACCGTTACGGACCAAACCATGCGGCAATGACGGCAAAGCTCCAGCAGATGGATATCTTCATCCGCGATCTTGCCGCTCAGATCGACGACAATACCCTACTCGTCGTGATGGGAGATCATGGCATGGATAGCAAGGGCGACCATGGTGGCGAGAGCGACGACGAGGTCGAGGCAGCGCTGTGGATGTACTCGAAGCGTCCTTTCTTTGGCCGGACCAAGCCCGATTTCAAACAGCCCCCGAGCATGGCCAAGGTTAGGCCGGTCAATCAGATTGATCTCGTACCAACTCTGGCACTCCTTTTGGGCATTCCAATCCCTTACAACAATTTGGGACGTCCCATCGAGGAAGCTTTCGCTGGTAAAAAGGGCAAAGCCTGGGACAATCTGGCGGCTGTATCACGATTAACCGCTGCCGGCATTCAGCGATACCAAGACTCGTACTTTGCTGCCCGTGGTATTGACCAGTCCAAAAGCGCCACGGCCGGTCACGTATCGAACCTTTGGAGAAAGGCCGACCGTTCATGGCAGTGGAAGAACCACCAGGAATCCTACGGATTTTTCAACATGTTCCAGGAGGAAACTCTGTGCATCTGCAAGGACCTGTGGGCCCGTTTCGATGTACCCAAGATGGTGACGGGTATTGTTGTCATGGCGGTCGGAGTCATTACTCTGCTCGTCTATGCCTCGCGCGACGAAGATGAGGACTTTGCTGTTCTCGACGATCTCGAGCTGGATCAGGCAGAGATGAAGCTGGAACTCCAGGGTGTCCAACCCGATGGAACGGCGTCGTACAAAACTCTCCACGAGAAGATCTTCCTCGCGGCAATTCTCGGCGCTGTACCTGGAGCACTGGTTGGCGCCGGATACTCCGTCTTCACCGGCCCTGAGGATCTGGTCTACGCTGTTGCTGGTGGCGCTGTCACCAGCGCGTTAGGCGTCCTGTTCTCGCTCTATGGCTTTGGAAAGACTCTCCGCAATCTTCTGCCCAACACCGTCTGGGGTTGGCTCGCCGTCCTCTTCACGGTCAGCCAGTCTATTGGTTTCGCATCAAACTCATACACAATCTGGGAGGATTCGATCCTCCTCTTCTTCATCACGACCTTTGGCGTGGCGAACGTCTTTGCTGCGTTCTCGGTGCCTACGATGCGGGAACGCACCCTCGCAATATACCATTCGGTTCTTTTTGTTATTCTTGGTCGGCTCGCATCGTTTTCCAAACTCTGCCGTGAGGAGCAAATGCCCTACTGTACTTCGACCTACTATTCCTCGGCTACCTCCTCAACGTCTTCTACATGGCAACTAGCCATTCCTTTCGCCGTCGCCCTCATCCTGCCTTCCATCATCCAGTCTTTTCTTCTACCTACTCGCAATTGGGAGGGGCTCGGGCCAGCATGGATTGGTTATGTCTACCGCATTGGCTTGCTTCTGTCAGCATCGTACTGGGTTCTCGATGCCGCCGACAACGGCGATTGGTTCCCAGACCTGCCGGCCCAGACTCTGAAGAATGCCGGGACCTATATGGCCCAGGTGATTCTTGCCCTGGTTTTCGTGGCGGGCACTACCGCCTTTGTCTGGGCGCCGCCGCTGGTGTCGATCTTTAGAACACCTACGAACGCAGGTCCCCAGATTACTGTTTTGGGTTATGGCAACACGCATGGCTCGAGATATCTGCTTCTTCCGATGAACATTGTTGGAGCCTGTATTCTCCTGTCAAAGCCTATGGGAGGCGGCGCTTTGGCCCTGATGTTTTGGCAGATTCTCTCGCTCGTTGAGATTCTCGACCTGAACTCGTTGACGAATGAGGCGATTGGACCTATTATGCTTGCAATCATTGGCAACTTTGGGTACTTCAAGACGGGCCACCAAGCCACACTCAGCAGTATTCAATGGGACAGCGCTTTCATCCCGCTGTTCACCATCCGATACCCATGGAGTCCCATCGTTATGGCCCTCAACACGTTCGCGGGTCAAATCGTTGCGGTCGCGGCCGTTCCCCTCATTGTACTCTGGAAAGTGAGTCCTAAGAGGAAGGGAGTACTTGAGAGCGTCGGCAGAGCGCTGGGCATATTCGTTGCCTACTTCGCTGTTGAGTCTTTGGCAACTATGGCGTGGGCTGGGTGGCTGAGGAGACATCTCATGCTGTACAGAGTGTTTAGCCCCCGCTTCATGATGGCGGCGGCTCTCCTGCTGGTGGTAGACTTGGTTGGACTCGTGATCACCCTCATCGGTGTGAGATCCAACACGATGGCGGTGAGCGAGGTTTTTGGCTGGGTTGAATAAAATTGCCGTTTTGGGTACTTCGATAGAAAATCGAACAACAATACCACTGTAACATTATAATTGTATAGCCATGAGCAAAGAATTCGGTCAGGGAGCTGCTTATATAAGGACAGTGTATGAACAAAAGACTGAGGTTTGCTTTGGCGTCTGACACCGTATTAGTAGCTTTGTCCTTTGCCTCGGTAATACCCTGCCACAACGTATTGGTGATTTGGAGAATGGACTGGCATTACGGGATAATGCGCCTCTTTGAAGGATATTAAAGGACAACTGGTTATTATACAGGCATGGAACATGCATCTTGCAAAGCTTCAAGCACTCCGCTATCCGGAGCATCGCTCAATGGCAGTTCCATTCTACGTCTTCAAGTCAGTTACTTCGATGCTAGAGCTGGGGAGCTTGGCCAAGAGCTCTGGGTTTTGCGTGCTACCCTGATTATATAAGCCAGTACGTCGATACTTGAGATGGTTTCCGATGACTTCTAAAATTCAGCAAAGGTTGCTGGGGCCACAAGTATCGGGGAAGCTCCCAGATGTATCGGGATCTGTGCACGGCAAAACCCCACTTGGGTCGGTAATCAGCTCCTAGGCCTGGCGCCGCCTGCCGCAGGAGAACCGTGGCCTAGAGGAGCACAGGGCACGTCGTGGTCTGGCAGGGACAATTGTGTGTTATTTTTCTTTTTTTTTTTCCTTTTTGGTTCCTTTGCCCTTTCCACATCTTCGGATTGCGCCTGTGGTAAGGTACCTACGGTTGGTACCCCCAGGAAGCCCAAAAAAGTGTCCCTCCCTCTGCTTCTCACGACATTTTGACCGCAAACGAAAATTAGAAAGTAGAAGGAAAAAAAAGAAGACCATCCACATCCACATCCACATCCACGTCCCACTCTCTCCTCCCACTTCGCAACCCGCTCCGCTCTTCTTCAGAGAAACCCGCCCGCCGCCGCCGCCCCGAACGACCAGATCTGCTGAACTGAACACACACAAAAAACCCACACACACCCTGAGCCGGTTTTATCCCAGTGTCCTCTGCCTCTGAACTGTGCACATTCATTTTTCCACTCTTCCCATCGACCATCCCTTCTCTCTTTTGATCTCCGCACATCGCTGCTGCTCTCGTCACGCGTCTCCATCTTCTTCCACCTCAAGCTCCCGCCGCCCCCTCGCATCGTCGTCGAAACCCTTTTTCCGGCGTATCCTCCTCTTCCTCCTCCTCCCGTCGCCCACCCCTCTCGTCCTCGGCTCTTCGTCATCAATCCTCTTTCGAGTCACTTCTGAGCGTTTCCCTCCCGGCCCATCGCATTTGAGGTACGCTCTTTGGTCATCCATATCGCTCGCTCTGCATCTGCTCCTCCTCCCCTCCGAGCTTAAATCTTCTAATCCTCCACCCTTCGCTCCCATTGGCGCATATCGTAATCCTAACATTCCATCATTCAAAGGGTCCTAGCTATCGAGTATCCTTCCGCGAAAGAAGAAACCTCCCCACAAGCAAAAGCGAAAAGCCCCGCAGAAACATCGAGCTTTCGCCCTCTCGCGACCTTCCATCGTCGTCTTCTCCTCCTCCCTCCTACCTTCCTTTCGGTCCGATTGCGCCCAGATATCCAGATTCCACAGAAGCAATCATGGCAACCAACGGTAACTACACACACCCGGACCAGTTCAAGGGCGCTGTCGAGCCAACATCATCAGGTCCCACCTCAACCAACGATGCCGTCTCGGCTGGAAACAGCAACCTCTCTAAGGATGAGGTTGGCTGGTACTTTGTCGAGCAATATTACACAACTCTGAGCAAGAACCCGGATAAGCTTCACGTACGCATCCAACTCGGCCCCCCTTCCGAGATGGTTCTTTGAATACTGACACGTATCCACAGCTCTTCTACGGAAAGCGCTCCCAGTTCGTTTATGGAATGGAGGCAGAGGTCGCAAACGTGTCTGTCGGCAGACAAGTCAGTTCTTCCAACTTTCTCTGTGCTTCTTTGAAGCCTTTCGAAAAGCTCAATTATGCTGACCATCACGCTTCCTAGACTATCCAAGAGAGAATTAAGAGCCTCGACTTCCAGAACAGCAAAGTCCGCATCACAAACGTCGACTCCCAGGCCTCTTTCGACAACATCGTCATCCAGGTCATTGGTGAGAGCTCCATCAAGTCCGCCGAGCCCAAGAAGTTTGTCCAGACATTCGTCCTCGCGCCTCAGCCGTCCGGCTACTTCGTCGTCAACGACATCCTGAGATATATCAACGACGAGGAAGAGGAAGAGGCCGCTCCTGAGGCTGAGGCGGCTCCCGAGGAGCAAGCCGCTCCTGAGGAGGTTGCCGAGGTCTCTGCCCAGGCAGAGGCTGAGGAGCCCAAGGTTGAGCAGACCCCTGAGGAGGCCACTGGCCCCGCTATCGATGTCGACGAGGTTGAGAAGAAGCTGGAGGAGGTTAGCGCCGCCCCCCAGGACGTCGCCTCCAACAACGGCGATGCCGTGCCCGCGGTTCCCGAGCCCGCAAAGGCTGCTGAGACTAAGGTCGAGGAGCCTGCGGCTGACCCCGAGGCCGCTGTGAAGGAGGTTGCTGAGGAGGACGCCACCGAGCCCGAGAAGCCTGCCGACCCCTCTCCCACCCCTGTCGCTCCCACCAAGGCTCCTGCCGCTGAGCCCGAGAAGCCCAAGCCCGCCCCTGCGCCCGTCCCGATGAAGCCCATGTCTTGGGCCAGCCGTGCTGCCGCCGCTGTCGGACCTAAGCCCGTCGTGCCGCTTCCCAAGACCGCCACTCCTCCCGCTGGCCAGGCCAAGGCTCCTGCTCCTGCTGCTCCCGCCGCCGCTCCCGCCAAGGAGGCTGCTCCTGCTACCGATGCCCCCGCCAAGGAGGCTCAGGCCCAGGCCGCCAAGGAGGATTCTCCCGCCGCCGAGTGGCAGTCCGTCGGAGCCGACTCCAAGCGCCAGAACCGCCCCCAGTCCATCTCCCAGGCACCCACCGAGAACTACGGCACCTTGGGATACGTTAAGTACGTGACTGACAAGGTCAAGGCCGAGGACCTCAAGGGCGCCCTGGCTGCCCACGGCGAGCTCACCTACTTCGACATCAACCGCCAGAAGGTAAGATTTCAAGTGCCCTGAATAATGATGAGTGACAGACTAACGATTCACAGAACTGCGCATTTGTCGAGTTCGCCACTGTTGCCGGCTACCAGGCCGCTGCCGCTGCCAACCCCCACACCGTTAACGGCGAGAACATCATCGTCGAGCCTCGTCGCCCCAAGGCCAACGCTTACGGCGGTAGCAGCTACTCTTCTAACACTCCCCGCGGCAACGCCACCGGCGGCGGCCGTGGCCGTGGTGGTTTTGAAGGAGGAAACCGCTCCGGCAGCCAGGGAGGTGGCCGCGGTAACTTCACCGGTGGTCAGGCCCGTGGCCGCGGCAGCGTCCGTGGCCGTGGTGCTTCCCAGGCTACTGCTTAAACCAGGACAGTCATGTACTGAAGCACTGGTTAGGGTCAAATAGGTGTCCTCGATTCTCGGGATTACCTAGAAGAGCTTTTGACTGGCGTTGACGACACGAAGTACCGATCCTATCATCCACCGTCTTGCGTGTAGCTATCACCCCCTACACGAACATATCTATCACACACGACCACCACGACGACATTTAAATCCGAATCCACTCCTCCTCAAAACCAAAACTATTCTCACGATCGTCGGACAGTCGTCGAACGATCGCTGACGAAGGAGAGAAAAGCTACAGTTACCTTGATTTCTTTTGCAAGGAGTTCACAGGGCAAGGGCGTGGATTTACACACCGTTTCCTGTACTTTTACACCCCCCCCCCCCCAAATTATTTTCATTTCTCATTTCTTGTCTTTTTTCCTTCTCGCGCTTGCGTTTTTCCAGCATTTGCATCCGCGCTCGTGGCAAGGCAACTCCTTTCCCCTGGGGATGATTACCTTTGTCCCGGCGCAAACAACGTTTTGAGCTAGCTCTTTCTCACTTCTTCACTATCACAAACAAAAATTTGATGGCGATCAAGAATGGAGTTCCCTGTATATTTGGGCGAAGTTGGAACGGAATCAAAGGGGAAAGGGGAGCACTTGGGAGGAAAAGGGGGGATCAGCATGAACAAAAGTTTTGGCGTCCCATTGCTTTTACCGAGAGAATTTGTCTTTCTTGGGAGAATAGGAAAGGAAAGGGGGGAAATGGGGAAAGGAGGGAAAGGGAGGGGGAGAAGCCTAAGGGGATCGGGGTGATGATGCTGTACCATACCAAGACCGACACACACACTCACAGACACACAACCACTACACCGAAGATCCGTAACCCGGTTCTTTTAATGAGAAACAGACGACAATTACTAATGGGTTTTGTGGGAAATCTGCGGCGATATCCGTGATATGTTTGCGTAATGAGGTCCAGCGCCTTTTGGCTTCTCTTTGTGTACTATTCTGCTGGGATGCGCTGCTACACCTAGTCCAAGTTGACTGAAGATGAAGAGTAACCAGGGACTTTATACAATTCGAAACATGCCATCAAAGTAGGGGTGTACTCTGCTGTGATGCCCAACAGACTTGCGCTTACAGAAGACAGAACAGAAGGATTGGATTTCCTGCTTCTCACGCTTGATTCCATCTTGCTTCGTTGTTGATCGAAGGGCTCATTCTTTTCTCCATGAGTACTCAAGACTATGAGGATACAGATCGGATCCCTGGTTGTTTCGAGGGTGGTAGGTTGATTGGAATAGCTAACTCTCATAGGAACTCGATATTTGACACCCGAACTGGGAGGAGGAGGTGGAGGAGGAGGAGTTAGAAAAACAGGGAATGAAGACATGTGAGCCATGCTTGTTCTCATGAGCGTGAAGTTTCCGTTGATACTGTCTGTCCGGGCTTGGAGATTAAAGTGTTCTTCTTTGCAAATGTGGTTTCCCAGCAGTGTTGGGGTTGGCGTTCCTTGTATGTTCGCATTATACAAGAACGAAGAAACCGTCATAGTGTTAAGAGATGTGGTATACTTCATGTATGGCCTGTCGTATAACATACATCACAGAGGGCCCCGAGAGGCTCGGTAGAGACAAGGAAGATGGAAAGGAGGAAATGCCCTTCCTGGCGGGTATCACGATATCGCGGAATGTGACAATCTCCAGGCGACACTTCAGGGCTGTAAGAGCCGGTGAGTCGAGGATACGTGATAATAAGAGAGGTGGAATATATATATACATATATATCGCTTCAAGAACCGGTGTTTGACCAATGTCTCTCGTCGGGGGCTCGCAATACCAAGCATCTTGTCACAAACAAGAACCAGATTTCGTCAGAAACAAAAACGCGTGTGTCTCCAGGAGCGTGCATCACAGGCTCGATGGGAAAAGTGCAAAGTTCGTTCTCACACTTCATTACAAGAACGGACAATTTGTTTGGAACCCGGGGATATAAGATAGATGAAGGGGAAAGTTAGCAACGATATTCTCCTCTCAGTGGCAGCAGCAGCAGTAGCGTATGGCAAGCGATTATGCAGCTCAATTTCGAGTTCCAAGTTCCATGAAAGGCGCAAATTTCTCAAGCTCTTACCGCGCCACCTCTCTGCGTGTTCAGAATTTGTTCTTTGATTGAAAAACGTCTTCAGTCGCGGTTTTGAAAGGCAAAGCTACTTCTGGGCCTAAAATATCCCCATCTACGCGGATCTCTTCTTCGTCTTGTGTCTTCTTTCTAGAACAAGACTTCAAGGCGACGGGGTTCATGATCTGTTCCATCATCAACTCCTATCCTTGAATATCGTGATTCCTCAGATGGGAGCCGTGACCAACATTGGACTGCGTGGGTGAATAATTTGCGACACCATGAGAGTCAGGAGAGAAGGGAAAGAGTATGTCTTGAGTCTGGAGTCTCGAATCTCGAGTCTATCAGAGGATCCTAATCGGGTATGTAGATAAATCCCACCGGCATTATCTGGATCGAAAACGCACTAAAGAGAAATCCACCTTCCTCTTTACTCGGCTTCATTTCTATCCATGCTGGGCTGAGATGTGGAGACCGACATCGTCGCCGTCTCGTTCACGTTGGCAAAGAGATCAAGTCCGTTCCGCCAAGAGAAGGGGGGCCTATACCTCATCGTTCGCATCTCTGGAACCCTGTGTTAGACTGTACGACAACGGCGTTATAACGATGAGCTTTGTTTCCTGTACCACGATGCATTTCATTCGATTCGCGCGCTGCCGGGTTGGTGAGGTTGTAGACACCCGCAAGAGGGGAGGAGGCAACGTCAAGAGCGACGAGATCCAAGGCCATCGTCAATATACCCGCTTCGTTGCGCGTGTTTGGTTCATCCGACACAGACCCTCCTCTTCATCGTCTTAGTCTCTGCCTCTCTCGCCACTTTAGGCTCGGAGATCGCATCACGGTCTTTTGGGCGAAAACGCGCCCCACGTTGGACCATGAACTACAAAGGTTCCAAGAGGAAAATTGCGAAAAGGAAAGAAAGGGCGCAAAGAAGCCATCCTGGCTTGCAAATGGCGGTCGATAGTCGAGAGAGCTCTGGACCATGTTGTGGTGCCATTGGACTGGACCTACCTGCTCAGCTTGTTCGTGTTTCTCCTGTTTCCAAGCATCTCGATTTAATTGTCGAGGCTCAATGGGAGTCAACTAGCCAAGTCGGTTAGAGGGGTTTGAAAAAAAAGTTTCCTCTTTACAAAAGAACCTGGGGAAAACAACGTCGTATAAACAAACGAACCCTGTGCGACTCCAGAAAGACCAACCCGAACCATTATTGAAGTCTTGGGGGCTCCATTCAGAAATGGCACCCGGAATTACCTTCCGCCTTTCACCAGGCGTATGGGACGCGCGGGTTGCACGTCTGGTTGTTTGTCTTGGTGATCGGACCACATGTTGTGCAGGGTCGACTGACAAAGGGACCAATGTGGAAATTTCCAAAAGTTCGTGTGTCCTTTTGTCTGAAACCCCTCGAGTTCAAAACCTCGTCGCCAAGGCCCTGGGAAGCGCTGACGGTAGGCCGTTGGTATGCGAATCTCGTCTCCACAATCGTCGTACAGAGCTGAGAGAAAGTCTCCTTTTCGCGAGAATGATGTACGTAATAATGCTCTTACTCCCGAGCTGCCAATCAAGCGAGCAATGCGTGGGCGACAAGTCGGAAGCTGCCATCGACGCACGCACTCTCATAATGAGCGGATCTCGTGTGTATTTCTATTCTGTCCATCAGGGTACGACTGCGACTACAATTACTGTATATAGAGTGGTGTACGGAGGCTTGCAGCTCAGAGTCTTGGCTTGCGGGCTTGGCTGGCCAACTGGGGTAAAGGCTGGGGATTTTTGTTTCTTCCCCCTCGCAACCCATAACGTCAGTCAAACTACATTGTACTCCGTAGGTGACTGATAATGATTTGCTGTCGTAGCTGTCAAGTTCGCCGACTTGATGAAGGAAAAGTGTCCACTTAGACAAACGGGGCTTCTTTACCAGCCGGCGAGGCTGTGCTTGCTGCTGCTCGTCTTTCTGTTGGTCTTTTGCCGGCGAGCTCGGCTCGGATGTTGCGAGCCCTGCGGTTGCAGATGTCTTTGCTCTTGCACCCACAGTTCTTTTTTACCCCCTCCCTGTTTGCTTGCGACCTTCTCGATTGAGATGGCGGTCACGTCAACTTTGTGTGGTTGGTCGGTACCTGGACCTCGATTAGAAATGGTCCAGAAGATGCCGTCTTAGCCGTCAACCCCCAGCTTCCTCGGGCGTCGAGAATCTAAAGAGGGGAAATCTTGCCGTTGGGTTGTATTATTCTCCGGCGCGCGTGTTCTAGGTCGTAGAGCGGCATGCTGTCATCACTGTTTTCAAAGTAGTGCTTTGTACGTCTCCGTACGGACAATGCTTCCATCCTTGTAGCGGTAGCATACGGAACCCAAAGTGTGGGTGGGCTGGGTCTTCGTGAGCAGGTGGCCAGACTTCACCGCGCTTGTTCTTGCGAGGGGTTGCAACAGTCCGTTAACCAGCATGCAAACAGTTTTGCTGACCGATGATCACAGAGCTAGGATGAAAGATGTTCAAGTAGCAGATAGGGAACTGCCGGCGATAATCAAAGATCAGCACCTTGGAGAGCGGCTAGACAGTGGAGATTATTTGGAGATTTCCGTCGTCGATTCTTGTTTAGGAAAGAATACGTCTTTCGAGTCTGGGTTTCGTTGGTGTTGGTGACTGGCGAGTTGTTTCTAGAATATTGCCTGTTCCGAGGTAGAGCGGCATGGGCAAACTCGCGTTAGAATCAACGTCCTATCTCCTCAATGATAACGAAACATTTGCTTCACGTTGACGAACGAAGCCGACCTAGCAAAACAGGGCAGGGCGAGCATTCAGCGGCAGCCAGCTGGAAGACGGGGCGTGAGCTGTGGTGCGGGAATGGCGTCCACTCAAGCTTTCCAAGAAAATTCCAAGAGATTGGGCGAAGCCGCTAGAAGCAGAAACGGGCGGCCGGGTTCGGGGGGCGTGTGTTGCGTGGTGGTATTGGCCTGGCCTGCAACAGACTGATTACCTCCATACCAGTCCGCCATCAGTGATACGTGACATTTGCTTGACAGGCCCCAAAAGCACCACGTTCATCTATGGAAAAATTCGAACGCTGGTGTAGAAGGAGGGCGCGACGTTCGAGTCGCGACTGGCGCCCCATGGCCAAAACCTGACTTCGTGGCGTGCCGGAGGGGATCCGAAGGGCGTTTTCTGGGGAACGGGGGGATCTGGAGGGGGTCCCTATCCCAGCAGGCATGGCGTGATGGATGGGGTAGGTGTTAAACTGCCATTGTCAACGGCTGGTTCAACGATTGTCCTGATGGGCCGGATGTCGCGGAGAGTGCTCCGTTCTGCAATTTGTGGTGAGGCAGAGCGTACGTATTGCGCATGATAATCGCAATATGAGAAACGGCGCCATTGGGGCACCGGGGCCGAAGCGAAAACTCTGCTCCAAAGGCAGCAGCACAGTATACGAGGCGCGTCTGCAAAAGTTCGATTTGTTCTACCCAAACTTGCACGGCTGACGCTTGGCTTGAGAAAAGTACTGTAGGCTGGCAGGTGGCTGACCAACGACAGGCGACGAACCGGGGGATGTATTCGAGTTAGTGTTAGCAAAAGGGAACGGCTGAGTGGGATCCGCTCGCAAAAGATCCTTTGGACTTTTGCCAATAATCGGGCGTCCATCCAAACGGACACTCCGCCCTGCGCACTCGCGGACTGCAGTAGGACAGGCGCTCAAGCGAGGAGAGGCGAGTGTGTGCGCGAGGGTGGCAGGTGGTTCGGGCCAGCCGCCGCTCTTGGCATTTGCCGTTCCTCGTTTCATTTATGCACCACTCTTCCCGTCGAAGCCCAGGCCAGCAAACAGCACTGGTGTGTCCCGCCGCCGTCAATGTTTCGGGTGGGCGTACGCGGGTATAGTGGATGGTAAGGTACGGTCACTTTGTTGTAGGTTGAAGGACACGCCAGTGGCTGCCTCCGTTTCAGCGGACGATATTCAAGCTGCGGACACAGCCAGTCGTCTCTCGGCCGATTCGAGAGTCCAAGCCACTTGAAGACGGGATCGCCATGTGCATCGAGCTTGGCCGCGCTCCCGTTCTGGTGCTAGGCGGTGCTAACCCTCCATTGACGTCCATTGATGACTTGCAGTACAGAGCCAAGGAATCCCGAGCCAGCAAGAACGGTGACGGCGGGCGGGCGGCGTCGGCGGCGGAAAGAGAGGTTTACCGCAGTAACTGTTGAAAGGGGATGCTATGACATTGACAGGGCAATTCAAAGGTTAGGGGGATAGCATGGCGACATGGATTATGCAGAAATGCTTGATTGCGCGGCCGGAGGGCAAAGAGAACGGCAGAGAGACTGGGGCAAGGTCAGTGAACGACGAGGGTAGCCTTGGGCACAGTGGCGGATTTCTGACCTGTTTCGTCTTGGTCTTGGCCTTTGGTGTTGGTCTGGGTCTCGAGAGAGGAAAGTGTGTGTGGGTGGGCGGTGTTGGTGCACAAAGTATCGGTGCTTGTGCTGCGTCGTATGGCATGTTTTAGCACTGGCATGTCGACGGCCATGCTCGTTCATCCCATTTCTTGTATCCCCGTACGAAGCATCCTTTCAAACACATTAGTAGTTGTTCAGATGATTCCTTCGGGAAGTATTCGAAGTCTCATCGTCTCACCAAGTTTTGCTCAATTGTGCGGACTGCGGTTTTCTACCTGAATACAGATACTGAGCGTGAGCAGTGTTTGGTTTGCTGCTGCTGTACTGTAAGTGTACTGTGTAACGTTCTGATATCTAGCACCCACGTCGCCGATCCACTTGACATTTACCTTAGAATTTACCTTAAACCAAGGTGGACTCGGTTTACGAAGCTCCAGAGTCCAGAGTCCAGTGCTCCACAGGCAGTCAGCAAGTGGCAGTTGCCGACCAAGTTCCGTTCTGTCTATATCCGAAAAAATCCCAGTGATCGAATGACGCGGACATTGTATGCAAAAGACCTCCCTAGAGAGCCTACCTTCCTCTGTTGGAAGACTAGAGAGACGTTGTTGCCGGAGTTGAAGCCGAGTTGCGACATCTGACCTGGCCTTTACCTTGATGAGCGCAGGTGCAATATGACGAATACTACCTGCCTGCTCCATGGTTGAGAGAGTGAAGCTACCTAGAAAGAAGGAGTAGGTCTGGGTGCTAGTGTAAGCTTGTTAGTGCAAGGTAAGGTAAGGTCGGGTCGCGTCCGACTCAAGCGGTGGGAATTTGAGAACTTTGGAAGTTGACGGGAGACTTCTGACTGAGAATGGAAACAGGTACGGAGGGTGGGTCCACGCCGGGCTAGGCCCCCGCCTTTCTGTGCCGTAATGCCGTAATTGGTGCCATTGGAAAAGGCATCCATTCAGCTGACCTTCCGTCGTGGCTTCCATGATCCAATTGGTACTTTGCCGGCAACTTGTCCAAGAGTGAAACGGAAGATGGGATTCGCCAGGTAGGGGAGGCACCTGCCTTTCGTTCAAACTTTTGCATGCCTTCCTTCATATGGAGTAAGGTACCTCGATACTTTGCTAAGGCTCAAGCGGGCAGGTTGATATTCGGCAGAATTCAAGCATTTTCATTTTGCACCCGGGCCTTCTCACGCTGCAACTCTCTCTCCCTCTCCCGTCTTTTCATGGTCAGATACCTTACTTTGTTTAGTACGATAAGGTACATTGATACCTTGGGTCATCAAGTTACTTCCCGTCTGGTCCTTGCTTGCCCGCCCGGCATCAATCTAGAACGTTGGAGACGAGGCGCCATTCCTTGCATCAGATAGATACATTGCGTTTGAAGCTTTGTGTCTTAACCGACCACTTATTCCTTTCTTTTACCTTGCTCTCCTTCTCTCCTCTGTTCTGTTTCTCGGTGGACAGATACTGTCAGACTCAGGCAGTATTACAAGCGCCCGTTGTGCTATGGCGGCCAATCTCCAAGGTTGCAATGCAAATGACAATGCCAGAGGGACGTTGACCTACGGGAGACTCAGCCTCTGTCCCTCTGGTCTCCAAATACAAAGATACCCTGCTGTGCTGCTGGGTCTAGGCACAACGGGAGGTAGCATTGCCATAATACCGTCCACCAAAAGGTCAAAAGATGAAAAAGCTGGGTGGTCTACTAGCAGTCTAGCACAGGTCAAGGGGAAAAAAAAGTACCTCGAGTCCGCGCCACCCCGGTCGCCGCATGTCTTTTACCTCCCAAAACGGGTTAGACCTGTCTACAAAAGGCCTCGGTCCACTCGGCGCTGTTCTTGCTTCCCACATCCACATCCACATCCACATCCACCACTCTGACCAGGACCACCACACATTGGCACCAAAGGGCCTTTTTCTATTCTCCCTTCACTACCTTACCACAGTACTCCGTACGCAGTAATGTTAGGTTACGGCTTGTCAAACGGATGAACCGCTGGCCACTCACCACTCAGGTTTCAGGAATTACTCGTGGACCACACTGCCCGCTGGGGGTTCGTCTTGACGATCATCGGCACCGAACTCGCCCTAATTCTTACTCGAGCCTGCCTGCCATTTGCTTCAAGGCCGGTTCCTTGTCCCTATTCTGGACTCACGACCACCCTGCCGCTTTCATCCCCCCTCGTTCATCTGCCCCTGCTCTGCCGACCTGCCACGCCTGCCTCAACCTCTCAAGCCGACGGCCTGCGTTTCCGTTTGCTAGCCGCCGCTGCTGCTTGCTGCTTGCTGCTCGCCCTCCGAATGGAACACCGCACTTTACAACTGTACGGTAGAAGCGCCAAACTGCAAATCATTCATCATTCCAAGCAGTCCAACAAAGAGTCTGCCCATTTACCAACTCGCGCCGAGGTACATATCAAGGGTACGCGTACCAAAGTACGGATATCGCTGCAGCATCGCATTGAGTCCTGGTGCGGGATACTGGATATACGTACCTTCGGATCATTAATTGAATCGCACCTTGGCTGATCGATACACTACGTCCACGCCTACCGCCCGGCCAGAATCCGAGCCTCCATCTCTCTTCTTTACTCTCCAATTCTCCATTATCGAATCACCCAATACCTGCAAAAATCCCGACAGGGACCGATTGTAGCGCGCACTTGGTTCGACCTTTTGAAGTTTCGAAAAGAAAGCGGGAAAAAGACACACCCGTTGTACCCTTTGCAACCTGAACTTCACCTCTACCAACGGTGAACCCCGTACGCATACACAGTACTCCGTGCATACCCCGTTGAACTTGACCGTTCTCTCAAACTTGCTTGGGGTCCTGTTCAACTTCCGCTCGACACACGCCTCCACACCCATCAACCAGGTCCCATCCGTCCATCCATCCTTCTCTGATCACCACAAGTCGCGCGGTGGCCCCCCCAGGAACACACCAATTACCGTACATGGTCTTCACTTACCTTTGGTTTCTGTTACCCTATTCTTTCGCCATATCACGCCGTCCTTGTCAGCTACGCAACCACGTTCCCACCCGCCGCTCTTCAACGAGCCCTGTCCTGGCCTGACCCGACGTCCGATGCGCATGAGATCCGCCCCCAGAGCCAAGTCCCCCTTGCGGCCCTGGTCCTTCAACACAGACGAACTGCCCTTGCTGCGCGGTCCCGGACATCGTCTCCAACCTCTCGCGCCTCTTCTTCGGCCCTGCACGGGAATCGGTTCCCTCATATCCGGCTTGTACTGCTTTCATCATCGGGCTTCCTATTCAGTCCAACCTTGTTAAGCGGCTCTTCTTTGCGCTGGCACCACCCGATGACTCGACGCCTCCCGTTTCGCTTCACTCCTCCCGCCAGCCCGTTGCAACCTTGACCTTCCATCCCATCTCGTCTGCTTCCTCCACAACCACCACGCCTCCTCACATCTGTGCTTCCTGTGCTTGCTTGCTTGCTCGTCGTGCTTGTCTCGCACCTCGCTCGCTCCAGGAACTGGATTCTATTCCTACGCCCGGTCATTGGAACCAGGCCTATTACTTGGACCCGTCGCTCCATTGCCACCGCTTTCTCGCTTCTCGGCACATCACTCCATCCTTCATCCACCTTCTTACCACGACACACACACACACATCCACACCACCGAGGTCTCCAGTCCTTCTCCATACCTACGCATTCGTACCTGACTGGACCTAATCCACTCCCCGATCTCATCTCATCTACCGGTCTCGTCCCAGGACCCCTTTGCATTTGTTTTACGTTACTCTGCCCCGTGCGGCCCTAAGAAAGAGCCGCCGACAAAAGGCCCTCACCATGAAGTTTTGCGGGTCAGCATAACCCCCGGGCCAAGCACATCTCGTGAATCCCTCGTTCCAGGGAATCCGTCCGAGACAGACGCACGGGAACGGGCCTCTGCCTCCGCTGCCACCCGCCGCATGGTGGTCCTGGCCTGACACGACTCGTCTGTTGCCGGCTCACTCGTCTCCTGTCATATAAAACCTCATCTGCCCCATGGATCCCCGCAGCGAGGACGGCGGAAATGGACCATCTAATACCGCTGCGCAGCCGCCGCCTCTCCGGCGGCGACTATCGATGGAGGAGGACTATTTCTACCAGGAAGTCATGACTTCCCCTTTCCGACGACCATCACAGCCGCCACCATATGAGCGGGATGCTAGACCAAAACGACTGGTGGCACCCAGGGTCAACTCCCAACATGGAGTCGGGGAGGACTTGCCAGGCTATTCGTGCGACATCGAGTTGGAGGGCGTATGGGTGAAGAAAATGGAAATTGAAAACACAACCAAACGAGCAGAGGACAGAAATTGGCACACCACTATCGTACAACTACGAGGTACTGCATTGAATTTTTACAACGTGAAGAAGGATTGGGGATGGGGCAGGACGAGAGACGGACCGACCATCTCGCCCGACAACCCGCCGTGGGTGCGAAAGGCTTCTCTCGACAGAGCGTACAGTCTTCAGCACGCCGATATTGGTATTGCTGCCGATTACAAGAAGTAGGTTGCCTCGATTCTCAGCCTCATTTCATGCCAAGACCTGCCAAGAGACTGACTCCCACCTAGGAGGCGATATGTCATTCGTGTCAGGGCCGAGGAGGATCAGTTCCTTCTATCCTGTATAGAATTAAGCACCATGGTTAGATGGTTGGAGGCTCTCTTCGCCGCCATCGATGTTGCCGCTCCCATCGACGATCGTGACTATCCCCGCGACCAAAGCATCCCCCGCATTCAACGTATCCGCTGGTTCCGTGGCCAGACACCAGCACCGACGAACAACTACCCCGTACCCACGCCAAGACCACTGAGTCCTGAACTCCGCCGCGTGGCTTCTGCCGAGGCACCCGATCCCTTCCCAGCATCATCGACTATAGAAGGTCTCGTTCACCAGGCCGTCGTCAACGAGCGCGGCGAGACCAACGTCTTAGACAGCGAGTCTATTTACGGACCCGGACCCGGAAGGAATGAGCTGATCAGCAGCCGCTTGTCGACAACATCGTACCCCAACGAGGCCATCGATCCTGACACTGGAAAATGGGCGCCCGAGCACCAATGGAGCGCGGCCCACGATCTGCTTTACGCCAAGCTTTGCTACTCTGTTCTCCTGTTCAAGAGCCCCCGAAAGTCAAACTATATCATCAGCAAGGGGAAGCGATGGTTCGTGGATTGGGCAACAGGTCGCATGGTGCGCGTACTGCCGCCAGCCTACGGCGAGATTGACTTCTTCGGCCCTTGGCAAGTTATCCACACGGAAAACAGGAGGATTTAAGATGGGTTGTTGTTTCTCCCTCACTTCTACTGCACATATACATACCCCGTGCCCTCGTCTATAACGAGGGCCTTTCTTTCGCATTGACACGAGGAAGAATCGCAAGATTCGAACGATACGGATTTTTACCATACATTACCCAGAGGCTGGGCGGTCGGTCGGGACGGCGGCCAAAACAAAAATCGGGCGGGACGGCGCGGCATATGCATTCGGTTGACTCATTTCTTTCTTCCTACTTCCATCTCAATACCTCTCAACCTTGTCCTCAGTCTCCTTTGTCTTTCATGGCGGGCGAGAGAGAGAGTGAGCGAGAGCATAGTTTTGCGCCAAGCATATCATCATTGGGCGGCGTTATCAAGGGCAGCGGCAATGCTCGCTGCCCCAAATTTCATTATCGTCCTTTTCGCTTTTTTTTTGTAGCATGAAGTATTCAGCGTCGGCATTGCGAAAGCCTTGGCACCGAACATATTCTTTGACGATGGGGGATCCTGAAAGAAACACCCAATTGGTCATGGCCGAGGCATAGCCTGGTTGACTTGAATATATCGAACGTTAACAACATGTCTTGCAATGAATGTGAAGCTTAACCGCTGGAGAATGTCATGTTGAGGATGTCGTTTGACCAGGATGGCCAGAACGTGAAAGGAGCTACATCTTTTGCAAGCTCTTGGCTTTGTGTCCAAGTGCTTGAGCGCTGTGGCAACAGGAGCAATTTTGGAGAGATTCAGGGGGGGACATTTCATGGCCTATATAAATCAAAATGGTATCTCATGCATTGAGAAAAGCAACCGCGCCTCTAGCCATACTCCCAAAGTCCTTCTTCGACAGTATCCCATGAATTTGTTCAAAGTCGGGTTGCGTATTTTTTCTTAATAACGCAAGCGTCTCCCCCTACTCCCTTCCTCCCTCGCTCCCCTTCTACATTCTATTCACATACCTGCCATCTCCACCTCGGAAGCCCGCGCCTCCGCCGCCAGCTCGGGCGCGACGTCCACGAGCAGCGCGTTGGCGCCGTCGATATCGGCGACCTGGCTCTCGAGCTGGGCGAGGAGGGCGTCGATCTCGGCGCGCTGGGATTGGATGGAGGCGAAGAGGGATTCGTTGGAGGCCTGGGTGTTTTGGAGGCGGGCGTTGAGGGTCGATTGTTGCGGGGCGAGGCGCGGGGCGAGGTGGGCTGTTAGGATTTCGTCGGGGGGAGGACGTGTGGGCTATGTGGTTTTGGTGTTAGTTCTCGGGGTTGATCTTGGTTGTCTCTTAGAGTGACAAATTATCGTGGCCGAAGAAGGAAAGGGGGGAGAGGGGGGTGACGTACGGGATGGGTTCTTCGACGTCGCTGCCGCCTTCTTGTCTCCTGCGGTCTGCATCGCTGACGAGGTTTTCTAGCTCGTTTAGTTTGCGGATGACGTCGCGGTCGGCGAGGATCGATTGGAAGTCTTTCTGCATAGGGATTCGAATAAGCATTAGCATGCTATTCTTCTCCTTAATTTCCTTTGTGGAAAAGGGGGTGACATGACGGCCTAAACGTACGTTACACCTCTCCTCGAGGTAATCCACCATTTGCTTCTGGACGTTGCGCAGGGTATTCGGCGCGTGGGCGGCGACGGTGGGGAAGCACGAGGCGAAATTGTCGTAGTTTACTTTGCGGAGGGTGCTGGCGAGAGCGCCGTCGTAGAGCTGGATGAAGCGTCCCGCGCGGGGGCCGGGCGTCGCGGGGGTGTGTTTCTGGGGGAGGGGAGGGGAGGCGGGCGGTTGTGGTTGTGTTTGTTGCGCTTGTTGTGATGGGTCTTGTGATGATTGCGCTGTCGTCGCTGAGGTTGATTCTGGTGCTGCTGGTACTTCTGGTGTCGTTATTGATGTTGTTGTTGACGATGCGCCGCTGGGATGCGATTCGGTCTCGGGTTGGTGTTGGACGGCGTGGTCTTGCGATTGGATCTGTGATGATGATTCCTTTATCGATTGGGAGGGTTGTGACTGGTCTTGGTCGGGGGCGGACATTTTGTGCGGAGTGGGTGGTTTGGTGAGAGGTGGTGGGATTGTTACTTGGCTGAGTTCACGATGCAATGCGATGCGATGCGATTGCGGTGGTGTTTAAGTGAAGATTAGCGGCTGGGATCCCGGAGAGACGTGACGCGTCTGTGGTTAAGGTCAGGTACATTGGTGGGGGTGGGCACAGTCAGAACGGCGCGAAGATGACGGGAAGTTCACGTGCTTTGCTTACCTTGCCTATGGCTCGGGCCATTCTTAATGTTTTTCTTAATTCCCCCTTGGCGGGTGGGATGAACGCCGCCAAGACAATCCAGATGCGAGCGATCCCGGCCAGCCGGTTGGTTCTGTTCCTGAATCCTGGCAGCTTGGCGTGGGGATTTTTTTTCTGCGCCGCTCGCCTTTTCTTGCTCTTGTCCGTTTGGGGAAAGTCAATTCAAACCTCTATACGCGTACTTTGCCCATCTTGGTGTATTTGAACGACGAGTGTAGGTATACGGGGTGTCGTTCTCAGGGACGCAAGTCTGCTACTCATTTCGTCGATTCGTCTTTGGTTTCCTCTTTGAAACATGCAAGCTGTTCCACGATGGTTTTCTGCTCAACACCAAATGGACCTTGCCCACGTTGCCCCTGCGAAGTTGAGCGCGAGAGAAGTTGAGGGGTGAATCTTGAATGGTGGCCTCTGCCCATCCGACTTCATATCATCATCACACTGTGTTCAATTTGAAAACGGATTGTTCAATTCCAAATGCACAATTTCTCGGTTGTTCTTTATAAGCTGAGAGTGAGGCAGTGTTGAGAAGCCAAATCTTATGCATTCATAGTGCAACTACCTCAACGAGCAGCGAAACTAAGTGTCAGCGTTCTTCATCAACGACATCAACGAAATCCATGATAAACAGGCCACAACTTTGAGCAACGTGACGGAAAGTAACCATCACCGACCTGGAATGCGATGCTTAATATAGCAGCACGCCATTCTACGAAACGGTAGCATGAAAGACTAGTTCGTTAACTCCTTTCTATACGAAGGAGCCTCGAAGCGCCCCCCGCGGCCCCCGCCCCGGGCACCTGTCGGCGTAGTACTACAGTCCGAGCAACAACTGCAACTGACACAAAGTATTCTCCGAGGAAACATTACTTCAGTTTACAGACCAGACCACATTGAACTGGAAACCATCATGACTGGAACTCGTTTCGCTTTGTTGCCCTATACAGCTCCTCGCGCCGTTGAACATTTTTTCAAACAATTGTTTCAAGAAAGCACCTGAGGCGTGAGAAGCCGACTCTCCTTCGCCAGCCGTGTCATCTGATAGTTGTCTTGATCTACCGGCCCATCAATTCACCCCTTGTGAAAGTCATCTGCCTCAACTCGTATCATAAAGGCTAAGCATTTCATCTAATGTCCTTCCCTCGGCTCCCCCTGAATTCGGCATCTTGAGCCGATGTGGAAGTCCGCATGGCACGCGAAGCAAGTAATTCCAACCGAGAAGCCTCAAGCTAGAAACGAAGGCTGCTTCGCCTCGTTCGGGCCCCTCGGGGCTTGACTTCCATCCATCTGCCCTTCCAAAGTCGGTCTAGATCGTCCTTGTGTGACCCGCCCCGAGGAAACCACCATTCTGTAACTTGCGTGCAGTTTGAACAAGCTTCATACAAGCTTCATATAGCATCACACATAGCCTCCATCAATTCAATACAACCCTGCCTATCCTGGCTAGCCGGACCTCGAAGCATACATAAAAAACATGTAGATGTTTCCTGATTCGACCAGACACGGTTAGGCAGACACTTCCGGTGGGATTCCTTGTCCTGGAGGGACAGGAAACGGCGTCATGATCAGCTCTTCATCATTTGCCAGGCACGGCGGTAAAGCCCCCTTTTGGTATTGACTTGAAAAGTCGTGATGTCCAGGTGGTTTATTTTTAGATGCGGTTAGTATTGTGTTTGGTAAACCTGCATCATGCTCGTGGGTGCGGTAAAACATTGTCACTTCTCTTTGTCTACGTATCCTATATAAGACCCCGAACAAAGTCTATCTTCAAGTTCTGAGTCCGCCCTTACATCTCTCACAACCTCAGAAACATACAGACCGCTCAGAACTACATACAACCCCATCTCATCAATACTACAAACCCCACAAACGGCACACTCAACCCCGTCCCTATCTTCCTAGCCCAACATGCGTTTCGCCTTCGCCGCCCTCCTCGCCATGACGACAGTCGCCCTGGTAATACCTCCCTCGAATCTCTTGCATCCATCTTGGCCTTTCCAGCAGAACAAAAGTAAACTAATCATGCCCCTTACTACTAATAGGCCACTACTACTCCCCACGCTAGCACGACGACGGGCGGCGTCAAAGCCGCTGCCACGAAGAGCAACTCAGCATCAGCCAAGGCGACTTCGACTACCACTCACAGCAAGAACGTCGGGCCCAGGGAGACCGCGGCTGTTGCCCTTGGTGTCATGCTTGGCGGAATGGGCCTTGTTGTCAACATGTGAGAAGAGAAAAAGGATGTCAAGTCTTCGGCTTCGGTCACCTTTGATGTTACGAGCTGTTTGAGTGCAGAAGGTTTTCGTTCTACTTCTTGGGCGAGTTGAGGGGGAGGGCATTCAAAGAAGGTGGATTGTGGGTAGCTTGGGAGGCAACTCGATGTCAAATAGGTACAACAACTCCTAGCTCGTGAATTCAGATTTAGGATTCTTTCAATCAGCTGTATTATTGTTTTGCTACCTACATAACATCTTTGAAATAGTACGTGACTCCCATGATAAATCTGCATGTTTGATGTGGTTACGAACCTTTGATAAAGGAGAGAACGGGAGGGCATTATGACAGCCAGCCATCTTGTGTTCGCTCGCATAGAGCTCAAACTCATCTCTATTCTATGAATCCAAGAGAACATAAATCATCATTTGACTATCCGGTCATCTCCGACGCCACCTCCAGGTCAATGTCATCGCCCATTCTCAAGGAGACCAATTTAGCTCACAGTGCCCAGTAGTGATATCAAATTCAGATAAAACAAACCGGCGCATACTCGCTGCTCACTCCCCCGAGTGTTTTTAGAGTCTCATTGGTCATTGGGCAATAGCACAACATGGAACAGTTGAGCTAGTCCGCCGTCCCCCACTCCGTCAAGCCCACGCATCCACACCTTCGCCAAAACTCCACGACACGTCACAAAAACTTCAAAAACATACAACACCAGGTATTCGCTGGTCGTCACCGACCCAACTACTAATCCGGCCCTCATTGGCTTATCTATGGGAGAGCGGACGGGATCCCGAGTTTTCCAATGGGTATGGTCGTATGTGGTGCCTGATTGCGAGGTTTGGGTTCATGTCGACTGCTTGTTTGGCACCTGAGGGAAGGTCAGGGGCCGAAGTGCACGTAGCATCTTCTCAAGACACTGGATAATGGAAATTTCATAACTTTTAGCATCGGTTCTCGTTGATTGTGGGTTCATAAGGTAGGCAAGGCCAGATGAAGAGAGCTCAAACCAAAGGATTCACCTATAGCTTGGCCCAGCCCCCAGCGAGGAACACCTCGTAGATGTGATCATGAAGGTGTACGCGGAACTCATGGATTATAATTTTGACATTTCTTTTACCCTGAGTTTCACATCGAAGAGGCTTTGTATGAATCTGTGTTTCTTGTGTTGCTCACTGGAATTGCCTTGGCTCGAAAAGCCATTCTCATCAATAACGTGGGCGTCTTTTTTTTTTTAATTTTTTTTTTACGAATGTTACAAACCGACGGAAGGGAAATTTCACCATGTTAACTTTATTCTCTTACTTATAAGAGCAAGAAGACTCGAGAAGAAGCTACGGTTTGACGACGCGCTGTGACAATAGCGGGACGGTTGCCTCGAGCCATATAAGAGACGTGCTAAGAATAATTGCATCTTTGAGGAGCTGGGCTCAGAGCTCCCTATATTAAATAAAAACCAAAGAAGAAGAGATCCCTTGATGCTACTACTACCAGAAAAAAACATGCCACTAGTGAGTTGATCCAATGAATATTGCCTACAGCTAGTTGTGTCAACCTCCCCAAGCTTATCGTCCATGTCTTCCTCGCAACAAGAATGGCTTTAATCACAAATCTTATTAAAGCATTTTGGTAGCATTCAAAAGTCCCACAAACAACTACGGGCAGACTCACACAAAACCGGATTCTAGGCATTAACCGGACCGCACAAACTGCTTGCTTCCGGTCCCCGATTTCGGGCTCGGAACCCCCCTCCTCCTCATATGATCCCTTAAAATTTGATCCAGAGCTAAGATACCTAAAGAGGTAATACAATTTGACCATTAAACCCCCGGTGTAGCAGGAAGCGCGGCTGTTGGAGCTATCACAGTTAGAACAAACGGAGCTCCGACTAGAACCTGTGAGCTTCCCGATGATGAAGATATTGTCTGACTGGAGATCGGAATCCCTTCGGTACTAGATGGAGGCAACGTAGGGGGAAGAGAGATTGTTGGAGTGCTTATTGGGGCTTGCGCCGTATTTGTTGGAGGCAGCAGGCCGGACGTCGAATCAGGTGACAGAGTGGTGGGCGGGCTCTGCGGTGTGGTACTAGCAAGGCTGAGTGGGCCGCCGATAGAGATTGTAGACGATGCGCTGGGCAAAACAGCGCTTGGTGAAGTAGCCGGTGATGTTTCGTTTCGCCATATCCCGGTTGATGAGCTAGAACTCGGGGTCTGACTCGAAAGTGATGACGTGGAAAAGGGTGGTGTCGATGGAAGGTTGCTCAGTGTGCGAGACCTCGAAAAGCTTGTGTCTGAGGTGCCAGCTGATGAAGATCGCGTGAACATACTGGATGTCGTAAGAGATGATGTGGTTGTCAAAGGTAGTTCGCCAGTCATGGAGGTGGAGCTTCCTGTGCTTGATGTGGATGCTATTGTTGAAAGTGAACTCATTGTGCTCGATAAATCCGATGTTGTTAAGGCTGAACTCAGTAATGTAATTGAACTTGTTGAACTTTGGTCTGTGGTGGTAGTTGACTGTGTTGATGTTGTAGTAGGTGTGAAAGAAGTAGTGGATGAGACACCAATGCTTGAAGAGCTGGAAGTACTGGTGGGAGAAGAGCCAGGGGAAGTACTAGAGGAAGTGCTAGAAGAAGTACTGGAAGAGCTGGAAGAACTAGAAGAAGAGCTTGACGAAGAGCTGGACGAGGTGCCGGACGAGGTGCTAGAAGAAGAGCTGGTTGTCGATGTAGTCGTAGCTGTCGCTCCAATAGTAACAGTACCCGAGACAGTTCCCGAGGCCTTAACCGTCGATGTGTACTCCTGTCCGGCGGCAACGATCGAGGTTATGGTGACATAGTCAATCTTGACCACGGGATCACAGTCAACACAGCCGGCAGCATTCAGCATCAGGGCGGAATCCCATTCACTATCGCCTTTGTCGCAAATGGCAAACACCATGGTCTGGGTTCCGGACGCAGTAATGCCCACGAGAAGGGGAGGGGATGACCCCGGGTAGGACGTGACACTGGTCGGCGGCGTGATCACGATCGGTTGTGCAAGGAGATTAGACACGGCCGTAATGCCGTTGGAATACTGTTGACCGCCTAGATAGATGCCGATAGGATCAGCAGATCCACTGGAAGGTATCAGCAAGCTTGTCATTACACTAGATCACACTGACCTAGAAGTTCACATACCCCTCCTCTTCCGATGCGAGGATAAATTCGACTTGAACGCCGCTGTATCCAGGGTCGATAGCGATGTCTACGGTCAGAACAGCGGCATTGAATGTACTCGGACCGCAGTATGCGGCAGAACCGGCCGCGCCGTTGTTCACGTAGTGATCGCCATTGGGAAGAGCCCCAACGGCAGTCCCAGACGTTAAGATGGCGCCGTTTCCGATGCCACCGAGGCCGGCAGTGAATGTCCCGGAGCTGGCGGCCGCACCCGAAAAGGTCGCTTGCAGGACAGTTATTCCGGGACCATTGAAAAGAGCATCGGCGAGGATAGTGGCATCGTTGGTCGGAGTGACGCTGAAACTTCCGCACAGGGGCGCAAAAGCTGCAAAGACAGCAAGCAGGATGGACCTCTTGAACAACATCTCCAAAGATTTATGACGCATGTCAGGACGACAGAGGTTTCAATAAGAAGCAGGACGTTCTCTTACTGAATAGCAATAGTAGCGGTGGCATATGAAGACCTGTCAGTCGTCCGCGTCGGGCGTTTACAACAGGGCGAAGCATCCTCAAGACCAAATACGATATGACGCAACGTGCCTCGAAATGGATGGATGTAAACGCCCCTTTTCACCATGATCAAATACCGAGACATCTTGGCTCGCAGTATCATTGCAGTTACACGGGCAGATCTAGAACCAGGGCCTGAAGAATGATGAAGCATACCGGTGCATTGATCACAGTTGATTACTTTGTCACCGTGGACCATGTGGTTGACAACGTAATGACTGGTTTTGACTAAACGATGTTTTACTCATCCTGCTATCGCCAATCACGCAAGGTTAGGGGACACGCAAACAAAGCTCCTTAAATGTATAGACTGGGTTGCGTGAACTGCATTAATCGTGCAATTTCTTCCCGCTGTTGTAGTTAGTTCAAGAAGTTTGGGTAAGACTCCTTTTTTCGTCCATTTCGAATACAAGATTCAAATATGGTCTGAACGCTCCCAGGGTGGCTTACCGTCGCACAAGAGGGAACATTGGGGTTTTTGTGACATATCTGCATTCTTCGGCACTCCACAGCTTGCTTTTGAATCAAAAAGTACCGAGACTCAAGATTCCAGCAGAAAGATTAAACCATGTCCAGTAATTCTGAACGTTTAAGTGTGCCATGGCGAAGAGGCACCCAGGCGGCATCATGAGCTGTGCAATGACCCTGAATGTTACACACACATTTTTGTGGGAGAATAAGAGCTCACTGATTCAACAGCTCATGTAATGCCTCTAAAATTAGTGAAAATTCAGCCGCTATAGTGCCTCGTATTGCTTTGAACAACGCGAAACACCATACTTTCCCCCCTTCCCCTGTCGGCTTAATCATCATTCCAAGGGTCTACTACAGGGTTTGCGAGTCTCATCACTATTCATGGAAGCCTGGCACAAATGACATGATTCAGGCCGATCAAATCGTGAGATGAGTACAAGATTATGACCTTACCTTTATCGACGAGGTTGGGGTTGCAGCCCGAGATCGTAGATATGTACTGGGCCTCGCTTTCTCGAAGGTTTAGCTTGTATAAGTGCATACAAGCCTAAAGTTATACCTGGAGACAGACCTTGAAGCAGATATTGTCGTTATTCCATGGCTGACTGTACTAAGATACGATGTAGGATATCCTCGCAGTAGCCGCTAATCCTGGATTTGGTGTTACTCCGTCTGAGAGACCTGATGAAGGAAGGATACTTGGTGCTCCCGAACCTAGCGGAACAGCCCGCCTCGGTGGAACTTGATGAATAGGCAAGCTATTTCTTCAGTCTCTTCGGCCGTGTAATCTCACCTGTAGAGTGAGGAGGGGTCTTAAGAAACGCGAATTGCCTAGCCCATCTTATGATAAGGTGGTTGGGCTTGAGTGCCTCCTTATACATACTCTAGTGTCCTATGAATAGTATTCTATAGATTCGTTAATAAAGTATGGTCCTAGGTAGAATCCAGAGCTATAAAATACGTCTATTATCGACGTCGGTTCCGATTGTAATCTCAAATCTGTTCCCGAGTCGGCACCTAACCGTAAGTCTTGCTCGAAGTCCGCTATGAGATGAGCTAATGAACATTTAAGCATGTCTACATCGGTGAAATTACATGCCGGAACCAAGTTCAATTCAAAGAAAGGCTTGGTCGATTCCGTCCAGAGCGGTATGTTGACGACGTTCTTTATCTTACCATCACGCGAAGCAAGGTCATCCAGTCCTCGAGACGACACACCCAATAAATGAAGACCACGTTCCGTAAGCATGAAAAGCCGCTTGGAAGTTTACATGCTTGACCACGATTGGGTTCTACGAGAGCGACATTGTCCGCAGGTTCAGGATGCAAGTCATCATTGGCACTGCAAGGTGACGTCAACTGCCAAAACCCTTGCAAAATGACCGTAGGCGCCAGAGCATACAACTACCTAAGGAGCAGGACACCCTCATTTTAGCAATTGAGAAGAGCAAAACCATATGAAACCCGGGAGACTACGAGAATGAATAAGTCAAATCCGCCGATTAGTTCCGATGCCGACGTAGCGTTACTATGCGCCGCTGGAAAGGTCGCCTCGCTGGCCGCTGGGAACGCCCAACTATGGCACCAGTATCAAAGGATTCCACTCTTGACAATCACAATGGACTTCATTCTACTCTCGTTGTCCGCCTTCAAGCTGTTTAACATCTCCTGGGCAGAGATACGGAAGAAGAAAAAGGCCATTAGACAAGCAAGACGAATGCTCTGGGCGCTCGAACGTCTTTTAGTCATGTAAGTAACCGATAGTTTTATTGTTATGTCAAACATAGATTGGGGTATAAAAGTAAAAAGTCATGGATCGGAAGCTCACAGCCTGGATTTCTCAGTGATCTTGCGGTGTCTATCTCCAAGGCTTGCTCAATTCTCTGGATAGCTAGACAGAAGTGTGACGTTCCAAAATCATACTATAACACCTATGGATACCTCGAGTCCATTGATGGATTCTTCCTCTCACTCGTACATGCAGGCGTTCTGTTCCTCGTCGGGGAACTAGGCCTCCTATTCTGGGGTCAGCCCGGAGAAAGGCAGCAAGTACGAAGCTTCTGGTTCATATTACGTCATGGTTCTCACGCCCTTGGATGGATGATGGCGTTGGGGGTCGTTGGGATCCAAATATCGGTCTCAGTCATGAAGCAATACCATGTCTTGGGGCTGCCAGGAGCGGGGGAAATACGCTTTGCATCGCAAGATCTTGCTTCAGATGGCATGGCCAAGATCCTGCTCTTCTTTATAGGGCTTCTGCTATGTGTGCCATTCCAGTCGGTGGTGAGAACACTTTCTTCTTCCTTTAGCAGAGAACTGGATAGAAATGACTGACCCCCTTCACCTAGGGAGGACCATGGTTGTGGGGCAATTTGCTCCTAACCACCGCTACCTGGACCTGGCGACTCGCCAGGGTCTTTGAGAAGAAAGGCTTGGACGAGATTACCCCTCATGTCACCGCATTAATTGTAGACATTTTCTATGGGAGACTGCCAACCGTTTTTCTCTTGGCCATGTTTACATTCTTCTTGCGACCAGGTCGATGAAAGGGCCAGGTAGGCTTGAGATGAGTTGGAGGCCTCTTTTCTCTCCACATGGCGTACCAGATTTATAGCTTTCCCCCAACGATAGTCTGCCTACAGATCCAGTAGGAATGAATTTTGACTATAGATCAAGACCTCAGACGAGACGTCTCAAGTATGGAATCATTGGTTCCGCTTCCATCAGAGCTCGATGAAAGAAGAACCAGGTCCGTATGTCTGCTGGCGCCTTGTCCTGAGATCCTGCTTTGCTCGTTTATCCTCAAACCCGCAATAGTCGTTGCATGCTTCCAACAGGATATTTAGATGGCGGAGAAACCTTGCGACATGGCCTAGCTTCTTGGCGGATCAAGTGACCGTCGAAGATCTTTTGCTGCTACTGGCCGATATCGTAGCACTTCTGCTATGGGACTGAAGTCTGGCAATTGTCAGCCGTACCAGCTATCCCGATGGGAACATACCAATTGTCAACCTCCCGTATAAGTCGTAGATGTAGGACGATGAGCGCCACGATAGTCTCTGTCTCTGCGTCGCGAAGCCCCTTGACCCAGTCTTCGGCAGCCCGAAAGCCCCCACTAGTGATGGAAACTCAACCCCCTGAACCATCCGCTCTGCCCACAGCTCGTTCAATATCCTCTAACAAGGCCCTTGTGCCGTCCGCTCCTCGCGGCGTACCCCGTGGGAACTTGTAGCGCCCCTCCAGCCCACCAGCAGGATCGACGAGCTTACCCCGCGAAGAATCATCATCAAGCGGGATCTAGCCGTCGTACTCTTAAACAGGACTCAACCGTGCCAGGGACCGCGAGCCGAGGTCCTCCCACAACTGGCCCCAGAACACGCGCGCGCGACCTCGTAAAGCCCAATGCAAGGCCCTCCCCAGGCGTAAGGCACGCTCGCTGGGTCCTTTGCGTCGACTGCGACGATCCACGGCTTCAGGTCGAGATTCGGAAGCGTGCCGGGGATGAAGACTGGCGCATTAAGTAGCGAAGTGAGCGCTGGCTGGTCGATGAGGACGAAGGCATCGCGGCAGACGTCGGACGGCCACTCTTCATGCTCCGTGTCGCCATCATCATTTAGCGACCTCTCGCGGCGAACAAAATTGCCAACTCATCTGTTGAAAGCCTTGCGCACGAAGGCGTAGTCGGCGCCGCATAGGACGTTGCTGTCGGCTCTGACGGGTAGGGCCAAGGTATTCGGACCCTTCTCGGCGGCGGCCCATTGTGCTTCGTCATTGTCGGCGACGTACGCGGTGCGGGCGACGACGAAGCCCCATTCATGGGTGAGGTTTTGCAAAGCGCTGCGGAAATGCGCTGACGACTCGCTGAGATCTCGTGCCTTTGGTTGTTCCGCCATTTCGAGTTTGGCTGGGCGCCAGACTTATCTGGGAGGTTTACTTTGATCGGTCAGACTGAGCTGTCTGTGTTGCTTTTTGCAAACAAGGTGCGAAGGTGGTGGTTGGACGTTACACGCTGTGAAGAGTAGCTTAGATTGATGTAATGCAGCGGCCGCGGGCGGGCGGGTTGTTCGAGATAAGCGTTGCGTGGGATGAGAGCTCGCTGACTCTGTCTTATTTGTCCACGAGTCGGTAGAATCGACGCAGAACCTGACTCTCGGCGACGTGCGGTGTTATACTCACCACGGCTGACCCTCAACTGCCCGAGCCTCCACGTCGCGATGCTCGTCCTGGGAAGCGCTCTGCCACGCCCTACGGTGCGCCGACATGAATACGACAGCCCCACCGCGGCGCCGGGTTCGGTCGAGGGGTATACGGCGGTCCCGATGGACCCACCCGGGTGAGCCCAGCTGTGCATTGGTTGTACAGTAAATTCATTCGTAAGAACCGTGCCTTGGCTTCGATTAATTTTAAGATCAGTACACAAACCCTTTGCTTTTTTCTCCCAGCTTTGGACGGAATGCAAGACCACATTCAGTCCTGGATCGATGTGTTTCAAACCAGAGTGGACTGGCACCAGTCTTCGGCCGGCGGCCGAGAGCTGGCCTCGTCAGACCGAACGTACGAACAGTTTGGACATGGAGTAAAAGCTCCATACACTTCCTCAGCCCGTGTAGTTGTGCTCAAGGTCTTCTTCAGTTTCAGGGTGCGTGAGTGAAAGGCTTGACACGTTCCAAGGTCATATCTAGCTTCATTTACATAACCTTTACTAGGGCTGACAGGCGATTTGCTCATCTCATCAGCCCGTGTCGAGTTTGACTTCACCCTGAACTGTTACTCATCGCTTGGCACAAATTTCGGATGAATAGTAGTCGATGAGAGTATAATTCCAGGAACTGCCTTGTGACGCTTGCCACAACGCAAGGAATCAAACTCCAGAATATGTTCACTAGATTCCATGGGCGGTCCCCAACTGGCTTCATCGGGATCGAGAAGCCCGCCACCCCCAGCTATATTACATCATGAGCGACTATGAGCTCCCCATTATGTCCCGTACCGCAGCCGGTCTGATGGAACGCGGACGGGAGGCACAGCCCGACGATCAACCTCGAATAATTGACCGAATCGAGCGCTACGAGAAGAGAGAGGGTCCAGAACTCCAGACTCATCTCGCCTTTCGCCCTCTTCCAGACTCTCCCCCCTCCTTCAACCCCCCCAGCGATGGAACGCTGACCTGCAACTTACAGGGGACGTTTCTCGCCCAAAGGTTCAAGCTCGTTCGCCAAGCCAACCGCATCGCACTCTCGCCCGTACTATTCGCACAGCCGAGACGCCCAATTGGTTGGTTCGCTTCCATGAAGAAATCCCCTTGGATAATGCATACTTGAGAGGGTTGGCAGGCACGTAGGATCGTCTTTTTTCTCTTGCTATAACCTTTTTATTCGTTTTTTTCTGTGACATGAGTTGACCCAGCCTTCTTCTCTTCAAAACCACTTTGTCTGCAATGCAACAGTTCCCCACCGTTGGGACGACGTTACGCTGCACACTGGCCTCCAATCTTCCCGCAAATGAAATGCGGAGCGCTGGAGGATCGATACGTCCAAAGACGGGGATTCGGGGACGACTTTCACGCCTTCGTCTTCTGCTTCATCCTGTCCTGAAAGATAAGGGGACCTCATTGAAAGAAAGGGCGTTCTTCTCGAACCTCTAAACGCCTGCCAAGCTTCCTTCTCCCCCGCACTGGTAGCAGAAGTAAGTGGTGCCCTGTGTGCCCTGTTCTTGACTCTGTCTCTCCACGCTCACTGCGCGCTTTCCCGGGAGTCGTTAGACCCGTTATCGGTGGCTGACGAATGGGGCTGAAAAAGGGGAGGCCCGTGGGCGAGTAAACGCCTTGTGAGGTAAAAAAAAGGTAAATGGGTGTTGGACCGTAGCGGCAGGCAATAATAAATGAGCACGAACAGGAAGTATCTAGTGAGACGGTGAGAAACTAAGTAGGTGGCTAGCAAGCGCGAAACTCCTTCCCACGCGCGCTGACATGATCCGGCCGATTCGGTCGATTCAGTTACCCGTCCCACCAGCTCGGCAATAGGCTATACACGCGAGAACTGAGCACCGAGGAGGAGGAGGAGGAGGGAATGTGACAAGCTTCAGCTTCACTGCATGTTCGAGGGTCAGCCTTGATTTACTCGTCAAGATACAGCGCGTATCGACCGTAGATCATACCCCATTCTTCATCGATCACACATCCCACGGCCTGCATGGGAAAAACCCACCCCTCTTCAGCCCGTACGGATACATACTGTACATGGAGGACCGGCAAGCAGGTCAGCCGGCCGATTTGCCAAGCTATCCCGAATAAGGCACAAACCACCGGGGCTGAGAGGAGAGAGAAACCACGCCAAACCCGTCGTATTAAACTATAAGCTTGCCCCCCCCCCCCGGGCAGGGGGTTCAGTCTACCAGCGGGACCGGGGACCATAGCCTGTAAGGTAGTTCCTCGCCAGCCCAGGTTTTGCTTTTTTGGTCTTGCTTACAGTGCTTACCTCCATTGTTCTGGCCTTCCTCCTGGGGTTAATTTGTATGCCGGCAGCCCTCTCCCGTTCTTCCCTTCACGCTTCTCCCCTTTCGCTCTTCCTGCTTATTTTCTCATCTCCATTCTTCTTCTCTTCCACACTTCCGTCCTACAATACCCTGGCTCACGCACTTGGCTGGACTCGGTTGTCTTCTCCGCAAACGAAAGGGGGGTTCTAACCTATTCGCATCGTACGGGAATATCTCTTGGCGAACGCACATCACTTACAAGCTGTGGGGGTTGTTTCACCAAAGTTCCTTCACTTTGGCGTTCAAGAGAACTACCTACTTCTCGACTGAGGGATCCAGGCAGACATATTGCAAACAAAAGAGCGAGGGAATCTCATGCAGAAGGAGGCGCAGTAAGCTGGAGCCTGGACGGAGCTAAGAGGAGACTGAGAGTCGGAGGGTCACAGGAAAATCCAAAACCCCAAAAACCCATAATAGTCTCCTCTCTCGAGGAGAAGGGGGAATCCGGCCATGGAGGGCCCAAGGCCAAGGGCATCCGAGAAGTTTCTCAAAATGACGGCCCCAACAAACACCACAACCGCAACCTCATCACCCGCGACATCAAACCCACAATACCAGAACCAGCAGGTCTACGAATCCGGCCTCGAAGTAGCCGAGCCAAACGCCTGGAACCGCACAAACAACGACATCCACCTGCCCGAGGTATCCCCCTACAACCACTCGGAAGCCAAAACCACAACCTTCCCCGAGGTCGCGGACGATCCGCTATCGTGGCACCACTACCACAAGCAGAATCCCAACCTCGAGGTCTCGTCGTCGCCGTCCGTCGCCTCCGCGGCGCCGTATTACTATGCAGGCGCCGCGGGCCAGCAGCATCCGCCCGGGTATCACAAGCCGCCGCCCGGGTCGCCGGGGTACGGGTCCGGATCTCTCGACGGAGATGGCTCAGGGAAGGGCAAGAAGGCCACGGTGTGCGGGATGCGTAGGAAGGTGTGCTACGTCGTCATGGGCGTCGCCATTGTCCTCGTCGTGGCTGCCATCGCCGTCGGTCTTGGGGTAGGGTTGGCGACGAAGAAGAGCGGGAACAAGTCTTCGTCAGGGTACGTTCACTTTTGTCTCTTTACAAATCATCCCCTTTTCATCTCATTCCTTTTCCCTTTGCCATTTCATTCCCTATTACTCAAATAGAAATCACGTACCCAAAAGTCTCACCCAACTAACACCCCAAAACAGCAACTCCACAACAACACCAGCAACATCAACCGCAAACGCAACAATCACCTGCCCCGCCGCAGACAACGTGACCTACAGCTCCCCCGACGCCCCAAAACGCACCTTCCGCATGATCTGCGGCCACGACTTCAACTCGGCCGACGGCGCCACCGACCTCACCTCGGAAAACGCAACCACCATGGCCGCCTGCATCGACCTCTGCGCGTCCAAGGGCGACGACTGCGTCGGGGCCGGGTGGGGCGATTACTACGGCAACCACGTCTGCTGGATGAAGAGCAAGCTGGGGACGATGAACGTATCCGGGAATTGGTATTTCGCTGTGGATGTGAATAAGACGAGCGCGGCGGCGTGAGTAGTGAGGCGTGAGGCTCCGTAAGGGGCCCCGATCGCTTTAGTTGCTCTCGTCGGTCTAGCTGCGTCTTGGGGACATTGGGGGTTGTGGTACACCACCATCGCTTCTGAGTCCTCTCACAGACCACACAAACGGACCCAGCGTGGGTGAGGTGGTCATCCGCATGATCACTGGATCAATGCCAGGGGGAAGTCGACGAGGTCTGTCTGGCGTTCAACAAAGCGCTCGGTATGCCCTACGGGTTCTGTTCGCAGATGATGGGATGGAATCGAAATCGAGGGAGCTCCCTAACGAATGTAATGGACCTCACAAAAAAGAGGCTTTGTGAAATGAGATGAAAATTGGCGCCATCGGTACGGCGCTCGAGATATTTACGGGTATTAGTCACAAACAGGGACAAAGGAAGACACATAGTCACGATACCACTTGCTTTCCAAAAATCGAATACTTTTCCATCATCAAAACGTTCCAAGTCTTTTCATTCATTGCTTTTGAGTCTCGTCCACGGCCAACCCTCACTTGCAACTCTTCGTCACACGCCAGGCGACAAGGCCACGTCTGCCAATCACCCTCGTCAGGGTGTTCCAGATGCCGTCGTCACCAAAGTCGAGGTCGTCTAGGTTCAAGTGTTGCCTGTAACGCCATACCTCGCGGAACCTTAAACCTTTCAGTCCCTTGTTGGGAAGGTATGGATCTATCCACGTCGCTGACGCTGGTGCGATCAGATATGTTCCATTCTTCTCCTTCAAATACTCCGAGTTGCGTCGATCCGCTGGCGTGTCGCAGGTTGCCAGCTTGGTCAGCTCCTCGAGTAGCGTGTCTCCCTTCATACCCATCACGTCGCGCGTCGTGAGCACCTCATTCTTGCCGTTAAGAAGCCAAATGGGTGGCGTATAAGTCTTCCACCACACGGCCTGCGTCGCGTCTGGCTGCTTACTCAGGAATACCTGGCCCGGCACGATACCGCCTTGATGGTAGACACCCATTAGGATACCAAAGACCAAGTTGAAAGCAAGCCATACCCCAATCCACACACGAAGAACAGTCCGATTCTTGGGGACGTGAACTGACGAGAGGATGAGCGGGACAGTCGGCAGGAGGAATCGAGCTTCTTGGTGCTGGAAGATAGACAGCACAAAGACACCAGAGATGGCCGAGTAGAGTCGTAATGAGAGGTATGGCTGAGTGAAGAGCAACATCGCAGCTGGGCCGATTAGCATGGGAATGTTGACCAGTAGGTGCTGGTACCAGGGGTGCAACCCATGCTGCGCTAGGTTGTCTGTGTCGATGTTGTACAGGAGGTTGTTGAGTGGCGTGATAACTGGCCGTGAGATGAGGTCTGCCCACTTGATGGGTTCAGGGAGGTAAAATGCCGTATCCAGGGTGATGGCGACCAAGGTAGTCGTGAGAGCTGCCAACACCATCACGGTGAAGGACATGGGTCTGGTGGGTTGTTAGTGGGCAGTCCCCTGATGTCATGGTGCCTAGGCGGACCTACCTATTGAGAAAATGGGGTATCAAGCGAAGTCCGGGGATCAACAAGAACGCCGGGAAAGTAATTCTATTAAACAGTCCAAAGACGGCCACTATGCCGAGAATCGTAGAAGCAAGAAGCGATGATTGTTGCTGTCACAAGCATTAGTTAGCATTCACATGTTGGTGCCCACAAAATCGTGCCAAGGGGGTCCTTACCGGGCTCTCGACAATACGCTGAATCAAGACCAAGCACCAAGCAACAACGAGACACTCCACCGAGTTGGAGAAGGTGTGCGTCTGGTACGTCCATGTGACATAGGACGAGGCGACTAGGAGCACAGCAACGCGACGGTGTCGTGGAGAGCTGATGAGCTCATGGATGGCCCAATCCTCCAGCACGAAGCTGGTGACGAACATGAGAACGCGAAGTGTCCAAAAGACTGCGATTGGGGGAATCTCGCCATCCTTGCCGTTACCGATCCACAGCCATCTCAGCAACATCATGGGCAGGCCGTAGACGGGCCATAAGGGGAAAACGCTTCGTATCGGGTGCTCGTTTGTGAATTCCCATGTGTGCCGTACCGGGTAACTAAATATTTGGCCTGCGCCACGCCGTTAGTTTAGGTCCTGTTGAACGAGAACGAGCGCCTAAACTCAATCCGAGCTATGAGGGAGGAAGCTCCATGGCGCCAAAGCGAGAGCTGCGCACGCTCTACCCAGGCAACGGGATGCAGCAGCTGCAAAACAAGCCAAACGTACCTGCGATGACCTCTGGGCCCTGAAAATTCTCGTCGGGGTGCAGGTAGCTTGGCGACAGGGCGAACCACAGCCTGACCAGCACGAGAAATAGGTACGCTCTCCGCCACATGACTCCAGATGTGCTCTCGATTGTTATTTGGTGGTAGTTGCTGCGCGTAGCTCGGGCATCGGTTCGTGATCGAAGGCTGCAAGTAGCCAGGTGTCGAGTATTAGGCGGAGCAAGGTCGGCGAGAGGTTCGTTGCGAAAAGGAGTGTATGTCGCAACGTCGCATCATCAGGAGGAGAGGCGCATGTACAGGAGCCAGGTATGCGGCGATGTTTTGTCAGGCGCAGCAGAGGTCAAGGGGCGAGAGGTGGGGGTAAAGTAAGGTAGAGGCAAGAAGTAGGATGGTAACAAAGAAGGGAAAATATTATTATTTGCAAGGTGAGGCCCGGTGAGGGTGGTGGGAGAGAAGCAAAGGGAAAAGAAAAGAGGTGCGCAGGTCGAGGTGCGACTAAGGCAAGGCAAGGCCAAGTAAATAAGTCCCAGGTCAGGTAGGGTGACGGTCAGGATGTTTTTTGCGCGGACTCGGGTCGAGAAAGTGACTGAGTGTCGCTCCCACGCTCTGTCAGCCCGCACCCGCAACTGCACCCGTACCGCAGCTCTTTTGGACCTTGGAGGGGGACTTTGCAGGGTTACGGAGAAGGGAGAAGAGATAACCTTGCTCTTACAACCTGGTCGGTACGTGTATTTTGTAAGCAGTGTACTCCGTAAGGGCCAGCCAGTTCCCGAGCAATAGGCCCAGAACTATCCATATGAGGCTGTATCCGCAATCTCTGAGACTACTTTAGCGGGCACATGGCCCCTGCTGAGGCTGCTCTTGCTTCTGTTTGGTGCTTGGTGCTTGGGGCAGTTGTTGTTTGATTTCTTGCCTTTGCGAGTTCCCACCCGAGGAGCCAGGTGAGATGAGATGAGCTCAGGGTGTGACTGTGAAGTGAGGTCTGCTGAGTGCTACGTACCCACGGCACCTAAGGTAGTTGGTAAGTTAGGTGGTAAGTGACGGGAGAGGAGAAGGGATGGATGGATGGATGGACTGAAGGAGGGAGGTGTCAAGGTTGGGAGCTCCAATGACGGGAGAGTCTAAGGACCGGGGAGGTAAGGCGGCTGGGCGATTGTCATTTCCTCCCAGGTTGTTGGCAGTTGCAACTGGCAGCTCCCGTCGTGGGTTTGTTCCTTCCCTCTCCCATCTGTCTGTACTCCATACCTGTACTCGTTCGTACCTTGGTACCCGGTGTAAGGCAGGCAGATATCCGTACGAATAAGGAGGTACCCTCCTGCCACGCCCGGAAGAATGGAATGCTTATTCCCCGGCACACCTCAGGTACAGGGATCGCCAACCCAAACACACAACTTTCCAGTCCCACGTCTACGCCCACGGTGAAGCAGAGCGTGGCGCACGAGTCCGCGATATGGTTGCTGGCTGGCAGATTTCAAAGAAAAGAAAACCGAGCCCGACCTTTGGAGAGTGTGCCCTCCCGAGAAGCCGTCAGTCCGCTGCAACGGCCCCCTGTTCCCTGCCAAGCTCTTCTCGCTAGGGCCTTCAGTTGGGAGCGCTAACCCCCAAAACGGGCAAGGCAGACTGCCACTGGCCAGCACCTGGGACTGGGAGGGTGCATGCCACTGCCATCGTGGCTCATAGGGCCATCGCTGCACACCCACAACACCTCAACACAGAGGGAAGTGTCCAGTTCGTGTATTGTGAGAGAGGTGGCCCCATCCAAAGCTTCTAATTCTTCCGTCCTCTTCGCCCACTACTCCAAGACCTCGCTGGGGGACACCACCCCCTTTTCCCGGACAGCCAACCAAACAACACCGACCCAGTCAGCAGGTTTCTCGAACCACGTCTATCCATCACGTCTTGCTGTCATTGTGCATCATTTCCCGTCTGTCCAGCATGGGGGCTGCCTGTCAACAAACTTGCTGACTTTTGACTTTTTGCCAGTTGTTGTACATGCCTCCAACATATCTCTGGAGTCGCATCAAACAAAACCATGCCACCCGTCTCCAACGCTTTGTCCGTTCGTCTGGTGAAAAGGCCGATATTGATATCAGACGAACGTAATGATGCCAATCCCGGGACGCCATCTGCGCATCCGCGGTCGTAGTCGCGTTCGCGCCTTTGGTCCGTCGACGGAAGCTTCGGGATCGCGGGCCCCATCAACATCCGGCGCTATGAATTGCGAATCATTAAATTTCACGGACGCAGGCGCGCCGCCCACTCCCACTGGCGCGTCCCCATGAAACCGGCCCAGTCATCATTGATGCATTCCACACTTTGCCCTATTCCGAGAAATTGGGCCCTCATTTTCGTTAGCAAGCAAAACAACTTCCAGAATACCAGTGAGGTCCGTCCGGAGTACACTTACTCTGTGAGCCTGTATAGGCTGGGTGGCAAGGAAACCAGGAATGCTAGACCATATGCCGCCATCTTCAGTGTCTCGCACCATCAGATTGGCGTTGCCCTGCTCGCGCGTCGTGGGGGTTCAGATCCGTGGAGAAGACAGGCTCCCTAAAGTGCTTGCAGCTCGCTTTCGCCATCGCCCCTGTCTTTTCGTGTCCACATCCTGGCCAGCTCCAGATTCTTGTCGGACATTTCCTTCGGTACGAGAGCTTGGTACGAGAGCCTATCCACGATCATTTTTCGTACAAGTTGATGCCGTTCTGGTCACCCATCGGTGAAAGCAAACCTTGTCGCTCGCTTCACGAACCATGACAGAGAAAACAAGAAGCATCACGGGCAAGGTAGGCACCAGACGCCATTAGCAAGCATTAGCCCGTAAGTGGGTTAGATCTAGAGCCATCCGCCGAGAAGCATGTTATTCACAATGCAACCGTTGGCAAGAGGAGGCGGTGCTCGTCTCCGCAGATACGGCACTCACAGAAATAGACGCTGGCGTTACCTTGCCGGCCGTCTCCGCCGCCCCCGGTTCTGCCTTGCCGGTCTCTTCGGCCGGGCTCTAGCTTAGCGGCGACGAGGCTATTGTCCGGATAAGGTATACCGGCATTAATCGTCTGTCCGGCTCCGAAAATTGTTTTGCCGTTTGCGGAGATATGCCAAGCAACTGCAACCTGTTGCAGAGAAGTATCACATCGAATTGCGCCAAACTCCGAATCCTACCGTATATCCTTTGGTCTTATTACTCGGTGCTTCACGAGCCAGAGATTCGTATTCTACTGGTTTTCCTCTCTCGGGGTGTGGCAGAGTGGGAGAGAAGAACAATGCATGGCCGAATTTAGCTTCCTTGATCACGAGGCAGCCTCAGCAGGTATCGCCTCAGAGGTCATGAGATAGTATATAGATCCAGCAGACTCGCCCTCGCCCCGGACTTACCGCTATTCCTCCTATTTCAAGGTATCTCCAAGAAAACTACGAGTCAACTTTCAAGTTCGTCTCATTTAACCAGCGTCAAAGTCCGGAATTCAGGCTAGCTCCAAATCCCAAGTTGAGCTTCGTCTACTACACAAGGTACCTTGGCCACATAGGATAGACACTGGCTTAGGGTAGAAGCTCGAGGGAACACAAGACTTGCTACCTTGCGTGAATAAATGGCGATCTTGGGTTCCCTTTGCTTCTCTGTGGAGGAATCTGAGTGTCTATTTGAAGCATTTGTGAGGACGCTTCCAATGGACATCACCTCCGCGGGTGCCTGGGCCCTCTGGAAAATGAGGCACAGGCTGAAGCTTACCTAAGTTGCCTGGGGTGGTGAATCAGCTTGATAGGAGTCTTTCGATCTACACCGGATTATGCCCTGAGCCACCAAGAATTTAGGTAGCAGCGCACTCTGCAATAAGGAACGATTTGGTATTTCTTCTTAACTCTTGCTGATGATGGTATTCTGGAGTCTTTGCAAGCAGCAATGAGAAGCCCACGTACATCCAGCTGAAAAAGAAGAGTGAAGAGGACAATTTCTGTACAAGCTGACAACAGCTCTTTGTCTAGGATTACATAAGGGCGCCAGCTGTGCCTCCGTCCTTGCTCTTGCGCATGAAGGTGAGTTGCATTCGGCGAAGAGTCACCGAGACTGTTTTCTGCAAGGCAATTCGACACCGCCAGGAAGCTCTTGCCTCAGGCTCTTCTTGCGTGGCACTGTCTTTTCTCTTGCTGTCTTCCATGTTGGACGAGAGGGGATTGTTCTTATTCAGGTCAAGTCCATTGATGTGCTGTGCCTTTGCGGGTCCATCGACTCCATTGAGGCCTTCTGAAAGGCACCAAAGGGTAGGTACCTCGAGCCATATAAAGTTCTCCAGGCAACAGATGTAGAGACCCATGAGTACAAACAGGTCACGCCGCTTTGAACCAATCAAAGCACCTCCCGCCCTCACCTCTGCCTGCTGCTTAGCGACACTCTCTGCCTTCCCACTTCTCCACAATCAACAGCCGCCTGGCCGCCCCGACCCTCAAAACCACCCAACCTAACGTCTGACGCAACAAAAGCCATCTCCGATCACTTATTCACTGCTTCGTTTGTCCGCCTTTCTCCAATCAAACAACTGTCGCCGGTCGCATACAAAATCTTCACCTTCTCACTCTATCTCCGAATCATAAACGTAAGGCCTATATAGTCCCGACTCCCGCTGCTTCCTTCCCCGCCGACCGACTGCTACTTTCCCCCACCATCCTCCAGAATCAACTTCAATCCGTCGATCGATCACCACCAGTCAACCATCGCTGTCGACCACTTCCAAGCTGACCGCTCCAAGATATTCTACATCAAAGTTACCCATCTTACCAGACAAAATGGCCGCCGAGAAGAAAGACGCCAAGATCTGGGTTCAGTCCAACGACAACATCACGATCCCCGTCGGTACGTCAGACCCCTCCTTCCGCCCGCGAGCCCGGTCTTGACCAAACCCTTGCTAACGCATACCCTCTAGATCGCGTTGTCGCTGAGCGCTCCATGCTCATCAAGAACATGCTCGAGGATGTTGGTGATGATGCTATCAGCCAGGAGAACCCCATCCCCATTCCCAACGTATGTGTCGCCGCCTCTCGCCTCTCGGTCGAATGATCGACAAGCGCTGACATTTTCTCCCAGGTCAACGAGGCGGTCCTCCGCAAGGTCATCGAGTGGTGTGATCACCACCGCGCCGATCCCGTCCAGACCGCCGATGACGAGAACGATGCTCGCAAGAAGACCACTGAGATTGAGGAGTGGGACCAGAAGTTCATGCAGGTCGACCAGGAGATGCTCTTCGAGATCATCCTCGTATGTTATCCGTCACTGTCACATCTCTTTGAATCAAGCTAACGTTTCCACAGGCTTCCAACTACCTGGACATCAAGCCTCTCCTCGACGTCGGCTGTAAGACCGTCGCTAACATGATCAAGGGCAAGTCGCCCGAGGAGATCCGCAAGACCTTCAACATCACCAACGACTTCACCCCTGAAGAGGAGGAGCAGATTCGCCGCGAGAACGAGTGGGCCGAGGACCGCTAAATATCACGACAAATGGATTGGTGGAAAGAACCGGAGTCTGGGTTAAACTACTCTTCGGACACATCTCTGCGCACCTAATGTGTGATGCATCGTACTCCGGCGTTTTGACGATCGCTCATTGATTCGTTTTTCGGTTACCCTGGAAAGTTTGCGGGTTGCTCCACAGGTCAGGAATTCACGTCCCGTAAGGAAAGGGACGCTTGGTAGATGAGAGGCGCTTGACACAAGGTCATCCATCCCATGCGCAGCAGTTTGCGTGCGCCCCATTTGGTTTTGCTACATATTCATAGCAAGGCAAAGAAGTTTGATTTCGCGTCTAAGGCATTGACTTGTTGGTCGGTGACATTGTTGCTCTTCTTAATGAGGTCCATAACGTGGTGACAAAATCAGATATTGAGATCAGCTGTACCTCTGTACTCGGGCAGAGGCAACCTCCATTACTTTTCAAATATCACATAGCGAGGCTGACGACCGAAACTCACTTGGTACGCCATATTATCGACAAGGGCTCGTATTTCGTCAACAGTGAGTCATTGGAGACTGGTAAGTCAGGTTGTTGTGAACAGTCGGTGAGCAATATCACTATCGTTTGCTGAAGCAGACTTACTTGAGCCTGCTTCCACTGGCTGTTCAAATCCCGGGAAGACTCCTCAGCCGCTCGCGACGGCCTGGTTATAAGGATCTCAGAAGAAGGCTCAAGATCAGTGTCGCATCACACGGGCGCTGAGCGAACAAGAATGGTAATCGTGGGGGCCTCATCTCTTCGAGGCAAATTTTGCATTTCCTTTCCCTATGACCGTAACATGCAATACGTAGAGTCTAGCCGAACCGGGCATCCATTTTGTTTCCCCTTCCTTCCTGTTTGTCAAAAAAGACTTCCCCCACGAATTCAGGACTCGAGCCAGTGGGTAGTCAAGTCCATTAGAATGAACCCCTCCCGTTTGATGTGAAAGTTTTTCCCCAAGTCGAGCGCGGCGTCGTCGTTCGGTCGGCGGTATCCATGGTTGGTATGGAAGTCCCGCAGGATAGGGAAAGGGATTTTCTTGAAGAGAGAAGGAGGCGAGGCGTTTAGATGCCGAGACGGGTCTTGCGCCAGTGACGACGCTTCGCGTTGTAGCTGTGATGGATATGTTAGTTTTATAATGTTTGGTGGGGTGTGTTTTCTCCCATGTGAAAGACTCTCCTCTCTTCGCCTTTTGATCCATTTCAAGATTGAGACGAAAAGAGGAGAGGCTTTCTGGAATGAACAGAGGGAGAGTGTATCGTACCGAATGGTGTTACCGGTGCGAAGGCGAATCCATTGGGGGATGGGGCGGTTCTGCTTCTGCGCCTTGGCGAGCTTCTGCTTCGTACGGAAAGACTTGTGGCTCTGTATCGCGGGGAATATGGTCAGCATTCTGCTTCTTGTTTATTTTGGTGTTCCTCGTCTTCCTCTCGATCGGCCCTCCTCAATTTTGTTGATGATGTTTGCCCCTCACTCCTCCATCGTCAACCCCGTCCACGGGTGACGCACTTTGTCGAATCGCGCGGACGCAATATGTCGGTAATTTCGGTCGAGGGACAACATCATCATCGCGTCGAAGAGGGTCGTTTGAGCGAGAAGGCGACGAAAGGGCGTAATCTATCAACGTACCGGCATTTTGACGGCTTGTTGGCTGATCAAACTGGTGCGAGTCCTTTGGGGTGGCAGTTGTTCTCCAGATGGGATGGGTTGAATCGATCTCACCACTAGAAATGAGAAATTCTTGTGCACAAGGCGCACTAGGTTAGCGAGCCCGCAGTTGCCTTGATTGGTGGACAGGGCACAAGGTGGAGTCGGTCACGCTTTCGGAGCCTGGTGGGGGAGAGGGGAGGTTCGAGAAGGTCACTCGCCTCTTGAGGCTCAGCCGTGTGGCTCGTTCCTACTTTTTTTTCTTTGTTCGCGTGCTGATTAGATAAGACACTTGATTATTCTGCCTCAGGCTTGAACCTTCAGAGTCTGCTTATGTGATAATCCCTGACATGCCGATAGGCTCGAGCGGCCGACGATCCCAGAATTGGCAGCCCGCGGACCTGTTTGGACGCCCAGGTTTCCCATCCATGCATGTCTTAAAAACTGTCAATTAGGGGGGACCCGTTCCGCTACCTTACCTTTACTGTTACGCTTTAGGGGGGGAAGTCAAGCCATCCGAGATTCTTTTGCAACGGTCCTTTGTCTGCCACTCGTAAAGACAAGAAAGACAGCTCGACGAAACGAAACCCACGACGAATTAAGCCAAACTTTTGGAAACAAGTGAAAAGGAGAGAGACTAGATACTCCATCTTCTTTTTTGCCCCTGAACGCCACGGAACATTTGTCGCCCTTTTCTCTCTCACCCCTTTCGTGCTCTCCTATTCTTCACCAACGGGAAAAGGCCCTGCGCTTGTACATAATCCCAGCAGAGCGGGCGGAGCTTTTTCTTTGGTCAGCTTTCGTCATTCTACTTTTGCTGCTGCCGCTGCTGCTCGCCCCTTGGGAAACAAGCCACCTTTTGCTACCACCACCAACCTTACCTTACCTACCTTAAACCTCCGCGACCCTCCTGTCCCGAGGCCAACCGCGTATATTGTGACAGAACACAAGTCGCAACTCAACCCCCGAACCCGCACACGGCCCTTTGCATCCCTACGAAAGCTCCGAGTCTATACAACGACCACACCTCATACCACACCGAGTTCCTGTCGAGAATCAACAAACCTCTGTCAAAATGGGCGCAAGCATGTCATGGCTGTCAGGCCTTGTGTGGTCGAAGAAGGAGATTCGCATATTGATCTTGGGACTGGTACGCAAATCCTCCCACTCAGCTTTTCCCTCGTGATGCGTCCGAAACGTGGAGACGCAAGGCTGACAAATCACCGTGTTCTACAGGATAACGCTGGCAAGACGACACTTTTGTACAGACTGAAGGTGAGTTCGCAGCAGATTTCCCTTCCCGCTGTCGGTCAAGGCGGGCGTCTCGCAAAGTGCCTTGGACTAACGTTCTTTTGACCTCTCCAGATTGGTGAAGTCGTCACCACGATTCCGACGATAGGATTCAACGTCGAGTCCGTCACATACAAAAACCTCAATTTCAATGTTTGGGTATGCCACCATTCTCCGAAGCCCTCTCCTCTGCAACACCTTACGCAAGCGAGAAAATGAAAGAAGAAAGAGAAAGAAATAGACTGACAGCAGCCATGCGCGGCCTCAACTATAGGATCTAGGTGGTCAAACCAGCATTCGCCCCTACTGGCGGTGTTACTACGCCAACACGGCGGCCGTCATCTTCGTCGTCGACTCGACCGATATCGAGCGTCTGCAGACCGCGGCCGAGGAGCTGGGCGCTATGCTCAACGAGGAGGAGCTCAAGGACGCTTCGCTCCTCGTCTTCGCCAACAAGCAGGACCAGCCTGGCGCCAAGGGCGCGGGCGAGATTTCCGAGGCGCTGCGCCTGGGCGAGCTGCGCGACCGCAACTGGAGCATCATGGCCTGCTCCGCGGTCGACGGCAGCGGTGTCACGGAGGGCATGGACTGGCTTGTCGTACGTGCATACCCTGGCGGATGACCCCCTGAGATCCATTTGGGAAGTAACTTCTATTTGCGATGTGAATACTGACCTCTTCTACCAGCAAACCGTCAACCAGGAGTCATAGATACGGAGTCTTTGGACTTTGCTGACCCCTACACGACCAACATCTCAAGAACAACCATTTATATATAACGCCCCTCACGATTTTTAATACGGCCCATCAGTTGGGTAGAGCTGCGCATCGATGTGTGTTTGTCGACGTCTTTTCTTGTTTTGGTGAGAGAGAGGGCATTCGCAAGATCCCCCGTCGACCCTCGGCGTACTGCGTGGACGGCGTTTCAGCATTGGGTAGTGCCGGACTGTAGACCGGACACTGGAGACAGCCGATCTACGGTCTAGCTGCCGCGCACATTTACGAATATCTGGACAACGAATGGGGTCTTTCGAAATGCGGATGAGTGAACGCGCGTGTTGTGCAGACACGTGTTTTTGAGGCGACCAGAGGGCCCGAATGGGAGGGGCGAAAGAGAGAGAGACACACACAGAAGACAGAGGAAGAGATGAAAGAGAAAGGAAACTCGAGTTGATTCGTCCATTTTATCAGTTTACACGCTTTCTAATGCCAGCACGGGGACGTCGTACCGCGTCCCTGGTTTCTGTTCTGACACCTCGTTTGGTCGCCCGCGTGATGGCTAACCTCCTTTCTTAGAGTTCTTGCATAAGGTAGTGCGTGGGATTCGGACAGGTTCGAGCTCGACAGTGAGCCTTTAAATCGTTTTCACACAGTTTTCGAACTTTTCCAAGACGATCGGGAGTCACAGCTCTTACAAGGCACGAGAAGTATACAACAGCCAGTTTGATTTTAAGCTAAACTGCATCGAGAAACTTTGCCTATTCAGACCAGCATCATCGCAAAACCGACCACGATACCGATCGACATGACAACAGCCCACGACTGACCCGTCACCACCGGCCCGAATCCCCTAGCGGCACCTGGGACGGAAGTGGCCGAGGCCAACTCGGTGGGACACGCCGACACCGTGGTCGTCACCTTTTCCCGTTGCTGCCTCTGTACGATAGGCGGAATCTCAAAGACGCACGTCGGAAGCTGGATTCCGATCGTCGTCGTCGTCGTCGTCGTCGTCGTCGCGGCCGTCGGACTCGGCCTCGTCACACTCTCTGTGGCCGTGGCGGAGGAATCGTCGGTTGATATTGGGGCAGAAGATGGAGAGGAAGAGGAAGAGGCTCCTTTTGGCGGGTGGAAGCAGCCTGCGGCTTCACTTTTGCCGCAGGTATCGCCCTTTTGGCACCACCAGGTTTTGGAGGAGGCGTGGCAGCAGACGCCGTCGGGCGGCATGCAGCCTTCCCAGCAGGGGACCATGGACCCGGGGCAGACTGTGCCGTCGTCGATGGGTGGCTGGGATGGGGTAGGGGCGGATGTTGACTGGGAGGTTGCTGCTGTGGTCAAGGCGAGGAGGAGGAAGAGGAGGGATGTGGAGGTTGGAAGGAGCATTTTGATCAAGTTATCTGGCTCGTTCTTGGGAGTATCAAGGGATTTTGGATGGTGTGAACGTTTGGATGATGGAGATGCGTTCTCGGGGGCTTTCTCCTCGACGGCAAGATTGCTGAGGCTTCCTTTTATACGGTCTCGACGGCGGCACAATGTATACCGAGTAGTGAATCACATCGCGGGATTTGGCTGGCAGGTGAATGATTCACAAGCTACGTCTCGTCACTCAGCCCCCTCATGATGGTAATTTCTTCAGCACAAGAGACAACTCGTGTTTGCTTTCCAACCACTGTATGTCTCTTTGACTTATATCTCATGCCTCACGGCGGACATATTTAAATCTCTGGATGCGGGTGTGACGCAGTTGAGGAGTTTGCCTCGCTTGCCGTGCTCCCGGCATAGTTCCCCCCGTTCAAGCTGGTCACGTTGTCTAAGGTCTTGCGAGCCTACTGGTGACGACGCAATACAGTTTGGGACACAGATCTGGTGGCTTGAGTCTGGTGTGCTTGTCTTAAAGTAGAGAAATAAAATGCCGGCCACCACTGTGAGGTTGTGTCTACAACTGCTACATAATCAGGACCCCCCCGCCCCCTGGCGTAGGGGAACGTTAAGATATTTGTTCAGGGTCTCGACCGCTCGGCCGCGTTTACGTGAGTGTTCATCTAAAGACAGCCAGATCTATTCATTAGTTGATGACTATATATGTAATGTAGTCAAGATCGAGCGTGGTCTTATCCCGGATGAAGGAGATCGGTTGGCTTACTCGCGTTTTCATTGATTACTACTATTTGTTTTAGTCTTCTGCCTTTGCTGGCTGCTCGGGCGGTTCTCGGTAGTCAATCACTACTATACTTGCCCACAGGGTTGTCTTTCCCGAGCAGCGTTGCCCGATGAGGCGTGACTATTCGTGAGCCTTTGATATGAAGCCGTTTTCTGACTTTACTCCTCCAAGGTTATCACCCATAGCGAGGTCGATAGAGGGAACAGCAATGTCGGACAAGAACGCCGAAAGAGGCCTCAACGTAGATCATTTACAGTATTAGGTAACTAGCCGCGGTTTCTGGTGACATTGAACGACGTGATACTAGCGATTGACATATGAATATGTCACTTGTGAGCTAAATTAAGCACTGGCCAATGACGGGGTGTTTGTTGCTCATTTCTGCGGACCTTTTGCACCCTGACACCGCATCGAGTACGCTCGGAACGGCTCCGGAACACATTCCGGAATGACTACAGTCTTTCTCGAGTCTTGCCCAAGAGGAACCGCGTTTGACTTGTCTCCAAGTAACTCTGGGGTGGATGGAAGAAAAACTCGAGGCTTTTTCTCGCGTGAGTGGAGCACATGCCTCCTTCCGAGTCATTGTTATCGGCTCATTCCGATGGCGCCGTCCTCCTGTTCGCTATCAGTTACGCAGTGTGACATTTCATAATCGCCATCTTTTGAACAAAATAGAGTAGGACCGTTTCAACTAACTGATTCGGTGCGAATTTACTAAACAGAAAGAAAGCATCCTATCGCAGTGCTCAAACGTGGGAATCCGGACGCCTCCGGGATATCGCCGAGATGCGAGGTCTGGCATCTCGGCGTTCTCGGCGCTTGAGACAAGCAGAGCCCGCGGCGGCGGCCCCCGGAAACGCTACCGATGGCGAACGGTTCACCACCCGAGTTAACGTTCCAGCCTGCTACTGCTGCCAGGTACGCGCGCTGAAGCCATGTGACAACGCGAGACACCAGCTTGATCCGGGCCTCGGCCATGTATGCCGTTGGCGAGGTGCAGAAACACTGTACCACAACCTATGAAGATCTGGTAACGCGACTTTCCTGTGGCATATGTACCCGCAGTACCGCAGTACAACAGTTCTGTCTCCTGCGATCTCGGCCATAAGCCCTATTCCTGATGTTCGCTCCACTCAGAGGAGCCCAGGGGAATGCCACCGCGAATGGGCTACCGCCGGCATGGACTGCCTCTCTGGCCCCGACCAATGATGTCATGTTAGTCCAGCCATACTTCCTGAATTGGAAAAATTTCTATTCTCCCGATTTGGGCAAAAGACACGAGGTGAGTAGAGGGCGGGTCTGAGACCGGTGAAGCGGCGTTGCTGGGCCGTGTTGTAGTGACTGAAGCTCAACTTTTGAACCCCGAGGCCGGGCTCTGAGAGTTCTCAAAGTTTGATGCTAGACGTTCATCCAAACCCCGACAGGTACCGGAGACCCTTCGCATTCCGCCAGGCCCGTTCAAAACTAAAGCCCAGCTACGGTACCTGGGAGTGAAGAAAATGGCAGAGCAGACCTGTCTGAATAAGTAAAAACCAGCATGAACGGGCTTCCGAGGGGCGCAACCCTCGGCGTTTTCTCAAAGTGATTGAAGGCTAGCCTAGCCGTTGAAGTGCATGGAAGTGGCCTGATGGACGCCGTCTTCACCCAGCATATCCCATGCCAGGCCCCATCCTTTTTTCTCGTCTGCGAGTTTTCTCCGCATCGCAGAAAGGCTGGAATCTGAGATATCCCCCGTCGATGCCGACATTGACGGAATCTAAAGAGTTTCCCCCGCAACATCTGGGGAGGCAGAGCGAGAGACTGGGTCATGACTGATGTATCCCGGCAAAAGAGACCAGCTGGGCAGTAGTGGTGGAGCCCCCGCCGTTGTCGGAGGGGCCAGAAGAGACAGTGGACCAATCCGAGCGGCGGAAACCACGAGTTCTGTCTGAGAAGGATGGCGGTGGTCAGCGTCGGAACGTTCGAGTTCGCGATAACGCTGTTGAGGTTGTCCCAAGAACGTCTCGCGCTACCCAAGTAAGGTAGTTGTCACAACAGAGCCTCAAATCAAGGGTGCAGAATTGGAGTCGCCTCTAGAGCAACACTAGAGACAGCAGATCTACCACTCAAAAACAGCAGCAAAATTGATGGTTGTGACCTTTGCACCATCTCAGCAACAAGAGGTGGAGTTACAAGGGCTGGCTGAAGGACGCTAGGAAACCTCGAGATGGAGCTTCTCTGTGGACCTCGGCCAACCCAAGCTTGCATTCGTCTGCCTTCCAATTGGCCGTGTGTCCCACCAAAGCTTCAGAAATCAAAGAGGAAAGCCACCCTTGCCCGGGCGACTTACGTCGTGTCCTGGGGTTTCTGCTTCGTAACTTGAACGCCCTGAGTGGGAGGACAGAGCTCATGGGGCTCCAGAAGCCGAGGAAAATGGGGCAAATAGGAGGAAGAGGGAGAGAAAGAGAGGGAGGGGCCGAGGTGTAAGGAGGGTCCCCTCCCACTTATGTTATCGTCCTATTTCTTTTCTCTCTGCCATGGAGCTTTAGATTATTTATGTTTTCATCTTCCCTCCATTGGATCGGCCCCCGGAGACCCTCTTTGATCTGCTGTTTTCTTGACCTGACTTGCCATCTGCCGCTCCCGTTTGTTGGTGTCTGACATTAGCAAGCATCCCACGCCATTTCTCTCGAAGCGCAAAACATATCTCCCATACGAATCGACGAGAACGAGAAACCGCTGACAAGATGGGTTCCGAGGACGAGAAGCCTTCTACCTACCGGTATAACGAGAAGCCGACTTACACCACCTCCAATGGCGCCCCCGTCGAGAACCCTCAGGCGTGGCAGCGCATCGGTCCTCAGGGCCCTCTGCTGCTCCAGGACTTCCACCTGATTGATCTTCTGGCCCACTTTGATCGCGAGCGCATTCCCGAGCGTGTCGTCCACGCCAAGGGCGCCGGTGCTTACGGCGAGGTTCGTAAGACGGTTTTGTTGTTGTATTATGTTGAAGCGGGCATGGAGCTTGGTGAATTTTGAGAGATCTGTGCTGACCAGCGTTTCGCGCGCGGCTGTATAGTTCGAGGTCACCCATGACATTAGCGATATCTCTTCCATCGACATGCTCAACCAGGTCGGCAAGAAGACAAAGGCTCTTGTCCGTTTCTCGACCGTCGGTGGTGAGAAGGGCTCTGCCGATTCGGCTCGTGATCCCAGAGGTTTCTCTGTCAAGTTCTACACCGAAGAGGGAAATTGGGACTGGGTTTACAACAACACTCCCATTTTCTTCATCCGCGACCCTGTCAAGTTCCCTCCCTTCATTCACACCCAGAAGCGTCACCCGCAGACTAACCTGAAGGATGCTACGATGGTAAGTGTTGAAACCCCCCAGAGTCTCGTGAGATGACTTGAGCTAACTCGAACCAGATGGTAAGCGTTAAAATGCAGAGACTCACCACAAATCTCACTCTAACTCAATCTTCCAGTTTGACTACTGGACCAAGAACCAAGAGTGCATCCACCAGCTGATGCACCTGTTCTCCGACCGCGGCACCCCGTACTCTTACAGACACATGAACGGCTACTCAGGCCACACCCACAAGTGGACCAAGCCCGACGGCTCCTTCGTCTACGTCCAGATCCACCTCAAGACGGACCAGGGCAACAAGACCTTCACCAACGAGGAGGCCGGCAAGATGGCGTCCGAGAACCCGGACTGGCACACCCAGGACCTCTTCGAGGCCATCCAGCGCGGCGAGCACCCCAGCTGGACCGTCTACGTCCAGACCCTGACCCCGGAGCAGGCTGAAAAGTTCAAGTGGAACGTCTTTGACCTGACCAAGGTCTGGCCGCAGAACGAGGTGCCGCTGCGCCAGTTTGGCAAGCTCACCCTCAACCAGAACCCCGAGAACTACTTTGCCGAGATCGAGCAGGCCGCCTTCTCCCCCTCCCATCTGGTCCCCGGCGTCGAGCCCACCGCCGACCCCGTCCTGCAGTCTCGCCTCTTTTCCTACCCGGATACCCACCGCCACCGTCTCGGCGTGAACTACCAGCAGATCCCCGTGAACAAGCCCCTCCACGCCTTCAACCCTCTCCAGAGAGACGGCGCCATGGCCGTCAACGGCAACTACGGCGCGAACCCCGTACGTCCCTCCTTTCGGCTTCCGATCAAAGCGTACTGAACATAGCCAAACTAACTCTTTCCCCCAGAACTACTCCTCAACCTTCCGCCCCCTCGAGTACAAGCCCGTCAAGGCCGTCAACACCCCGCACGAGCAGTGGGCCGGTGCCGTCATTACGGACCTCTTCGGCCCCGTCAAGCCCGAGGACTACGAGCAAGCCCTCGGCCTCTGGAAGGTCCTCGGCCGCCAGGAGGGCCAGCAGAAGAACTTTGTCAGCAACGTCTCTGGCGCCCTCGCCGGCGCTCACCCCGAGGTCCGCTCGCGCGCGTACGAGATGTTCTCGCGGGTTACCCCCGAGCTCGGCGCCGCCATTATGAAGGAGACGGAGAAGATTGCCGAGTATGTTATTTCTATTTTCGTTCTCGGGGACTGAGAGCCTTGATGATGGCGTGTGAATGAGTATACTGACTTTTCCCCCCCTTAGGCCTACCAAGGATGTTCGCTCCAAGTTGTAAAAATATAGACGGAAAAGTTTGACGAGGAAGCATCCGGGTTCGCGTTGGAGAAAGGCGCTCCGAGATCTCGATGTAGTGCCGAAAGCCGCAAGCGTCGACGTTGTACGAGACGTACCAACCCGAATTCAATTAGAGAAGAACAAGAGGTTGTCGAGATACCATATCAGGAGAATACCGACGAGACAGGCAGCTCAGAGTATCTAAAAGAAGAAGAGAAGAAGAAAAAAAACTCGTAATTTGTTCAAAAACAGTTGAAAATTCTACAAGAAAGTGACATTGTCACGGGCATCAAATTCAATGCCCTGGTATATGTTTGCGCCTGAGTCCACCCCCTACCTTAACCTCGCGAGCAATCCCATCCCTATCTCATGTCGAAATCTTACTCGGTATTCTCTCATTCTCTTTCCCTCTTTGCGGATTTCTCCAAGCAGAGTAGCCCAGGTCTTGGTCGGTCTAAGATACATCCTCCATTTCGAAACGAAGTCCGGTCTATACGGAAAGCGGAAAAACGATGCGCGGAGCGTCCACTGCGTAAGCCATCTTCCGGGTGTGTCTCGAGGGAAACGATACTCAAAAGTGCCATGGACGTGTGACGTTGTGATCCGGCTTGAAAGTCACTTTAAATCCGACTTAGCAGCAGCAGCAACAGCACTCGCAGCATTCGTAGCAACAGAGGCCGGCGCAGAGACCGCAGCAGACAGCCTATCGAAAGAGGATTGTAACGTCAGCCATTTGTGTGCTCTAAGGTAGGCGTCGAAGAAAGATCCACGTAGCATTTCCAGCACTGCATTCTTGATTTTTCAGAATCGACCAAGATCATGGACGGCGTAGGAATATCAGAGGGAAGGGATTGGATTGGGCTGTTTCAACTTACTCCGCCATCGCCGCCGCCTCGCAGGTTCGCTGATTGATCCATCGTCATCGGCTGGTTCAGGCCCTAATAGGAAGCGAGGTCTCCGGTTAGCTCGGGTTTAGGGATAGTCTTCCTTCTGCGAGGTTTGGTTGATTCGATTCGATGCGACGCCGATGATCATCGGAGAAGAGGGGAAAACCAAAACCAACATGGTAAGTATGGAGATGGCTGAAGGGGACGACATACAGGTTGCTGAGAGCTGATCTTGTGTTCGGAGAGCACGGCTGGCGCAGGCTCTCTTGGCATCTGATTGTACTCGATCTGGGACGACATTGCTTCTGCGCGCGTGTGTGCGATTAAGGATTACGAAGGCGGGAAATCGTTCTTTGACGTGTGTACGTATTCAATCGGAAGACTTGTTAAAAACCCTGCGCGCGAGTTCTATCCGAAAACCGTTTACTCGTTCGTGGTTGACAGAAACGAAGGTGTCGTTGTATGGTCTAAGTCGAGTTGACGCTGGCTCATAAGTGTGTGCAAGAGACAGAAACAAATCACACCTGGGACACAAGCCACAATGAACGCGCAAAACAGGCGATGGACCGTTTTATTTAAAAAAGGAACCAACAGAAAGAAAGAAAAAAAAGTGACAGGGCACGAGGAAGAAAGTTATCTAGGAACCCGAAGTTTGAGAGGGTGCGTGGCCCACGGTTCTGTCCGGGGGCCACCCCTTCACTTCGGGCTCTCTCTCTCTCTCTCTCTCTTCCTGCATGATGAAGAAAGGCAGACTTTGGAGTTGAGGCCGCAGCTTGGCGCTCAGGTGCAAGGCAAAGGGGCGGGGACCAGATTGACGACCGTGGGCTGACAGGCCTTGGGTATCTTTTCCCTCTTTCTGGTGTCTTTCTACATGGTCACATATTACTAGTCTCTGCCTCTACAAGTACATACCTTGCCTTGTCTACCTTATGTCCCCGCAGGTTGAGTTTCTGCGTGGATGTATGTTGACGAGGGAGGGGGGGCACCCTTTGTACCTACGACACCCGGTGTGTAAGAGTCACCTCGAACCGGCACATTGATTGCGAGGGACGTTGAGGGCAGCTACAAGGATGGACGAGGCTTAGATCAGGCGGTCCCTCCATCTTGGGGGCTCACGGAGGGGACTCTTCGTTCGGTGTGTTTGAGGAATTTTTGATTTCAAGTGAAGGAAGGGTTCAGCTGCCGACCGATCTACGGGATACGTCTCTTCTTTTCTTACGGTCCTCTCACCATTCTTTCTTGTCTTGGCCCTTCATTCGTTGGTGAGTTGTTCGAGTGCTGGCAGCGTGATGCGAACTCGGGGTATCCTTTCCTGCAGACTGCGCTGAGACAGGGCTTGCGCCTGACCTTTTGGCTGTGCTGTGCAACTGCGGTCGAAATGGTGTTGGGGTGTCCCGGGGGGAGGGGGGTTTCCTGGGATGGGGGGCCAAACCGGGGGTGGAATGACCTCAGTTTTGGGGGAAGAGGAAATCTTCAAAGGGGATTGGAGGGGTGGGAAAGGGATACCGAAGGCGGCTTGCGTTGGATGGTAATGGAGAAGAAAGTGGTTGAGGCGTTGCTGTTTCGTCGCACGGTGAAGTGGTATTAGGCAGGCAAGAAAATGGGAAACTCTGTTTTGCTGACCTTGCATTTCGCGTTTGCGTTTGCCTGCGAGTTGGGATGAAATGTGCTCTCTTTTCGGTGTCAAGTCGTCCTTTAGTTGAGAGTCTACTTATGCAATGCGATGTGCGGGTACTGTGTATTTTCTGCTATGGATCCAAGTCCGTTCACCAGCTAGTGTAAGGCTTACTAGTCTTCCGCAGTCTCTTCTTATTTCCTCTGATTTTTTCTTCCTCATATCCAGAGGCTGCTGTGCTGGCACACCGGGCTTCGGTGACATGCTACCTTACCTGGACTTGAAAAGATCCCGGAGGACCCGATCGCGCGGGATCGCGCAACGCTGACTCGTTCGCCAGTTGATGGGGGGAAGTGCGGGTCGGAGTGACGACTGCCATAGCCCGCGCGCCGAACCCGAGCGCGATCTGATGTGGTATCCGCATGTGCGGGTTGGTTGCTATTACTTTAGATAATGCAGGGTTACAGGGTCCATGGACTATTTTCGGGCCTCAGAAATATATACGCGGGAATCATGTTACCCCCTCTCCTCCTTGTTCACCTCTCAATCAGCCTCGGCTCGAGCGGTTTCTTGTTCTATCCGTCACTTCAGAGGCTCAGACGAGCGAAACGATTCAGGAGAGACATTCTGCTTCTGGCGTCGTGGCGAAGAATGTTTGGGGAACATTCTTGCTGCCGCCGAGGGAAAAACGTGGGCAAGGGGAGGTGTGTGCCGGGATTTAAGTGGAAGCCTAGAAAGGGTTTGGTGGGATTTTTTTGTTCCCAATCCGAAACGGTGACACTTTAGATGGAGAGTCCAATGGGAGAGGTACGAGGCGTAGCATGCAGTACATCTAATGCAGGGTTGGACTGAAGCTGCAGCTTGTTTGGATGTTCACTGCCTGCTTGAGCTTCTGCTGCAGTCTTGGGGCTGGGGTTACGTGACCGTACCTTATACCCGTATCAGGTACGAAAAAGGAGTTGCGGCGGTGGAGTTGCAACACGTATTTGCTTGGGCTGGGATTCATCGGCCTATCGTGCCGATAATTCTCCTTGGTCTGCGGTGAAGAGGACGGATATCTTTGCCGAGCTATGCAGGGGATTGGGCAGACTTTGTTGAGGGGCATTCTACGCAAGGCTGACTGCAGGGTCCTCGGCCATCGGAGCTTCAAGCGGGCAGAACGGGGGCATGTCGAAGTGACGGCCGGCGCTCGGCAGAGTCGGAGCCGGTGCCGGTCAGCGGATCTCACGGCGCCGGGTGCCCGAAAATCGAATGGGACGGAAGTGTCTCAGAAGGAAGCAAACCGCCAGAGCCTGAGGTGCCGCCGACATTGCCGGTTAAGAGATCTCCCGCGTCAGCGCTCGCTTGTCACTACTCTAGAGTCTAATGACAGCATCTCGAGAATACTTACCAAATCAGTGAGACCAGTAATCAGGTACATTGGCCAAAAACTGGACTCTCCCCCATGTCTCGAAAAATAAGAGGGTCGGGTCAACAAGCACTGAGAAATTGCGAGTCGACAGCAGATCGAGCAGTGACGATCGATTCAACCGTTGGATTTCAAACATTTGTGCATACATTTGATAACCAAGGCCTAGATTGCAAACCCTGATTCTGTGTCGCGATCCGGTATGCGCCTTCTAGAACCAACATTTGTAGATTTAGCCCGCCCGTCATCCCTTGTCAGCGAGTCAATCGGAGGGCGTAGAGTGGGTTCCCCGCCGAGACGACCTTAGTCTCCCCGCCCCGCCCCCGGCCGATCAACGACTTCAAGCTTAAAAGGTGCCGGCGCGTAAGCTTTACTTCCAACAGCCCACGGCATCTCCTCTCCCATTTTTCTGGCCCAGGAATTAAAAGGGGACAACCTGGAACCATCGATCCCTTCCTTTCTGAGATACGTGGTATAGTAAAAGGTCGCGACCATGTCTACCTCGCAAACGGAGCTCCAATACCTCACCCCGCACACCGAGGCCGGGTTCGGGGCCAAGGTCTCGGTCCCGGAGCCCTCGGAAGCTGCAGCGGCAACGACGACCCGTGGCCGCTACACCACTGCCGCAGCAGAATCCGGCACCAGCAACAGAAGCAGCGGCGACGAGAACGGCGTCGCCGCCGATGGTGTCCTCCACGACGCCCACAGCGCGAGCCAGGAGTTCTCCTCCCTCCCGCCCGTCGACGGCGGGAAACAGGCATGGCTCTTCTTGGCCGCCTGCTTCGCTGTCGAGATGCTCGTCTGGGGTTTTCCCTTTGCTTTTGGCGTCTTCCAGAATTACTACTCCACGAACCCGCCGTTCGCTGGGCAGTCCAATATCGCCGTCATCGGTACCTGCGCCATGGTAATCCCCCCTTTTTTCACTCACTCTTCTCACCGAAACTTTCCCCTTTTCGAGACTCTCATGTAAGGAGACACACAACCCGGGGGCCCTACTGACATCTTGACAAAGGGAATAATGTACCTAGGCGGACCCCTCCAAACCGCCCTTCTCCGCCTCTACCCCCGCGAAACCCGCTACGCGCCCATCGCAGGCCTCCTCATCATGTGCATCGCCCTCGCAACCTCCTCCTTCTCCACCACGGTAACCCACCTCGTCGTAACCCAGGGCATCCTCTACGCCATCGGCGGCGGCATCACATACATGCCCTGCATCGTCTACATCGACCAGTGGTTCGTCCGCCGCAAGGGCTTCGCCTACGGCATAATGTGGTCCGGCACCGGCCTCGCCGGCGTCTTACTCCCCTTACTCATGGAATACCTCCTCGGCACCCTCGGTTTCCGCACAACCCTCCGCCTCTGGTCCGGGCTGCTCTTCGCCCTCACCGCGCCGCTGGCCTTCTTCATCAAGCCGCGTGTGCCGGTGTCTACGACAACGACGTCGGCGGACGCAACGCACGCGCGCCCGTTTAACAACATGCGCTTCCTCCTCTCCCGCCCCTTTCTCCTACACCAGGCCGCAAACACAATCGAGGCCCTTGGCTTCTTCCTGCCGGGGATCTACCTCCCCTCCTACGCCCAATCCACACTCGGCGCGTCCCCTTACGCAGCAGCCCTCACCATCCTCCTCATCAACGTCGCCTCCGTCGTCGGCTGCGTGGCAATGGGGACCCTCGTCGACCGCTGGTCCGCGCCGTCGTGCCTAGCCCTCGCCAGCGCCGGCGCCACCGTCGGTACGTTCTTGCTCTGGGGCCTCTCGCTGAATCTGGGGGTGTTGTACCTATTCTGCGTCATCTACGGTCTCTTCGCGGGCGCGTATACATCCGCCTGGCCGGGGATCATGAAGACGGTGACGGAGCACGAGAGGGAGCGCGGGAGGGGCGTGGATCCGATCATGGTGTTTGGCATGTTGGCGGCCGGGCGCGGGGTGGGGAATGTGATTTCGGGACCGCTGAGCGGGGTGTTGGTGCGGGGGAAACCGTGGGCGGGGGATGTTGGGTTTGGATACGGGAGCGGCTATGGGACGTTGATTGTGTTTACGGGGGTTACGGCTTTCGTGGGCGGTGCTACGTTTGTGTGGAAGAGGCTTGGGTGGTTGTGAGGTAGTCATCACCGAGGTTGGAGGAAACCAAGCAGTTGGATAGAGGATGACGAATCTGATATTTCTTCTTGTTGGTTGCAAGTGATATTTTCAACCACCAAAGATGAACGTGATTCCCGAGGCTGCTGCCTCTACAGTACAACAGCCAACTCATACCTTGATGAGCTGCCCCCGGCCCTCCCCCTTTTTTGTTTTCCGCAGCGGTAATGTAACCACCTTTTTATCCCCATGTCTTTTGGTTCTTGTTCCTGTAATGCGATAGATACTTTTATATGGAAACCATGACCACCAACCCTTTTTTCCCCGTGTATCAAAAACGCCTCAGATAAAATGATCAAATGTCACAAATGCGAGTCTTCAGAAAAGCAGTAACAAAAAGAGAATGGCCTTCTCAGAAACCGCTCTCACGGGTAAACAGAGTCACCGCGAGCAAGCAGCGGCCGCTGATCCCACTGATCCTCGTCAATGCTCTCATCATCACCCTCCTCTTCGTCGTCGCTCGCAAACTCGTCGGTGCGGTACATGAAGTACTGCGCAAAGATGCCCATATCAAGCAACAACGTCCCCAGGCTCCCAGCCAGCCAGCTCAGGTTGACAAGCATGTAGCGGCCGTAAATAGCGCTCGCCTCGCCCGGCGCGCACTCGTCATGCTTGCAGCGCGGGTCATAGGCGAAGATGCTCAGCACGTACGTCAGGTTGCCGAGGCACGCGAACAGGAAGAACAGCATGCTCACGCCCTCGGTGGACTTACGGCGGTAGTTGAGGAGGAGCTGTGGCAGGCGGGAGCCGAGGTAGAAGACGGCGCAGAGCCAGCCAAAGACCTGGCCGAGGGTGTTGAAGGTCAGGGCGTCGCCGTCGTTGGTCTGGTGGCCCGTCTCCTCGGCGTGGGAGTACTTGCGGCTCAGGAACCAGCCGACGACGCCGGCAGCGCAGACCATGAGGACGGCGGTGGTGTTCCAGGCGACGGCCTGGAGTGCGGTGGAGGGTCGCGGGGGAGGGGCCGGGGCGGCGCTGCCGACGCCGCTTTCAGGGCGCATGGGTACGGCGGGGGAGAGGTTGGACCAGTCTGAGCCGCGGCGCTCGCGTTCGACGATAGGGTTGGGGAGGAGACCGGTGCGCTCGTTCGGTTCGCCGGTGCGGTTGCGCGGCTTCGGGGCCGGGGGCACGACCTCGTCTTTCCAGGTGAAGCCCCTGTAGTAGAAGCACTGGGCCAGGAGAACCATATCGGCAATGGTGTAGTAGATGGCGAGGATGATCTAAGGGGGTAGGAGTCATAGCGTCAGCCGGGGTTCTCGTGCAGTGGTGAAGGTAGGCTGGAGCAGGGACGTTTGGCAAGGGGTCTCTCTGACTCACCATGGTAGGGAGAACACCCTGGAGGACGGCACCCAGAATGTTGAAGACATCGCCGGCGAGCCAGACGATGATGAACTGCAGCGAGAGGCCGTCTGCGCTGCCGCGGCGGAAGTTCTCGAGGATCTGGGGGGAGAAGACAACGACCCAGCAGGCAATTGAGATGGAGCTGCGCGCAGTGTGTGAGCCATTGAGGGATGTAATTGATGGATTTGGAGACGGGATTTCGAAAAGTCATGCTTACCCGCAAATGCCAGATATGGCCTCGACGTCGAGGTTGAGTGGTGCGGTAGGGGGCGCCATGATGCGATTTCGGAGGGGGGGTGGGAAATGCGACGACCACAGAGGATTAACGAAGGGGAGGGAGGAGTAGGTATCGGCGATGCAAGCTATAAGAGTTGAAGAGAAAATTTCTAGTACAAAGAAAGATTAAACGACTAGATGGAGGTCAATTCTACAAACAAAATGCCAGGTGAGCGCTCATCCAAGACGCACCAGCAACAATGGGTTTAGGGTCAGGAAAAAAGATGGAGGAAGAAGTTCTGTTCTCTCCCGAAATCTGACGATGAAAGTAGGAAGACTTTTTTTCCTTCTGTACGTACCAATGCATGCCACCTGGAATGAGAGACATTTGCTTTCGCAAAGTCACCACCACCAATTTGCAGGGCCCTTTTTTTTTTTCGGTCGCCGCTCGCGCCATCCGAGTCCACGTGCGCTGGCAAGTTTTCTCTCAGCTGGGATTTTAGCGACTGGCCACGACGTCACTGACCAAGCCGGAAGAGGGAATCCAAAATGCGGGGGAATCGAGCGCTAACCATGCGCTGAAACGCCCACTTTTTTCATCGGCAGGTACCTTACCTAGCGGGCTGCCCTTGGGTGTTGCTCAAGCTGTCCGGGTGTGCATTTCAGCTTCGCCTAACTTTCAGGTAGGCCTTCGTCACACATACACCACGTGTATCTGATGTTGAGGAAGTGCCGTCAGCTGAGGCGTCTTGTGTTATCTACTGGATCCCGAATCTTCACCACATTTCCTCACGGTAGAAGCTCGCCTGAAGTGCCTGTATCGAAAGACCGCAACTTGGCTCGGAGGATTACATCCAACCCCGGCGCAAGCTCGGATTTGGACTCGTCTCCACTGGACGGGAGTGGAAGTCAAAGACGAGCATAACCTTACCTAATCAGAGGTACGAACCTTCACCATCTCGTTGCTGACCAATTTGGCTGTCGCTGTCTGCACCTTTCCCACTTCAAAACTTGCACGAACACGGGGTACCTATGAGAATGGCGTCTTATTGCAGTTGTTTTGCTAGCTCATCACTGCATATTTTATCATACCAAACCCACGTATCAGGCTGTGCGACTACCTCAGGCCTTGGACTCACTCTCGCGAACCCAGTCTCCAACCGTCGTGACATTTTCCACAATCAACGGCCAGATGAGGTTCGTCGCGGCATCCTTCACCTCAGTGCTGAAGCCAGCAGTCGCATCGGACCTGTGTACCCTTTGTCAGCAAAAGAAGAATACTTACACACACAGCAACGCCTTGGAGCACTCACAAAAGGGTAACATGGAAGCCACTGCCCATCCGCCGAAGCACACATTGTCAGTTTATATACTCTCTTCAGATTCCATGTTTTCTTGTGACCGGTATTCACTCACAGCTCTCTCGCGTCCCGCGCCGTGGATTCGAGACAGGTGTTGGCAATCATGCCCGCCATGACGAGGTGCGAAACACCCCTCTGTCGCAATTGATAGTTCAAATCGGTATTGGCAAATCCGCTAAAACACATCAACACTCGATACCTTAAATCTCTCCCCAGGCCAAGGTCCTCCAAATCCCTCGCAAGTTGCAACTCACCTGTTATTCCAATGCCGGCTCGCAACAACGTCCCGGTTCCCCACAACATCCGGCTCTAGCCCCTCCAAGATCTCCGCACCCCAGCTGCCCTCCGCGATGCCCTGACCGGCCGCGATATGTTTATGCGATGGCGTGAGGTGCGTCCACCCGGCATAGTTTCCCTCCTTCCACGTCTGGTGCAGGGCGTAAAAGATGGGAATCTTCTGCTTGCGGGCCGCGGCGACGAGGGTGCGCAGGTTGTCGTTTGTGCCCGTCGCCTCGAGAGATTCCTTCACGGACGGATAGATTTTGCCCTCGTGGTGGAGGAATTCGTTGTAGGGGTCGACGAGGACGATTGCTGTTGTGGGAGGGGCCATGGTGATGGTGGTGGTGACGTATGGGTTGGTCACTTATGTTTTGGACTTTGGGGAGCTTGAATTGGGATGGTGCAAAAGCTGGATGATATAGACAGATCGTATTCTGGTCATCAAACAGTAGATAATGAGACTCTTTATACAAGGTAAGGAAGCAAGACGGCGGTGATCATCGCTCGGTGCAGTCGAACGACAGATGACAAATTTCAGACTTGGAGTTCGCGCACTGTCGCAGTGATACGGTACAGCCACTACAGCGTCCAACCGATTAGATGAACATCCCGAGCAGGACCCGGTAAGCATCCACTGTACACTTCAACCTCTGTGAATCAGGTGTGTTCATCCCCCTCACCCTGATCACGGTAAACCGTATACGTATACAGATCATGGTCCAGAAAAGTCTCACACAGGGTGCGTCACGCTGCCGCTGCCGCAGGGGGGGAGGAAAAGTTGGATGACCAATCTCGCGAGACTCAAGCGGAGTCCGGTCATAACGAAGTCATTTCCTGGATCGGGACCGGGAACGGACTCTCGGTCGAATTGAATACGACTTCATGACGCAAGTGCAACTTCACCCTCATGATCCTGGGGTGTATGAGAAACAAATGGTGTTGACGTAGAAAGAGCCCACTCGCCTTTCGCTTGGCTCTCATGAAATTGGTCAGCAAAGTGGTGTTCTTACCAGAGTCGGCGTCCGCGTCTTCGGCCGGAGAACCCTCGACACAGTGTGCAAGGTACCTCCCAAAGTGCCATCAATACCTGGACCTTATCATTGACGGTTCATTCTTGTGCTCAAATTTTCGTTTCACCTTGTCATGCATGAATCTAGGGCGCGCTCGACATGAACGGTCAAGACCAGCCCCAAATCCCTTCAATACACGACCGGGGATCAGGAGCAGACTGGCATGGCGTGAATGCTCTGCATAATTACGAGTTATGAGGCACTCTCACATCCATACCCTCACCTCTTCTTGGTCTCAAAACCCCCCACCTGAATATCTGTACACAGGCTTTGATTACAAATTTCGATGAGGCATGCCAACCACATGAAAGCATGCCATGAACCCCCACGCATCCAGCTACGACATCAACGCCGAAAGCTTCCGCTTCCACTCCTCCAGCGCCCGCTCACTATCAACCAGCCTTTCCCGACTCACCGCTAATTCGGCGCGCAATGTCCTATTCTCCGCCCTCAACCCATCCGCCTCTTCAACAGCCTTCTGCCCCAGCGCAGCCTGCGCCCTCAGCTGCTCCATCTCCGACGCCGAGACACGGCCTACGTCCGCCGCCCGCCTGGCCAGCGCGAGCTCGCTGTTGCGCAGGTGCAGCTCCCTCTGCATCTGCGCGACCTGGCCCTCGACGTCGCCGACCTTGTGCCGGAGCTCGTGGGCCGTCTCGAGCTCGGCGTATAGGAGCCGCAGCGCGGCGTCGACGTCTGTTGGGAGGGTCGTGTAGCGAGATTTGCGCGCGGCTGGCGCCCGTTGTGTGGATGAACTGCTACGGGGCGGTTCACCCCGTGAGGTTGCTGCTGCTGCTGTTGTTGTTGCCGGTGGAGGTAGGGGGGTGTTTTCGGTGTGAGTGGTGCTTGATGAAGGGGCTGCGGCTATTTCCTCTCTAGCAGCGGAATGGGATGCTTTGGCGGTACGAGTCCTCCTGGCGGCCGTACTGGGCGTGTCTTTCGACGCCTCAGTTATCCTATTTGTCTCTTGATTCTGGTGAACTTGGGGCGAATTTGATAGATCTTGCCGACCCGTGTCCTTAGTGGAAGGTGTAGCTCCCGTTGCCTCAGCTACCTCCACAGCGGCCGATGATAAAGAAGCAGCCGAAGGTCGCATCTCCGGCATCAAAAACGGGGGATCTTTGTGCCAGTTGCGGTGCACGCACACTTCGCAAAAGAAGCAACTATTGCCCTCAATGACAGAGTGAGTGCTCTCCTCGGGCCTGCAGGAATCGTGATACGACCTCTTGCAAGTGATGCAGTAGGTGAGACCCTTGGTCTGCCGGCAAATGAAGCAAAACTCATCGTGCTGCGCTCCGGCTTCTTTTGCCCCCCATATACTTGTTAGTAGGTTGGTTACCACAGCGATGTTCTTGGGAGTTCTCAACTTTCTTACCTTTCCAAGCTTTGTATCTCTCCAGAGCAGCGGGGATAGGAAGCGCTCGTGGGTCAATTGAGCTTTCAGATTCCTGTGCTTGTTGCTCTGTTGGTTGACGATCGAGTTCACCCAACTCTTTTCTGACAGTGTTTGGGTTCACGGAACCACCACGCGCACCACGAGACCTCCCGCGACGAGTTGGCTGTGCTGAACGTAGACGCTTCCTCGGCGGCTCCCTGCTTCCGTCATCGTCCATAGCGTTCATAAGTATGTGTGCAAATGTGCTATAAAGGAGAGTGGCACACGATCTTCTCGGTGAGGGGCCGAACGGGTACAGCCACTGCTGGGATATTTGAGAGCGCCTGTCAGTATAGAGAGAAACGTACGAGAAGATGAATGTGGCTGGGCACTTGACAATTTGGTGGTGGGATTGTGCAATGAGCGATCGTGCTGACTAATGACACTGGCGCTGCTACCCCCTTAGCACCCAATGCCTCTTGGCCAGGTAGACAAGATCCAAGGATCGAACAAGCAGTAACAAAACCAAGACAAATGCTGTCATTTTACTGACTCTCATTCACAGCCCGCAAGCCAATCCAATTGACACAGTGTTGGAACTCACAGCAGAGGGGTGCTTTTAGAGCTCGAGTACATGTTGGAGCAATCGCGCTATCTGTGACCCAGATTTGTCATCGAAATGCTAGACGGATTGCTCAAAGGGGAAAGGAATTCCGCAGTTGGCTCAGGTTCCTTGCTGACCAATTTGAACCAGAGAAGCGGGTGTGAGTTGCCGGTGAATTATCCTCGGTTCTTGGGGGGAAAGGTACAGTCTACTCCTCTGAGAGGGTTTTCTCCGTCCCTCGTTGGATTTCCTAAGATCTTGCCAAACGTGATGATTATTCATTTTGCCTCAAGTGCATGCACCTTGAAATCCGGGGCTCAGAGAACGACAGCATCAACGAAGAACAATGTCCAACACAACGGTCAGTAGACCGGCCGGGTCTGATAATAATGAAAAGAAGCTCGAAGCGGGTGACCTCGAGGACCATGGCGTCAAGAGTGAGCTGCAGCTGGAATCGACTGACCCTGACAGCCGGAGGAATTCTACTACGTATAACGCATATTACCAGGGCGAGGTGACCAACTTGTCAGACCCGTCAACTAATGGAGTTGATCGTGTCATGAGTCGTATCGCGAGTAGAGTAACCTCACGATCGACCATAACCCCTGGACCACCGCCCGATGGTGGGTTGAGGGCTTGGTTGTGTGGTAAGCTGTATCAAGACCCAAGATTTCTGCAGTGAGAATAATCCATTTACTCACCTTTCCCGTCTTGAACAGTCTTTGGCACCTTTCTTGTCGTTATGAATACATGGTATGATCCTTGCAACCAGAACCTTTCTCAAACAAATAACTAAGAAGAACGATGTTAGGGGTATGATCAACTCCTTTGGCGCCTTCCAGAGCTACTACATCCAAACCCTCGGCCGGAGCCCCTCCGACATATCCTGGATCGGATCCGTCGAGATCTTCCTCCTCTTCTTCATCGGCACCTTCACCGGCCGCCTCACGGACGCGGGCTACTTTCGCCCCGTGGCGACAGCCGGCTCCGTCCTTGTCGTCGCGGGCACCCTGGCGGCGTCGGCCTGCACGCGGTACTGGCAGCTCCTGCTGGCGCAGGGGATCTGCGTCGGCCTGGGCAACGGGTGCCTCTTCTGTCCCACGGTCGCCCTCGTCTCGACGTACTTTGCCAAGCGGCGCGCTTTTGCCATCGGGATCACGGCCTGCGGGAGCGGGGCGGGGGGCGTGGTGTTTCCCATTGTCATTCGAGAGATGCTGCCGCGTGCCGGGTTCGGCTGGACGATGAGGACGCTCGGGTTCATTCAGGCCGCCGCGCTGGGTACCGCATTGTTGTGTCTGAAGCCGAGGGTGCCGCCTCGTAAGACGGGGAGCTTGGTGGAGTGGGCGGCGTTCAAGGAGTTGGAGTATACGTTCTATGCCGTGGGAGCATCTTTGGTACGTTTCCTGAAGAGGCTTTCGTCTCTTCCAGGTTCAGTCACCAAAGGAACCAACCCCTGGATGCTAATCTCTGTTTGAACTGGACAGTGCTTCTGGGCCTCATACACCGTCTTCTTCTTCCTCGCAGCCTACGCCCGCGACATCCAAGGCGCCTCCTACGACACATCCCTCGACCTCCTCATGATCACAAACGGTGTCGGCATCCTTGGCCGCCTCGTCCTCAACAGCCTCGCAGACCGCGTCGGTAACCTGACAATGTTCGTCCCCACCGCCGGCGCAGCCGCAGTGCTGGCGTACTGCTGGGCGGCGCTGCCAATCGCCTCCTCCTCGCGAGCGGGTCTCTACGTCTGGTCAGCGCTTTCTGGTATTGCGCTGGGCGGCATCCAGGCGCTGTTTCCCTCCGCGCTGGCGTCGTTGACGGCCGACCCGAGGAAGCAGGGGGCGCGGATCGGCATGGTGTTTACGATTGTGAGCGTGAGCGTATTGACGGGCCCGCCGATTGCGGGTGCGTTGGTGTCTGCTTTGGGGGGCAGGTATTTGGGTGCGCAGATGTTTGCGGGGAGTAGTTTGATGTTGGGGATGGTGTTTATTTTCTTGGCGAGGGAGGCGAAGAGGAAGAGGGTAGGAGGGTCGTTTTGGGCAAAGGTCTAGTATGACTTTCTTCCATCTGTTTCCTCCATCTAGAGCTAGAGATCGAGTATCTTGGATACGTATCTCGTCTCTTCTTTCACCGGTATCATTGTCAAAAGCAATGGTGACTCGGTGCGATGTCGAGGTCCAGCGTCCTTAGATGTTACCTTTCTTGATAGGGAGTGACCAAAGAGATAGATTGAATCGGATGGTGATCCACAAAGGTAGTACCAAGTGAGTAGAAACGCCTTCAAAGACGGCGTTCTGGCATTAAAAGAAGTACCGAGCGTCTTGCAGTGATGTGGACGCGGCTAGGATGGCAAGTCTTTTGTGGATCCGAGTGTTGTGATGTGTTCTGCCGGCACCTCAGCTGACAATGCCTGTGTCATTTGACTGAATACAAACCAAGAATCATTAGAAAGCTTTGGAGGGTTGAGGTGCTGTAAGCAATGTCGCTGATGGACGGTTCAGACATTTCATTCTATTCGTCGACGGGCGGTGTTGAGCAGAGTGGATTGAAGTCTCAGTCTTGTCCTCCAAGATTCGAATGCTTGTCATGTGGGAGCTTCTCAGTTAAGAATATGACTGTAATTGTCAAAAGAAGTCGATGATGACTAAACACGTTCCTTGCACCTCGGCAAGATCTAAGCCGCCGCGTGGGCGATTTCGGGGGGCCAAGGCGATTGGATAAGCTTATGTGCATCCTCATCTCACTCTCCCATCCGAGATGTCGCATTGACAGCTGCCCAACGAGCTCCCCATGGAGCTCCCCTTCCACACAATATCCAATGATGATGGAGGTATTCCAATGCAAAGGCCCAGGAGACAGCTGCCACGCACGGGCTGTCCAGTAGCTCCGAATACCGTGACAAGTCCGGACACTGACACTGACACTGACACTGACCCGACGGTGACCAGTCGATCTCTTAATCGCACCTGGTGTGGGGGAGGAGGGATCTGCCGGAGGGGGCTCCATTTATCGGAGCTCAGCGGCGAGTCGTGATTCACCGTGACAAGCTCCAAAGATCCATCGCATTGCGTCTCTGGTGTCCCCCATCTTTCGTCAATCTGATTAATCAGCCGGGCCAGTCCATTGCCGCAGCCGTCTCTACCGCACGTCTTTCAGATATCTCACACTTTTAGACGCCTCAAATTCTTTTCCATCAACCTGTTGTAGAAACTTGCACTCACTGCCTTATTTGGTTTTGGTACATAGTATACGTCATACACATCCCACATCGGCGCCCATCACCCCGAAACCCCCACGTAGAACCCAAGAACCCCGCGATAGCTTCACCGCCCGCTTGAGCCAGAAACCCAGGAAACCTCGGCATGGGTTCTCAAACTTGGAACCTCCCCGCACCAGTCGACGACCCGGACTCCATGCTGTCCCGCAAGTTCGGGCGGGAGACCGTCAACTACTTCGCCGGCAGTGTCCTCAACCGCGTCGGCTGGCTGCGTACCGACCACGCCTTTATCCGGTCCGCCTTCCAGTCAAAGGACACAAAGTTCATGCTCCTCAAGGACCTCAGCCCCCTCACCAGCGCTCCGACGAGAGTGCAGTTCGTCTCGTACGACGACGTCAAGCCCCTCACTACCGAGGACCCGTTCGGGCCGTCCGAGGAGGATCTGATCAAGAACTTCGACTCGACGGTCACGAAGCCGCTCATCATCTTCCTGGGTCTCGAGGAGAGTGCAAAGGTGCCGTTCGAGTACAAGGGCCTCAAGGGACGGCCGTGGTTCGCTGTTGACGTGACGCCCAAGGGCTCCTACGCCGATGCCGCCAACCAGCTCATCAAGGCTCAGTCAAGCAAGGGGTACAAGTTCCTCGAGGGAATGAGGCCGATGACGCTCGAGCCGGATCATGGTAAGGACTCTCACTCTCACACAAGAATCTGTTCATATATCAGTTACTAACAAACAATTGTCAGCTGGCATCTACGCCCAGGCCCGTTCCATCGCAGACTGGAACACGCGCAACAAGTTCTGCGCCGGGTGCGGGCAGCCGTCCCTGTCGGGTAACACGGGCTACAAGCGCCTGTGCCCGACCACCGACCTCGCCGGCTCCGACACGCCCCGCGAGCGGGCCGAGTGCGCCACGCGCAAGGGCGTCTCCAACATCAGCTTCCCGCGTACGGACCCGACCATGATCGCCGCTGTCATCTCCTCGGACGGCACCAAGGTGCTCCTGGGCCGGAACAAGCGGTACCCGCCTAACTGGTACAGCACGCTGGCCGGCTTCATCGAGCCGGGCGAGTCCATCGAGGAGTCCGTCCGGCGTGAGGTGCTCGAGGAGGCCGGCGTGCGCGTGGGCCGGGTGGTGATTCACTCGAGCCAGCCGTGGCCGTACCCGGCGAGCTTGATGATTGGGGCCATCGCGCAGGCGCTACCCGACGGCGAGACGATTGATCTCGGCAACGACCCGGAGCTCGAGGACGCGCAGTGGTTCCCGCTCGAGACGGTGCGGGACGCGCTCAAGTTTGGGGTGAGCGGGCTCGGTGAGCCTGCGCCGGAGGGGTATAAGGAGGGTGGGCTGAGGTTGCCTCCCCCGGCGGCTATCGCGAACCGGTTGATGACTGCTGTTGTCGAGGGTTATGCGACTGCCGCGCCAAAGATGTGAGAGCGGTGATGATGAAGCTGCTCCTGGGGATTGGGCTCGCAAACGTGTTTAGACACTATGATAGATATGAATGAATAGACTCGCCCGTATGTTTGCAACTTTCCTGGATTTCAAGTCAGGAGAGTTGACTATGAGCTTAGCGTTAGTAGCACTCTGGTGCTGAGTGAGTGAGTGACTTCATAAACGTGATAGACGTAAGGTATTCGTAGATGCACAAGAGTGGCAAGAGGGGGGTTGTTGTCTTCAGAAATTTATTACTTTCAAGACTTGAAGAATGAGAGGTATCTGTCTGCCTTAATCAGGTGTCGTGTGACATCAAGGTCCTCAACCAAATGGAGCGCCTAAAGTGACAGTGGAGGAGACAACAGCAATGGAGCCATGCCTGCCCGGGCCCGTAGGGCTGAGGAGCCGCCCGCTAACAAAAGGTCCCTGAAACCCCTGTATAACCCCCCACCACCCACGCAGCGGACAGCGTGTCAGCGCTACGGAGTACAGGCCAGCACAAGCTCCAACGCAAGTTTGAGCTCCGGCTGGCGTTGTCAAGCTCCATCCACTTCCTCCATCCACATCCCGCCAATTGCGCCGCCATCGAAACCCTCCACCTGTCCCGACCCCGAACCGATCCTCCAGAACCTCGCTCGTCCAAACGTCGAAACCCGCCGCAATCCAGGTGCTGCTCGCCAATCGGTCGTTTGCCTGCCATGTATCACCTAGCCAAGGGGTTATACCTCCTAGCTACTAGCAAAGAAGGTTCGCGCACAATGTCGTCCACACACAAGCCATAGCTAACCGTCTCTCCTTTCTACGCAGAGTACTCCGTCATCCTCCTCGGCCTCGACAATGCCGGCAAGACGACCTTCCACGAGCAAGTCAAGCACTTCTTCCTCGAGTCGCGCCCGGACCCGAAACTCAAGACGGTGCCCACGGTAGGCCAAAATGTCTCGACGATATCCCTGCCAGACATGTACCTCAAGATCTGGGACGTCGGCGGCCAGCACTCGCTGCGCCGCCTGTGGCAGAGCTACTACGCCTCGGCGCACGCCATCGTCTTCATCATCGACTCGACCGACATTGGCGACGGCAACCTCGAGCACGACAACGGTTCGGGCCGGCTCGACGAGTGCCGTCTCGTGCTCGAGGACGTGCTGCAGCACTCCGAGACCGAGGGCGTGCCCGTCCTGGTGCTGGCCAACAAGCAGGACCGCGAGGACTGCGTCGAGGTCGTGAGGATCAAGGAGGGGCTCGTGAAGAAGGTCTTCGAGGGCGAGAAGGCGAGCAGTATCCGCGACTCGAGGGTGTTGCCTGTTAGTGCGCTGACGGGGACGGGTGTCAAGGAGGCGGTGGAGTGGGTGCGGTCAAGGGTGAAGTGGAATAAGGAGTCGAGGCCGCCGGTGATGCGGTAGACGTCGTCGCTCGCTTGTTGTCATTTACGAGGCATGATAGTATACGGGGCAGTTCTTTTTTAGACTGGGCGTAGATGGAGTTGGGGGCTCAAAGTCAAGGGACGAACGGGCGAAGCCACGTTGGTCACTTCGCTTCTTCTTGCAGAGCATGGGTTTTTTTTGAGAGCGTATTTGGCTGGGTATCATTTTTACAATTTTTGGTTCATCTTCCTCTGCTTGACTTGACGTGTTCTATGCGTCCACCACTCTGTCATTCTCCGCCGACAGAAGCTCTGATATGAGACCGCCCTTGTCCCTCCGCTTCGCGTCGTCCGCCAACCTCTCGTCTACTATCGTCGAGAACTCCTTTGCTTTTTGCAGCGCCACGTTGCCGCAGTGCAGCAGCGTCACCGCCTCGACGGGGGTGCCTCCCAACTTGGAAATCTGACTAATCTCGCCGTGCTTGTTCAGGCTGACCGTCACGCTGCTCGTCCGCAGCTGCTCCTCGAGCCAGTTTGCGTCGACAAGTGTAATCTCTCCCTCGTCGCCGTAGAAGCTAAACGTCACGCAAAAGGGGCTGTGCAGCCAGCTCAGGGGCACGGGCTCGCGCTCGGCGGGAGTGAAGATGGTGAGGCTCTCGCCCTCGTTGGAAGTGTCGGGCTTGCGGAAGTGGCGCAGGGCGGCGACGACGGCGAGGCAGGCCGCGTCGGTGAGGTTGCCGTCGTGGGAGAGGACGTGGACGTCGGCGCGGACGGACCATACCTTTTTGCCGGCGACAAGGCAGAGGGATTCCGTGTCGAGGGCGCCCGAGCGGCGGACCGTCTTCTCCAGGAGGCGGGAGAGGAGGACCTCGGCCTCGGTTGGGCGGTTGACCTCGAAGGCCGGGGAGGCCATGGGACTGAGCTCGGTGGTGATTTGGAAGACGCCCTCAAAGGGGCGGTCTGGGTAGGGGACCGTCACTTCTGCGGAGACTTTGACGAGGACTCTGTGATGGGTGTTAGCAACAATTGAATCTGGTGAGTGTGAGAGTAATATGAGTTAACTGACCTCGTCTTGCCGAGCTCGACGTTGGCCACTCCATACTCATCGCCAAAAGTGAGCTGGACTTTTCGATATTGATCAAATTCCCGGCCATCAAGTCTCAAGTTCTCCTTAAGAGCTTGTGTGACAAAGGCCTTTTCATTCGCTGACGGCTCGGCTTCCCTAGGCATCTTGGCGGTCGAAATTGGTAAAATGTGAGAGCAATTTCCAAGACTGAGAATCTCATCGACTCAATAGTGACCTGCAGGTGTTCAGTGAGGTCAATCGCATTGGTGGGGCGCTTGCAAAAATTCTGCCGGGCGGTCGAAGCCTTAAAGTGTCGCCTCCCCTGCAGCTGGTCCCACTCAGCCAGCTGCGCGCGCGCATGCATTTGCTGGGGGACCAAACGTCAATTGCCTATTTACAGATTCATTACTTTCAGCCTCCTTCAACATCCGCCAACCTGCAATTCTCACAACCCGTCGCAACCTGCCAAGATGACCACCGCCCATCGTCCCACATTTGACCCGGTATGTTCTCATTATGTTCCTTCTAACCATCAATCAATATTTTTACTAACCACATAATACCACAGGCCCGAGGCAAAGAAGCCCTCCGCGGCCCGGCCTACCACCAACGCCTCCTCCCAGCGCACACCCAACTCAAGTTCCGCCAAGCAGGCCAGGGTGGCAACGCGGACGAAGAATCCCACGACCTCAGAGCCGAGCTCCTCGCCGCCGAGGCCGCCCACTTCGCCAAGAAGAACGGCGGCGCGCCTCCCCCGTCCGCAGACGACGATGCCGACGCGCCCTCGGGCGGCGTAAAGCGTGCCCTCGAGGCCGGTTCGCAAGCAGACGCAGAAGAGGACCTTGAAGCGAAACGGAGGAGGATATTAGAAGAGTCGCGGGACGTTGACGCATCGTCAGACGAGGAAGGGGACGAAGAAGACGATGACGACGACGATGATAGTGACGAGGACAGCGACGACGAGGAGGCGGAGCTGCAGCGTGAGATGGAGAAGATTCGGCGCGAGAGGGCGGAGAAGAGGGAGAAAGAAGAGAGGGAAAGGGCTAAGATCGAGGAGGAGGCGCGGGAGAGGGACATTGCGCTGGGTAACCCGCTGTTGAATAAGCCTGATTTCAACATGAAGAGGCGGTGGGACGACGATGTCGTTTTCAAGAACCAGGCGAGGGGAACGGAGGAGAAGGGCAAAGGCAAGGAGTTTGTTAACGTGAGTGTTATGCCCCCCCTCACCTTCTTGGTCGAAGCACCCCTGTAATGGGTGGGTGCAACTGGTGTGATGATGGTTTTGCTGACTTGCGTATAGGACCTCCTGCGCTCTGACTTCCACAAGCGGTTTATGAGCAAGTATGTTAGATAGATACCCATCGCCGATTATGGTGGCAAATGCGAATCTTTTTTCTACTCTTTCGATTGATGAGATCGGCTACGAGACGATGCTTGAAACGCTTGGCGTCGCCCACTGAGTCCATCTTTGGCCTCAGTATGGCCTCAGTATGGACTGGACGCGACAGAGGTTGCTCATTTCTAAGCGTCCAGCCGAGGAATTCTGGGTCTCCTCGTCATGTATGTCACACGGAATCAACCACCGAAGACAATGGCAACATTTTCACTTCAAAGGCCAACGTTGTCGATTATCTATTCTGACAGCCAAGCCTAGGCGCACTACAGCCTTTGCTAACGGTGGCTCGAAGCTGCCTTCTGTGCATATCCCGAGATTATGTGTTCTAGATCTACTACGACTACGTTCAAGTCCATGTACAATGTGGTGTTTCCTGCACGACACTTGAGAATGACGTTCAGCGCCGATTCAAAAAGCCAACCTCTCACCCCTGAGAGGGCCGCAAAAGAGGATCGAGGCCGGACGGGTAGTTGTGAGACTCCGCTACCCCTAGTCTTGGCTCAAGCGGCGAAGAGTCATCTGGAGAGACTTCAAGACCCAACCTATACAAAAGCGGATCTCGGTTTCGTTTTCCGTATATCCAGTAGCCTCTTCAATCGTGTTTTTCGGTCCAACGATGCCAAGCAAGCAGAGCATTCAGGAGAGCTGTCGGAATGCCTGCCTATCGGACGATTGCTTGAAATGGGACCTCTTCTCGATAGGTCAAACGCGTCAAGACTGTGCATTTAGCTTGAGGCTTATCGTTCTAGAGGCTGGTAAGACGTTGACTCGCAACTGTATTTACTTTCTCTTTGCAGAACATCATTATGATTCATTCGAGCTCATTCCCAAGTATCACGATGCTTGCAAATATGAAGGAAATGACACATAAGGCGAGGGGGTTGAATGAGCACTACACCCTCCTCTACTCATCACGCTCATAACGCACCACCAACATGAACTCCCAGACAGTCGCATTCATCACAGGAGCCAACGGCGGCATCGGCCGCGCCGCTACCGAAATCCTAGCTTCCGCTCACCACTACCACGTCATCATCGGGTCTCGTAGTCTCAAAGCAGGCCAAGAGGTAGCCGATTCCCTGACGTCTCGCGGCCTATCCGCGTCCGCCATCCAACTCGATCTCACATCCGACAACGACATCCTCGTAGCGGCCGCCTCCATCTCCGAAACATTCGGAAAGCTCGACGTCCTCGTCAACAATGCCGGCGCGCACTTTGATATGAACGACAACCTATCACTGCGGGACCAGTGGACGTCCACCTTTGCCACCAACGTCGTCGGCACCGCCGTCCTGACCGATGCGCTCCTCCCGCTCCTCCGCAAGGCCCAGTTCCCGCGCATCGTGTTTGTCAGTTCCACAAAGGGGTCCATGGCTGCCGCCCTGGACGGGAGCGCGGGATTCTACGACGTCGCGGCCAAGGCGTACGATGCCAGCAAGGCTGCGGTTAACATGTTGGCCGTCAGCTATGCTAGGGTGTTGAAGGGCGACGGTGGCGTCGCGAATGCCGTGTGCCCGGGGCTGATTGAGACGAAGCTGACGGCGTTTATGGGGAAGGATCTCCTGGCTAGCCATGGCGCTGCTTCGACTGAGTTGGGGGCGAAGAGGATTGTGGAGATGGCTACGCTGGAGGAGGGGAGTGCTGTGTCGGGAACGTTTTCAGACAGAGATGGAATTGTGCCTTGGTGAGAGCTGACGACATTGCGGTGTTGTGCTTGGATATGTAGGCAAGCTCCGCCTCGCAACAGTCTTACCTGAAGATTTGAAGGCTCGAGCTAAATGCTAGGCGTGTGGCGAGCCTTCCCGTATGATAGGGTAATTCGCAAATTTGAAGAATGGAAAGAATGCTAGATGAGCTGGCATAGGACTTTCTAAGTCCAACTTACCAAGTGCTTTACCTCCCGTTCTTGCCAGACCAAAATTGTGAAGCTGCGATGTCACCATATTGGGAAGGTCGCGATGTATGCAATGGTACATGAGGTAGTTAAATGCCATCTCTGTTCCTCTCTCAACATCATCACCCCCCCTTTCACTGATTTCTCTCCGCCATCTCCAAACGACCAAACTCATCAATGCCTCTTTCGAGTTACCCAGCAGACAAGTTATTCGAATCCATCACAAACATACATCATGTCAGTCCCAACCGGCTTTTCCGCGTCCACGCGATCATCGGACACCCGATGGACCCCAGTCGAAAACTAGGAAGTGTACACGATGAGACGTCCACGCGATGGTACTCGATTCATTATCCGATGCTTGGAACACCGAGAAATTGAGTGTGTAGACTGCCCACAACCTCGCGACGCCCACGCAGCGGAGTATCTCAGGTCTCTGAGGCCCATACCCCGGCCGCCGAGGGAAGGGCCAAGCGATACCGATCTTGCACGCGCACGACGACCTGTCTACTTCTTTTACTCTGGCCGACGTCCAGATCTCGGAGACCCTTATGTGTCTAACAACAATGACGACGCGCTGAGTGATATTGAGGGAGAGCTTGATTACCCCATGTCAGACGACGATTCATCAGACTGGAGCCTCAGCAGCTGTCCGGGACTACCTGATGGCTCCTCTGCCGATCACGAACGCAGCCCAAAAATGCAAATTAGCCCAATACTGGATTGTCCGAGCATTCAGTATCCGGAGTTCGAGTACCCAGAGAGGCCATACCAGTCGGCTAATGGACGACTCGCGACGCGGTTCATAAACACCCATGACCACACGGACTTTCTCATGTATATCCAAGGTCTCTGTCGTCCAGAGACCCGGACCGGCAGCTGGGCATACCTCTTCAAGCCCTACCACCTTGGAGGAGCCGTGGCTGGACGCCTGGAGAGACTGGGCCCATACGGCGACCTTCGCACGCCTGTGAGGCACAGAGCTGAGCTTCGCGCAGCCCTCGCGGCACTGACAATACCTGCCGACTTCAGACATGGTTTCAGATCACTCACGATTGCGACCACTCGCGCCTGGCTAGCAGAAGATGGAGAGCTGTTGGTTGAACAGGCATGGGACGAAATCAATGAAGCGGGATCCAATCCCTTACCGGAGTGGGCAGAGGCTCGCCATACCCCGGAGTTTGCACACGTATCCGACGGAGACCTTTGGTTTGCCATGAAACGACAGATTCAGAATCTCTATTCAATTGACGACCCTCAAAATGCAGTGACAGTTCAGTTCCGCCTGATCGATTTTGAGTTCAATAGAGATTGCCAAGGGGAGGCCTTGGGGGCTCTCGACAATCCTCGTCGGCCATATCGCTTCAGAGAGCCTAAGCCCAAACAGGAGTCATGATAGAACAGCGATCACATGTACTTTACAGAGTATACATACTACCGATAAGAGGCGTTGGAAGGCATCGTGGGAGTAGAAGTAGGGATGGAGAACTGTCGCGAGGACAAGGGGTTTCTTGGGCGGAGTTTGCTCGTCCGATGGTTTACATCAGGTACTTAGGTTCAATGAGCACCCGATAAACTGCAACACACTTCACCAGTCACTAAAGAGAAGATTCATCATGTCAAAGAGTTGTGTTGAGACTCTATAACAGCTCATGCCGGCTACTGAAGCGTAATAAGTCTACCTTTTGTGGTCTCACACTCCGCTCATATCTTCTCTTCTCCATTTCCCCTTTCTTTGGGCTGAGTATTTCCTCGCCGTGGGGGAGGCCATCACCTAGGAGGGCCCGCTGGTTGAGATCATGTCAAGTGAAGCAAGCGCTGGCACAGAGTAATAGCCATTGTTCCGGGGATGATAGTACCCCCTTGGGTATGAGAGAATAGCGGACCAGAACTCGCAATACCGGAGTCTTCCCTTCAGACTTTTGAGCAGGAATAACTTCTCCTTGCTCAGTAGTGATCGGCGCGATTGTCCGCCCTCCGAGACCTGGTAGGTCGAACATTGTGACGACCAAGCCTGCCGATCGTCTCCTCTGTCGCACGCGAACCGGCAGGACCACCACCACCAGCGCGAGGCCGACCGCCAGGCTTCTAGCCCCAACGACTGCCCTCGCGCTCAGCTTCCATACGACGCATCCGCTCCTCCTCCTCGTCGATGCTGATAGCCTCGCTGCGGCGCCCCTTTCGTCGGCTCCGCTTGCCGTCGTCACCACCACCACTACTCTCATCCCTGCTGCGTTTCGCGCCCGCCAATCCGGCCAGACCAGCCATGCGCTGCGTCTCCTTCAGCAGACGCTCGCGATTCCGTGCCTCGCGCTCCAGGGCGTGAGCATCTTTCGTAGGGACGCTGGGTGCGGACTTGCTGTTGACCGAGGCCTGGGAGTCTCGGCGTTCGCCGCCGTCCTGTCTGTCGGACGACCTGCCGGATTTCGAGCCCACGCCCTTGATCTCGAGACCGGAACCACCGCCGCTACGAGGGCCGGTGGGCGGGTTAAAGTCCCTGTCGACGGGCGTGGGCGGCTCCGCCGACTGCTTCCGGCTGCTGCGGTGACGATGTTCCCGGTCCCTGTGCTTGTCGCGCTTCCGATCCTTCTCGCGGTCCCGGTCCTTGCGGTCGCGATCACGGTCGTAGTCGCGATCACGTTCCCGTTCCCGATCCCTGTCGCGATCCCCCCGATCTCGGTCCCGGTCCCTCTCTCTGTGCGAGCGGTGGCTAGACTTTCTGTGATAGTCATCGTAGTTGTCGTCCCGGTGCTTATTGTCCTTCTCCCGATCGCGACGCTTCTCATCGCGGTCTCGGCGGCTCCTATGGCTAGACCGCTTCGAATCGCTAGGCGACGCCGACCTAGATCTCTCTTCGTGCCCGTCGTCTCTGGAACGGGATTTGACGTCGTCTTCGTCATTGTATGAGGTGTGCTTTCTGCTCTTATGCTTCCTGCGACGATACTCATCGTCCCGATCATCGACGACAGATCTCGATTCTGAACGTCTGCGCCGGCGCCGGTGGCGATCGCCGCGATCTCGATCTCGATCTCGGTCGCCGCCGCCGCGCTCGCTCTTGCGCTCGCGACTCTGGTCTCTGCTGCGTGAAGGTGAGCGTGAGTAGTCTCGTTCTCTTACGCCGTGGTCTCTCTCCGACCTGACGTCAGGTTCTCTCTCACGATCGCGGCTCGCATCTCGGCGACGGCTCCTGTCCTTATCCTTGGTGCGCGTCGATGAGCTGCTTCTGGATCGCTGCTGTTGCTGCTGCTGCTGTTGGTCCACGACGGGACTCTGAATTGCGAGTGCGTCCACCGACGATTGTCGGCCTCTCTCATCAGGGACAACGTATCCTCGCGCTCGCAAGGTGTGCAAACTTGTATTCGGCAAGCCCTGACGCATAGCCTTGGGACCTGTCGGAGCATTTATAGGAACATCAGGGGCTGCAGGCGCGAATCCTTGAGGACCATAACCTCCCGACATGCCGTTCCCGTTGTACGTAGAGTAGTCACCGGATGCCTGTGCCATGTCTGTATTCATAGCATTCTCCTGATCCGCCTGGCCCTGCTCGTCCCCGCCATCGTCCGCGGGTCTGGATCCGTCACCGTTCTCTGCGTTGTCGCCGCCGCCTGCATTGGAAGTCGCGTCTTGGTCATTGGGGCGCTCGCGGCCAAACTCGTCAACATTTCCTGCGGCGCGGGTTCCGTCCTCGGACCCCTGGCCGTACATGTTGTTTCCATACTGTTGTTGCGCGTGGCTTTGGTCACCATAGCCGCCATACTGTTGGTATCCGCCTCGACCATAGCCACCGTTGTAGAAGCCGCGTCCTCTTCCCCGTCCACGATTGCCGTAATTGTTGCGGCGGTAATCATTGAATTGGTGACCATAATTACCTTGATTGTACCCTGACTGGAATCCTGAGTTATAGTTGCCATAGTCACCAGATCCCATGCCAGCAGCATTAGCAGAATTGAAATTATCTTGGCCGAAATTCCATGACTGTTGCCCGTTCCAGTTATTGGAGCCTGAGCCGAAACCACCGTTGAAGCCTCCCATGCCCATGCCTTGAGCACCATAGCCGCCGTTCATGTACATGTTCTGCATCGCCATTGGGTCCATACCCATTCCTGGCATACCTGGAACGATTAGCTTCAACCAGTAACGTGAGAATGTGGAGGGGTGGCTTACCCATCATTGGAAAGTTGCCAAACGAATTGGAGCCCATGCCGTTCTGCATGGCCATCATCATCTGCATTTGATTGAAGTCACCATTTCCAGTGAAGTTCATATTTTGAAAGTTGCCTCCGTTCATTCCGTTGAAATTGGCGTTGCCGTTCGCATTCGCGTCGTCGCCCTCTGCGCCGTCATTTTCAGCAACATCCTCCTCCTGAGGTCTCGCTAATTTGCTGCCATCGGCCGCGGTCTCATCGCCTGTGATGATGACGGTCTCGTCATCGTCGTCCTCTCCCTTAGAGATGATAGGTTCTTCGTCGTGGTTAGGCGCATCCTGATCGACTGGTTAGCAAGACGTCATACCGACAGGATCGTCTTCGGAACACCAACGTTTTGGTCTTGTGCCGCGGTGGCGTCTGCATCCGCAACATCGGCCGTGTTGGCATCTTCGATTGGCGCAGGTTGGGCAACGGCGCTCTCTTCGCGTTCGTCGGGGATCGCGGCAGGTTGTGAAGGTGTATCGGCGGCAGGGGTCTCATCAGGGCCAGCGATCTGCGCATTCGGTTTCGCATCAATTGGAGTAGGGGGTGCTGAGTCCTTTGCACTCTTCGACCGGGCTTCGTCGCGCTTCTTCTCTTGGGTTCGGATAAAAACCTTGATCGTGGTTCGGAGCGACTTGAGCGGCGTGCAGTCGTCGGCGGACACGGGCGAATGCTCGCAAACGGGGCAGGATGATGGGAGAGAACTCTGGCCTAAGAGGATCGGTCAGAAGCTGCACACAAAGACGCAAGTGAGAGCCGGGTGACTGACAAGTCTCGCAGATGGCTTGCTCGCAGCAGGGAAGGCGAAAGGCGTTGACAGCGGGCTTGCTACAGCTGGCGCATCGCAGCTTGATCGGAATGTCGTCGGGCGCAAGTGAGCTAGGAAGGCAAGGTTAGCAGTGCGATTGAGACGAATCGCAGTTGAGAAACAAGCGCGGGGAACTTGCTTGATGAGCTCGACCTGGGCCGGGGTGAGGTGGACAGCCATGCTGTCGTCGTTGTGGAGGAAAAGGAATATCAAGAAGAGAGATACATGGGCGAAGGAGGGGTCTGGGAAAGTACAACAATAAAAGATGGTCGCGTCGCCGCTGACCTGGTATTAGTATGAAGAAAGAAGGAATGAGGACGGTTTCAGCGTGTCGCGCGAGACGCTGTCATGACGGACGGTTGCTTGTTGTTGAGCTTGTTTGCGCAATGAAGCAGGTGGTCGTGAAAAAGATTCTGAAGTGACGGAGCAGTTTGAGGTGGACGAGGCGCGGGAAGGGCCAGAAAAAGAGTGGGACGCATGGGCGGTGACTGACCAACCAGATGCGCTCATTCACCTTCCCCGGCCTGCTGGTTTTACAGTGTTTTACAGCACCATGGTCCTCACCTTGCCTACTTGATCCAGCCACCAGGCCTGCTGTGCAGCGTCGGTCTGCCCACTGCCCGATCGGTGCATTACTCGCCAACGACCTTAGCCGTTTGCACCTATGCATCCGGCACTTTGGCAATGGCAGCATGGGATGATGTAAATCCCTGGTCAACATCATCAACGCCCCGGTGAATCCAAAGAGACCAAAGAGTACCATACGTCTTCTTGAATGTATGAGATTCCGTCTACATAATGCACTACGAAGCATTAGCTCCCCACTGACCCGCAATCCCTCCCAATGTCTTCTTCTGCGCACTTTGCTTGCACAAGTAGGACCATTGTACACCACGACGGAGGAGTCGGCATGTAAAGTGGTGCAAAGCGACTGTGTCTGAATTTCGACTCATGACGGACTTCCCATTTACTGCCGGATGGACGCTCCCATAAATGAAACCCTATAGCAGAAATGCAGCGCATAAAAACGGATCGACTCCAAAATGATGAAGGGGGAGGTTGGAAAAACGGCCCAAAAAAAGGAATCCCTCCTTTGCAAAAAACGATAATCATCCTTTCTCGAGATGTTACACAAACACGCAATTTCCCCATTCTACAACTTTAACAGGCACATCCCTCCTTCGCCGCCGCATCCCTCGAGCCCGTGAGGTTGACCCGTTGCTGGTCCTCTGCGCCACGGCTCACGGCGTGCGATGCGCCCGGACCCCGCGCGCTCTTCAACGACGTCTCGGGGATGGCGTTGGCGATGGCCGTGAAGACCTCGGTGACGTTGTGGCCCGTCTTGGCACTGGTCTCGAAGAAGAGCAGGCTCTCCTCCTCGGCATACGTCTTGGCCTCCTCCGTCGAAACCTTCCTAGCGTCGCCAGAGTCCTCTCCGTCGGCCTCCTCGTTGTCGCCGGCGGATCCGGTCTCGGCGTCGTTTGTCAGATCGAGCTTGTTGCCGACTAGGGCAATGACGATGCCCGGCGAGGCCTGTCGTTGGAGCTCCGCCACCCAGTGCTTAGCCTTGACGAGTGACGTGGGCTTCGTGAGGTCGTAGACGACAAGGGCGGCTTGGGCGTTGCGATAGTACATGGGCGCCAGCGAGGCGAAGCGCTCTTGGCCGGCGGTATCCCAAATTTCGAACTTGATTGTCCGGGTCGGTAAGTTGCACTTTTGTGTTAAGAAGGCGGCTGCAAGGGGG